GTCTACGTCTGATAGAATTTGTGTACGTGCTTGCCCAAGAGTGTTTGCGCACTTGAAAAGTCGTTTGCTGTGGTCCGGCACACTTGGGCCTTAACATATATCCCAGCGATATTTGATGCCCACACATGCTGGCGAATAGACCCGAATATTCTCATGATCTGGACCACACCACGTTGCAATATGACATGGTCATATGGAGCCGTCATGACCATCCGATGCATCGACAATGTTACCATTGCATTTCGTCCTCGTCCCTGCGGCAAATCGCTGCCACTTCACGACGAAGTTCACCGAATGTGACAAATGCATTCTTGGCGGATATGCCGATCATGCTCGTCCCACGATACTAAATATGGCTGTCTCCGCAAGCTCGGCACGATGTGTCACCGAAGCGAATCTGGATATGGTAATTATATTCGGTAGCAATGCTAGTTTTCGTTTTCGGCTCGCTTGGCCGTGTATGGGGCACCAAAGGATTAGCAAACGTGTATTCAAGCGGAGTAAAGGGATGGAACCATCAAGGGAACTATACTGACGTTCGCGATCACAACGTATCAGGAATCGTTCCGCGCGGGGAGCTCTCTCCTTCTTCATGGCGAGAGGGAACGACTTTGAACACGTTGCAAGTCGAGGCAGTCCAACACGTTTAGGGAAACTCTTGAGTTACGCCTCGCAAGGTCTAAGCGACATAACCTCAGTTATGGTATTAACAAAGTTCAGGAAAGGACCACGATACCTTGTGTGATGTTGGATGGAAGGTCCTCGAAGACTATGGAGGTGCAGGGTAGGCGAAGCTGACTCTATAGTTTCTAACCTGATTGAAGGTGACGATGAAGACGACGCGTCAACAACGCGTACTAAAACGCGTCGAAACGTTACATAACGTGTCATCACTATTGTCTTCTGTTTGTGACTGCCCCTGTCCTGTTACAGATCACTAGCTCTACTCCATCCAAGACTGACGCACGCTCTAAGCCTGGAAAGGCCCCCAGAGTCTCCGCTTCTTCCCAGCTGGTTAGTTCTCGTTCGAGTGCCCCTCGCTGACATTGTTAGGGGGCGCATCACTGGCTGCATCCCGCCTCTGGTGAGACACTTCGCCTTCATTTGATGTTCAACGTCCGAAAATCGAGAATAAACTCTGATGAGCGCTCACCTGCGTTACCGCCCGCTCCAGCGTCAGAATTGGCTTTGTAGCCTTGTACGTCGACCGTGCACCTGAGGGTTCTAGCTCCTCATCATTTGGGGTTATATCGGGCGATCGTCCATTTCATCGTCCTCTGGCCGTACTTGAAGCTTGATCCATTGAGAAGCTTGGTCCATCGACTCGCCAGCAATATCGTCTTCTTTTGTCTCTCGTTTCATACCTCTGGAGCTTTCGCTCGGTGCCCGTCGTCTGGATGATCCCCCACTTCCTCACCTCCTTCATTGTTGCCTTCACTCTCTTCATCTTCATCACCGGTGTCACCCTTTTCACCGTAGTCATCCCCCTCTTCATTGCCGTCGTCGGCCTCGTCGTCGTGTTCGCCATCCTCTGCCCTTTTATAGCCCTCCCCGCCACTGTCATCGCCCTCCCCACCGCTATCATTGCCCTCCCCACCGCTGCCATTTCCATCTTCCTCTCTGCCGTCCCCCTTTCCGTCGTTGCTGCCGTCGCATTTTCCACCACTGTCAGCCTCGCTGCCACTGCCATGGCTCGCGTCGTCGCTATCTCCGGAGTCGCTCTCTCCTCCCTCGTCATCAGATTAGTCTTGAAGGTTATGTTCCATATAATCGGACGGCTAGGGCATGGCGGTGTGGAGATGAAGGAGAGCCAGCTCGTCCGAGTCGATGGGACGCAGACCTCAATAGGCGCCTCATGACGATGGTGACAGAAGCATGGCTCCTTTCACTTCCATATTCGAATAATGCCCCTGTTGGTCCCAAATTCTCGGTTCGTGGTAAATATGAAGGATAGGTTGCAAGGCCATAAATTGCACTCGACGCGCTTCAAGAATAAAGATCAAATTCACAGAGGCCACTGTACAATTTTTAGAGACTAATAAACCAAAGGAGGCGTCACGGGGTAATCGGCATAAGGGGTAGTCACAGGACCAGTAGTGTCCGTAGATATGAGCCAGAATGTGCACAGAACGGTGCTAACGATGTTCATCACAGAAAGAACTCTACAGCCGAGTGACCCGCAGAGGCAGATCAACCTTCTGCTCGCCAACAATCCTCGGCCGCGGCAGGAACCCATTCGCAACCTCAACCTCTGCCTTCGCATCACGCATGTCAAACTCAAAGTTCCTCACCAACGTCGACAAGACAGCCTTAAACTCCGAGAGTGCGAACGCCTTTCCCAGACAAATCCGCGGGCCATCCGCGAACACGAGTAGGTGCTTGTGTCCCTGGATCTCCCTCGCGCGCGCCTCAAGCCCATCCGGGTTGAGCCACCGCTCGGGCTTGAACAGCTTCGCGTCAGGACCCCAGAACTTCTCGGAGCCGTTGACATAGTGAATCGAGACGGTCACTTGGGAACCCTTCGCGACTACGATGTGATCGCATAACTTGCCAGATGCGTCCACGATGGGCTCGCTGAGCGGGATGACATCGTCCTCGGCGGCCTACAAATCCGTCGGAGGTTGACGTTAGCGCTCTATGGTATTTAGCAGTTTCAACTATACACTCACGAGACGCGTAGTGTCAGGCACCGGTGAGTGGATTCTGAGCGTCTCAAGGACGACAGCATCGAGATATGGCAAGCCGTTGTTGAGCTGCTCGTATGTGGGGTCTTTGCCAACAAACTGAGAAAGCTCATCTCTGAGCTTATCCTGGATGTCTTTGTTCCGCGCGAGCTCGGCGAGTGCCCACTACAGGAAAATCAATGTTTCTCCAAACTCAATTTCCATGACCACTTACAGATAAGCTGACTGTAAAGAATGTTTATCAGTTAATCGCTCAGCACAGAAATCGTTCAACGCACTTGAAGTGGTCTCGTAGCCAGCGACCAGTAGTAGCTTGATTTGTGAAAGGACCTCATCTTCCGACATGTACAGCTCCGCTCCAGGAGACTCTGCCTTGACTGCAAGAATACTCTCAGCGCTTACAGCCGGCGGCAAGGGAAGGCGAGCTCACTGAGCAGTCCAATGACTGAGTTATCGTCCTGACCCTTGGTCAATCCCGCCTTCTCTTTGCGCACGCGTTCGATCAAGGCTTGCGCAACGACGCCGAGAACGTTGTTGAGCTCCTTATGGAGGCCCCCTCGAGCCGTCGGCAGCTTCATGAGCGCCGGGAAGATGAGCCCGAGGAGGCTACTCATCTTGAAGAGAAGCGATGGCTTGCTCGTGGCAAACTTGTCAAAGATAGCGGCCACTTCGGAGTGCTTGCCGTCCAGCGTCCCAAAGTTATGTGAGAAGCCGGCAACTCCAATAGAGTCGAGACTAGAGGACGTGTTAGAAAAGGGTATAAACATGGATTATACGTGCTCACGAGACATGGCTCATCCAGCCCTGCACTTCGATGATGTTGTCATTTGAAGACTCGAGAATGTCCGACCAGGCTTCAACAACCTGCCAGGTGGGAGATAAATAACGGAGAGCAGCATAATACAAGCATTGGACGAACCTTGTAAGCAGAGTCGTAGAACGTGCTCGTGACGTTGCGAATAGCGGCATTGCTGAAAGCCGGAGTCATTGCCTTGCGTTGGCTGTTTTATGAATGAGCACCTATTTGACAGCGAAAGACCCGTAGCACAAACCGTTTGTGTTCGTCCTTGATGGCGAGGAGGACATTCTTTCCTAGCTATGTTCGCGGCCATTGGTTAGCCTCTTGGGATCCACATGTCATACAGTGTAACACAATAACTCACCATAGTCTTAAGTATATGCTTGTCGACCTCAGACCTGTCATACCGCAGCGTTTCATACTGGTAGAAATGCATGACAGCCTTGGGGTCGCACAACACGATCCTGGCTATCCCGATGGTCGACGGGACAGAGTAAACAGATCCATATTCTTGCTCCCAGGCCTCGAAAAGCGGGCCAGCGTCGCTGCTATCATTGCTCTTGTCAATGACATGACCTTGGCCGAGGAAGAAGTTAGCCCGAGGAGGGCCCCTGAGTCTGGTAGCCACCAGACGCCGCCGAGTGGTGCGGGCGACCTTGAGCAGGAGCCAGACACCAAGCGAGATAATGGCGACGTCCAGCGGACGCAGGCCGTTAAGTGAAATGGGTGGAAGGCTCTCGAGAATGGAGGACACAGTGGCTGAGAACTGAGAAGTAAAACCAGAGGGGCTGAGGATTAAAAGCCATTTGGCCAGCAGGTTTAGCTCTTTATGATCGACTGCCGGAAACATCTACAGACCCCTTGGTTTATTCCTAGTAACGCTTCCTTTGCGGCCCAAAATGGGCCCGGTATGTCAGAACATGTTATGCTCGACTGCTCCGAAGCCGGTGCCCGTCCACCCGTTTCAACATTCAACGTGTATTCTCGTCGCCCTGTGAACCTGGCAGTACCCGGCGCAAACCCACGACGTGAAGAAACGAAGGTTGATGGGGGAGATAAACCGATCCCGAAGTTCAAAGCAGCCCCAAGTACACCATTTTTGCTTATCAAATAGATGATATCCCGGAGCGCACGGAGAATATACACCCAGCTGTGCACGTGCATCGTGAAGCCTCTCTGGTGAATGCGGTAGAGTGGAGGGGCATCGAAGTTGGAGATGGACGCGCCAGGGAGAAGAACTCACTGCGTTTCGCCCGTGTCTGGTCTCACCGTGAGTATCGAGCCTACAGTCAGCCAGCTTAATCCAGAGTGCTTCGAGCCAAAACCTGCTGGTACCCGAGATCCAACGAGTCGTAACAATCGACAGGAAACCACCCATGAGCCGTCCAGGATGGAAGCACATCTCTACTACGCTGGTCTCCGTGAAAACGGTCGCGGGCCCAAGCTCATTTACAGAGATTCTTCCGACGTCTACGAGGAACCGACTGGCCCTGAGGAATACAAGCGACTCATGCGCCTAGTCGCCGTTCCAGATGAGTACGAGTTCAGCCAGGATGTCTCATGGGAAAGGATCCGGGATAAAGTGCGTGTTCCTTGTTCGCGTTATGCAACAATATCTTAACTAACGTTCGTCCCAAGGTTGTCGAGCTCCTCGACGATAAGAGGATCAAGACCACTTGTGTCGACTTTGTTCGATTCACCTGGCTCGTCAAGAAGGACGGGGTGATCGAGGTTGACGAGGGCGAGGGAGAGGACAACTCCGATGAAGAAGACTTCGACTACGACTCTATCTCACCTATCAAGCCTGTCGAGGACGGTGTGCGTCACTACAGCAACCCAACCATCTGGGTAGGCGTAACCCCCAATACTACCGCTGCCACTGCATTCGACGCCACCAAAGACATCCGTGCCTTCCTCGCCGAGCTCGATGTCACTAATATAGATATCGCGTTCCGCGAGACAGTTCCCAAGTCCTCCACTGGACCAGCCCTCTTTGCTCCAGTTGGTATCGTCAGCCATCGCAGGGATTTCATCGACCCTGTCTCCGTTGCTCTCAGCCTCCCCATCGCCGGCCTCAAGACAACAATGCAAGGCACTATGGGCCCCTACTTCCACGTTGACAACACTCTCTATGCCATCACCGTCCGGCACAACCTGTTCCTTGCCGATGAGGGCAACGACGAGTTCAATTTCGACAGTGCGTTTTTATGGTTTATCCTTTGACAATTTTAAGAGCTTCTTGATTCAGGTCCTTCAGGCTCTGAAGCGAAGATACAGGTCGTTTTGATGGGCAACCCTGCCTTCACGGACTATGTGGATTCCATCCAGGCCCATATCAAAACGCTCCAGGACTCCATCAACATTATCGAGAAGAAAATCCCGACGCTCAGACCCAACCTCCCACAGTCGCAGACTGAGCTCGATGCATACGAGGCCGAGCGCGTCAGGCTCCGCGCCAGGATTGACGAGCTCAGGGCCTTCTATGTGGACATTAGGAAACGCTGGGGTAAGACCACGCAGCGCGTCATAGGCCACGTCGTCTGGGCACCCCCAATTGGAGTTGGTGTTGCTCCTCACCAGTATACTCGCGACCTTTGCGTAGTCCAGTTGCATAAGGAAAGGTTCATGCATCTGCTCGGGAATGTGCTTAGTCTTGGTACGGTGCTAATTCTGTCTTATGGAATGCGCTCATCTGAACTTTACCTCTGTCTGTCTCTTTCCATCTAGGCCCTGAGTACACTTCTACGAAGCTGAAGGCGTTGTTGTATAAACGCGACGATGTTCAATCAACCTTTAATTACCCAGATGACGGCCTCCTTATTCTCCGAAACATCCTCACCGCCCAGCAGATCAGCACCCCCGACGATAAGAACGCCGAAGGCGACCTCATTCGTCGTGCTATTAAGCGCGGCTTCACTACTAATACTACCGTGGGCACAGTCAGCAGATTTATGTCCTTCGTTCGTAGGTACTTCCCTACGGGCAATTTAGAGTCTATCGAGCTGCCGATTCTCCCTCATGAGAAAGAGGCTGGCACCTTCTCCAAGGGAGGCGATTCTGGGTCCATCATTGTCTCCCCCAAGGGCGAGTTCATTTCGTTGCTCACCGGTGGGTCTAACAAGGGAACCGATGGCTCGGACATCACCTACTCTACCGTCTTCGAATGGGTCTGGGAGCTCGTGCGTGAAAAGTACCCAGGTGCGAGCCTCTACTGGGACGACATTCAGGCATTCTTGGCTGCCTAGGTTCGTCTCTTTCTTTTGTCTTTATCCTATGTATCATGCTCGTAGCTAATGGCCCTTTACGTTAAGGCATGGCAAATCGACTCTCGACCTTGACTGATCTGTGACTCCTTTCCTGTCTCGTTACCCCCACACTCAATACCAGTTTGCGACTCTTTCTGCGGCTTTGGGGCTCGTTTTTGTCTCTTGGATTGTGATTCTTGATGCGGATAAGATTGCTTTGACCACTGGGCGACTGCAAAGGTGCGTCTACTTCCGTTGTCTTGTGTCGCCCTACCTTGATAACTGACGCCGTCGACTGATAGCCTGTGCATTGGTAAAGTTGTTTCCAATGCGATGGAATTAAATGCATCCTGTGGGTAAGTGGTATCGAGATTGCCTGCTATGTACGTTGCCTCAACGGTTCAAAAGAATTGCACTGCAGAGAAAATAAATGTGACAATATCAGGAACACCATGTACTCTTTGCGCCGCTAGAAATTATCCGACAACAGCGTTGTAAAAGCGATCCAAATAACAACAAAATAATCCTGTGTCTACGAGCCAATTTTACCGTACCAAACCGTGTGATATTTGGGCTAGATGAAGAGCCGAGATGGCTAAATGCTAACAAAGTATTCGTTGGCATTGGAAATGAGAAAATGAGAGGAACGGATATCCCGTTCAGCCCATCCCTTTGCACTTCCCTCATTTCAGCCAGCGTGTTTGACCAGCACACAGGAACCGTAAGTTCCAAGTCTTATCTGGCTCAGCACACCATAAACCACAGTATATTTCTGGAGTCAAAGTTGGAGTCGAGACGTCTGCCAACTTGAGGGTGGTGTTGTTCAGTGCCAGACAGCCAGCTGTGGTGGGCGGCTTACCTGAGATTTGACCACTGGCACAAGTTTTCACCACACACAAGGCAAATTCATTTACACCATTCGCAAGTCAACGCAACAAAGACCCAAGGCCGGCAATGATACCGGTATCCTTGGTAGCTTGACGCTGAGCATTGTTGACATCTATCATGTCTATCATGAGACGTCAGATCCAAATACGTGAAGTGTATAGAGAAAACATACAAGCAAGGCCAGTACCGATGGCGTGGGTGAGCTTCTCGCCAAGGTAACTGAGGTAAGCCTTGGTGGTCTCCTTCATCTTGGTAAGAACCATGGCAGAGATCTCCTCAGGAGTAAACAGCTTGTGAGTGTCACCCTTGTCATTGACAAAGATGACGGGTTTGCCACCATTGTTGATGACGTTGAAGCGCCAGTTTTTTATGTCACGCTTTACTTCAGTCTTGTCCATCTTGCGTCTAAAAAGATGCTTGGTGTTGAATACAGTGTTCTTGGGGTCAGAGTGGAAGGCATTCTTGGCTGAGTCGCCATAATAATTAAGGAAAAAGTAACATATATCCACGACCGAAGGAACAGAGATAACGTACAAATTGAATCAATAAAAAATCAACGAATGTGTGGGTGTAGGCAGTATGTTCATGAAAACAAGTTCCAAAGGCTCCAAAATAGCGATACTCAAACGGGGAGGGTATAAGCCGACGACGAGATAAAGAAGAACTGAGAAAGACAAGAAAGAAAACACCAAATGCCTGGGAGCGTGATACGGTAACGTGCGTATGCAGATAAACGGGGGAACCAATAATGAAGGTGGGCGACACATGGACACGGAACATGAACGAATAAACAGAAGTGATGGACGCGAAGCGAAAACAACACCGCACGTACCAGGGAACGAGAAAGACACGAACACAGCGCTGATCAAGAACACACGATGAACCCATGCTCAAAGCGCAATTCCGACCCCACTCGCCCCGCTCCCCACCCTCGCCCTCTCCCCTCCCGCACTCAACCCTCCCACTCCCTTTCCCGAGCCCCCATTAACAGCACCCCCAGCCATCGAACTCCTATACACCATCCCCGTCCCCGTCCTCGGCTTCCTAAGCCCAGTACCAACACCCGAATACCCCTCGCGCGGACTCGTCGGCGTCGTCCGCCCCGAATACCCCGCGCCCGTCGAGCTGCTCTTCAGAATCCCATGCAACGGCGCCCCAGACGCGGTCGTGGAACTAGCAGCGGACGAGGCGCTCGGCGTGCGCGAGACAGCCGCGCCGTTCGCGCCGAGCGACTGGTGCGCGCGCCGCTGGGCTTCGTGCACGTTGCGGTTGTACGCGAGCACGCTACCGTGTTTCGGCGCCTGCTCGCCAGGCTGGAGAAGGCGAAGCGGGCGCACGCTCGACGTAGGCGAGACGGGCACAGACGCCGACTCGGCAGTAGGCGTGTGGTACGACGACGAAGACGACGAAGTGCTTTTGGACATGACCACGGATGTCGCGCCCGTACCCAGGCTAGCAGTACGCAAGGGCGGGCGAGACATAACTCCCGCCGGCGCCTTGGCAGGTGTACCGGGCATCTTGGTCCCTGGCATACGCAGACCAGTCGAAGGTGTCGATCGTCCGTTCGCGCTCGTACCACCGTTGAGAACCTGCGCAATCGACGAACCGCCAGACTTGCCGAGCGAACTAGACGAGGAGGCAGACGTATTCGACGCCTTGCGCATCACAGCCCCAACCTCGGAGCGACTCTCGCCGGCGCCCGTCCCTCGTACGGCTCTAACGTTCATCGCACCAACACCTGGCCCAACCGACCTGGCAAGACTAGCATTCGAGCCTGTACGAGGCCTCGATACGCCACCAAGGGGCGCCGCACCAGGTATCGACGAAGGAGCGGGAACACCAGAGAACGTCATGCTCGTTTTATTGCGGAGACCTTGGGTGCTCGGGTACTTGCGTGGTGTCTTGAGACCACTGCCATGCGTCGCTGGTTCGTGCGATGCCGGCTTGGAAGTAGACGCAGAAAGAGCAGACGCGCTCTTGGAGGTGGTAAGGCCATTCGAACCAGCAGAGTGTACGCTGCTCGTAGAGGGGCGCGTGTTACCCGCTTTATCGGAAGGCGGAAGCGGAGAGGCCGTCCTGTCGTGATCGACTGGAAAGGGCACAGGCTTGGGAGTAGCAGAAGACGACGATGCACCAGGTTTCTCCGCATACTTGGACATCAGCTCAGCAGCAGCAAACGACGGAGTCCTCGTGAGCCCTCGCTGGCGATCTTGCTCCTCTGCAACAGCACTCGAGCTCTTCGAAGAGCCCTGCGACTTTTTAGGCGTCTGCATCGTCCTCGAAGGCGGCCGCGCCGACGGCTGCGGAGGAGGACTAAGCGTTCCCGATTGGGTTTTGCGCGCGCTAGAGGGCGTCCTGGCGGGCATAGTGCTGGCCTTGCCACCCATAGCCTTCCCCTTGCCCTCGACAACGCTCGTGCTCTTGCTGTTGCTCGTCCTCCCAGAGACAGCGCCAAACTCGTCAACGTCATCCTCTTCACTGTCTTCTCTCAGAACAGAGTAGCTGATCGACCGGGAAAGCGGATGGTTGGACGCAGGTGCACTAGCGCTGGAATACGTGGATGCGCGGGCAAAGGACGAGTTTCTCGACAGCTGAGAGGTGCGTCTAGATGAGCCTGCGTAGGACGAGAACACGGAGCCGCTGGCCGACGCTGCGCGTGCACGAGGAGCAGACGCAGAGGAGTAAGCCGAGTTGACGGACGCGTTGGAGGAGCGACGGGAGAGGGCCAACGAGGACAGTCGTCGAGTCAGTTCCGACGGTGCGTCTTCGTCTTCGCTGTAGCATCGACTGTCAGCGACAGGCAGAACATGCAGGACAAAAACCCACCTGTCACTCCACCCCAACCCAGTAGTCAGCCCAATACCACCCTTGAGCAGCTTCCCATCGCGGTGCCTAACGCGTCTCCGGGGCGTATCCCGCCTGTCCTTGGGTGGCCCAGACTTGCCGCTCAGCTTGCTCACATTCGTCGCGGCCGACGCAGTAGTGACGGCAGTCATAGTTGAGCCCGTCGAAATCACAGACAACCGCGAGTTCAACGAGGGCGTCTCCCGCTCTCGATCGCCGAACGGGAGCAGCTTCGAGTGCGGGGAGAGCATGCCTTCACGGAGCATAAGGTGTCTGGCACCAGAACCGTTAGCACGTCACTAGTTTCAGAGCCAGAAACCGGAACTCACGGGAGCGGTGTATGTAGATCCAAACTCGAATCCGAGTCCGACCCTCCCTGCTCCTCTCCCCGCCCCTCTCCCCCTCCACCGCGCCCGTTCACCGACGACGTCCGCCTCTTCACCGACCCACCCACCTCACCCTCCAAATACCCCATCCCATCCACCACGCGACTGCTCCCAACAGACAACCGCGACGCCGTACTCGTGCTCCCGACCGACTCCCTCGAATGCGCACTCAGCCTCGACCCAGACGCCTTCGCTCTCAGCCGGCTGCTCGACTTACGCGGTCTCGGCGTCGCACGCAACATCTCCCCGATCTCGGGGCTCGTCCGTCCCTCTCCATCTTTTCCCCCGCCCTGCTCCTTCGCATTCGTCATCGTCATCGCTGCCCTCGCCGACGGCGGCGGACTCGTCGGCGGCGAATGCGGGTTCGCCATCCTCACCTGCGCCGCACTCGCACTCACATCCCTCGACCTCCTCCCGCGCGACCGCACCCTCTCGAGCTCAAACGCCTCCGCACCACGCACCCCCCGCCCACCATCATCCGTCTCCTCGCCCATCGTCACCTCCCCCGCAACAGCAGCAAGCTCCTTCAGATCGATATCCGCTATACTCGAATTTCCCAATCCACCGCCATCCTCATCATCATCCCCATAACTCGGAAACGGCATCGGACTCGGCGCGGCCACAAGCGATTTCGTCGTCCGCGGCGGCGTACTCGGCGCCTTCCTCGTAATCGACGGCGCATCGCTCAGCAGCTCCGTTTCCTCCTCCTGCACATCCAGCAGATTCTCCGCCGTAAGACTGGCCTTGCGCGCACGCGCCGCGAACTCGTCCGCACTCGTCGTGCTCGTCGCAGACGACGCCAGACCACCAAGGCTGCTGCTGACCGTGCTCGTAACGCTGTTAAGCGTCGCGCCCGACCCTTTCCGCGCGATCGGCGGTCTGCTCGCGCCCGCACCCAGCGTCGGGCTCTCCATCGGCGTCACCGCCGGCCCGCGCGCCGTTAGCCCATTATGCACGCTCAGGAGCGACTGCGACGACGCATTCGACCCGCCCCTCGGCCTTCCCCCCTCAGCAGACCCCATCGTAGACGTCGACACCGACTCAGACGCAGTCGCAGACAGGGGCGAAGACGACGGCCACCCGTTCCCAATATTCCCAAAGCTGCCGACGGGCGACGGCGACGGCGGAGGCGCACCCTCGAAGCCCTTCATCGGGCTGACGCTCCTCCGCCCCGAGGCGGTCGAGTCGATGGAGCGTACTGAGAGCCGCGAGGCGCGCCGCGCGCGGGGGCCGATGCCGTGTTGGCCCTGGGCGCCGGTGATGAAGAGCATCGCGGCGCTGTCGACGGGGCTTGAGCTAGGTACGGGCGGGAGGGGTGCTGCGGGTGGCAAGCTAGGCGGAGGATTGGAGGTGAGCGAGTGAGAGGGCGAGTGGGTCAATGTCGCTGGCGAGTTCTTGGGGCTTTGTTCGTGGCTTGGCCTTTGCATGGGGGTTAGCCGCTGTTCAAGGCTCGGCCTATGTTCGTGGCTCGGCCTGTGTTCGTGGCTCGGCCTGTGTTCGTGGCTCGGCCTGTGTTCGTGGCTGAACCTTTGCTCGTGGCTTGAACGGTGGTGGTGTGCCATTGAGCCGTGGTTAAGCGAGCGCGCATAGCTCGATCCGCTGCCCGATCTCCTTCTCGTCGAGAAATTGTTCAGCGCCGTCGGCCAGCCCCCCGCGGGCGTAGGCAGTGTCGCACTCTCGGGCACTGCTGGCCATCCTCCTGCAGTAGTCGGCAGCGTTGCACTCTCGGGAAAAGCGGGGCCGCGATCGCCGCCGCTCTCAGACCTCCTGTGCGCGCGCACGGTTGCATCTCTGTCTCTGTCTCCCGACTGTCTTGGGTTTGACATGGTATAGCCAATGTTGGGCAGCTCGCCGACGTGGGAGATGGCGCTCCCGCTGCTGCCAGCCGAGCTTGGTGGCGTAGCGTAAACGCTCACGCTCGATATGCTGGATACGCTCGCGCTGGCTGCCATAGCAGGGACCTGCACCCTAAGCCTGTCGTGTGTGTCGTCAACATGTCCGCCGTCTCGTGAGGCTGTCGATGGTCGCTGTCCTGAGCCCGTGGAGCTACGCGGCCCCGACCCGGCACCTGAGTTCGAATTGGACCGCGAAGGCGGGTATGTAGGGGTGGACGAGGCTGTGGTGCCGTTGGGCGATGTGCTACCGCCGTACAGCGCAGAAGGAAACGGCTGGGTCATACTCGAGGGTGTGCCGCCGCCTGGTGACGGGGACGGCGGGATGTGGGTCGGCGGGGAAGGGAATGCCTCGAGTAGAGCGGGCACGGGTGTGCGACGCTGGTGGGGGTTCGGAGTCGGGTTCGGGTTCGGGGAGATGGGTCGCGTGGCATGGGCATGGACGCTGTGGTGGGATCGGGTAGAGGTAGCTGAGGAGGTCGACGGGCGTGGTTGGAGTTGCGCTGGGGTAAGGGAGTGGGTGGAGTGGACTGACAGGGTCACGGATGCACCCGAGGATGTGGATGGGCGGGGTGGGCGTGAGTGTTGCTGGGGCGGCGAGTGGGGGTTGGGGTATGCAGAGGACATGGTTGACAGGAAAGGGGACGAGTAAGGAGCGGAGGAGGCTGAAGGAGACGCCATGAGCATCTATGGATTGCTCGTGATTATGTGTGGGCTATAGCTGATTATACGAGATTTGAAGGGACTGAGAGGGAACTGGGACGGTAACCAGCTGCTGGTCGAGGGAAGAAACAACACTAAGTATATGACAGACTACGGTGGACCGCACTCACCGACAATCCTCTATAGCCTTTTGTACAAACCGACCACTTGGTTCGCTTTAGAGTGAGCTGCGAGCGTCAAGCGGGCCAGCACGAAAGAAAAAGAGAAAAAGAGGAGGGTGGCCTCAGCAGCGTCGAGTGCAAGACGTTCTCCACCTCACCAAAATCGTTTGCTCTTTCCCTTTCCCACCTCTATCTTTTGTCTTACGTAAGCATAATCCATCCAATCATGTCGCAGCATCAACCCAAAATGAAATCCCATCATCTGCATCCACACCATCCGGCTAACTCCCCATTTTCCGACTCTCCTTCCTCCCCACTTGCCCAATGGCACCGTGGATGCAAAATCATTTTGTGCCATGCTGTCTGACACACGCTCGTGGAGGTGACATGTCAGTTCGTATGTTCGAACCCTCGAAGAACTCCGCCGCAGCGCTCATCAGCGTTATGTTGCCGTATCAGACTTCTCAGTTCACCCAACAACGCCGGTGAATATCCATGAGGTCATGAACCCAAAGCAAACCTTGATCAAAAAAGCGCGGTCCTCGGCGACTTGCGCGCGCTTCCATGTCGGCGCTGCCAGCGACGGCAGTCCCATTTCCTGATTCGAGCCTCCGTGGCTTCGACGCCGCCTTTTCTCCCCGCCGCAAACTTTCAATTTTCTCGACACCTACACGTGTCCTTTCCTCGACGTCGACATTGACCCTGCCAGTGCAAACCTTCGTATACAATGCACCCTAGTTCGTCAGCGGGGAATGCTGACCAGAGAAGATTCTCCCGTCGCCTTCTTCGAGAGTCCTTGAATATCGCAGATTTCTTCAGCCCCGCTTCCTTCGCCAGCTCCGAGTCCAGACGACGACCGCTTCATTAAACCCATAAAAGCTTGTCTCGACGTTTGACAGCTGACAGACGCAATGTTCGACCACATTAAAATGATCCAATGCTGTTGAATGCGAGTGTCGTTGTGGGACGAATGCAGCTGCTCTACAACGCTTCAGGTAACATGAAGAATCCGAGAGCAGGTAATTTAACGTTACGATCCTCAGGGGACCGTTCTATAGTCGGCATCAGAATGTTCAAGAACACTCGACATTCTAGCACTCTTATGCCCTTACAGCTAGGCTCTTGTGCTTCTTTACTCCTGGGTCCTGACGCTGGACTCAGGGACCGGGGACAATTCACTCCGACTTCTCGGTCATTCGCACACTACAGTGCCGGACAAGCAAAGTCGACAAATTTGGTAACTGACTTTTGACAGTACTTTTGGCCAATTTTTCATCGGGAACGGGTTCGGAAAGGCAAAAGGAGCTTAAAAAATGCCTTCCGAAGTTTTTCCCACGACTTTTGGCCGCGATCAATTTTTTGAGAGAAAAAAATGCAACTTTATAGGGGTAATTGCCTTATTGGGGTGTCTTATAGTCACGTAATCCATGAAGGAAGATGCTGATTGAGCAAGAGAATTACCATAGTATCTTTAGTATTGCCGCGGCTCGAAAAACCAGCTCAAACCGACCCCTCAAAATGCACTTTCTTGCTACAATACCGATTAACGAAGTATGAATCTTCGCGGTTTTTAACTTCTACACAGCAACGAGGTATGCTATCTAGACTGATAATGTTAATGAGTCCTTTCATCGACTTGGTTCCAGCCAGTTCGCCAAATGCGGCAACACTAAGTATCTTGGCAGGGCAAGGATGAAGGGGCACCTCCTCTACCCACACCGTCAAATCGAAGTATGAATATTTGAATCCCCAAACTGTGGTCTGACCTCTCTCTCAAGATTATAGGGGCTGTGTACAGCTTTTCGAAGGTGAAGACTGGGGTTAAGCTAATTTATGAGCTATTGGCTCGACAGATTCTCCTGATATTCACTGGGGACGGCCCTCCAAGCATTACAAGACATTCTAGATACTTTATAAAAGATATAAAAATGGTCAATAAAACGGGTGACCGGCGTGTTCTACCCTATACAACTCGCTACTAAGATTTTTTAAAGGAAAACTGAGACCAGGGCCATCATCAGACAACCGAAAGGAGCTCAAAAACGTACCTCCGAAGTTTTTCCCACGACTTTTTGCCGCGATCAAATTTTTGAGGGTTAAAATCCGTAAATGGTAATTTCTGAGGGAATAGCTCGATAGTTTTCTTTGAAATTTATATGAGAACCTCCTTTAGTTAATATGTATCGATTCCGATGGTTATCGGAGGTAATAAAAATGGTCGACCAAATTGGTCGACTTTGCTTGTCCGGCACTGTACCAGTATGGAAATCGGTGATCTGACTCTGAAACACTCCAAGCGCTCGCGACGCGACGCGTCACGCGTGCACTCGAACCACCACCTGGTCCTCATCTCGCTACATCCCTTTGCTTACCCGTTCATTCCTTCCAGCTTTTGACACACCATATGTACAAGTTTCTCACTACACATTAAAATCTCAGCCGCATGCTGATTCGTATCCCCACAGCCGCCCACCCCCTATGAAGCCTCTCCAGACTACCTTAACAGCCACCGCCCAACGAACGAGCAGCACCTCACCAGACCCACAATCAATCACAGTCGAGCGCCGCTACTTCCGCTTCGGTTTCAAAGCCTCTACCGCGCTGCAGCGTTCCCCCCTCGCGCACAGACTCGAGTCCCTTCCAACCTCAGAGGACAGTGTGAAGCACCATGTAGCATACGACATCTACACCGGCCCGGGCGCCCCACCCCCGCCCCTCGGCGGCCCCGACGACCTCTACGTCAACCTGTCCGACGCCCTCCTGCACGCAAAACTCGTCGGTGGCTGGACAAAGTGGCCGGGCGTCACACAGCCCGCCAAGGGCTTCCAAGAGCTGCAGAATGTCCTTCTCTCCCACCCGGATTTCTCCGGTCTTGATATCCCACACACGATGCGCTACCTCTGGTGCAACCCGCGCAGGGACATGCTCGGGTGGTTCGACGAGTCCTTCATCGCCAACAACCTCACGTTTCTCGGCAAGATCTGGGCCATGGCCTCCGCGTCGCAGCGGCTCCACAGGAGATGGCAGATCAAAGCATGGATCGAAAATCGCGCGGCGTCTGCACGTCTCCAGGATGCACTGAGCGACATGGACATCAGCAATGGCAACAGCAACAGCAGTGAGACAGACAAGGACACCACGGCAGGAGAGAGACATGCCGGCACCAACGATGATGCCACGCGCAAACACAATGCAGAAATTGCTCACACACCGTCCACCTCCCGCGCGCCTTGCAACCCGTATACGCAAGCACCCACACCTCCCCAGGAACCACAGCCCGAGCCCCGCATCACAGTAGAAACCCACTACATCTTCTTTGGCCGCAGAGCATCCGCAGCGCTATGTTCCTCCCCACCGCTTGCAGACAAAATCGAGTCCACCTCCGCAGAGCACAGCTGCATTGTCAGCTACGACCTCTACACCTGCCTCCACAGCGGTGCCCCAGACCCAGCCCTCGGCTGCCTCGGGGACGTGTACATCAATCGGTCTGATAATCTCATGTACGCAAAGCTTGTGGATGGGTGGACGAAGTGGACAGGCATTACACAGCCAAAGAAGGTGCTGCAGGCACAGCAAACCGTGCTCATCCCTCACCCCGAGCTCGGCGTGCTCCCAGGTGGGTGCTTCCTGTGGTGCAACGTGCACAGGGACGTGCTCGGGTGGGTCGAAGAGTCCTTTGTTGCGCGCGCACGCAAGTACCTCCAGAAGCGGTATCACAAAGTGTCCGCATACCAGCGTCTGAACGGGCAGTGGATGGTCTGAGAGTGGATCAAGAAGCGCGATCAAGGGTCGACATGTCCTCAGGGTCAATCGGGCATCGCAGAATCGGACGGCAGGGACGGCGGGGATGGCGGGGATGGCGACAACGATGGCGGCGATGATGATTGTAATACAGCAGATGAAGATTCAAAGGACGCTGGAAAAACTACACGTACAAAGGCGGAAAGCAGTGCATGCCAGGTTCGTATGTTGTCCGCCTTCAATGTACCTCTGTGTAATCGAGTACCCAGTTCCAGGAACATAGCAACGAGAATGAAAGATGACCACGCCCCCTCAAGAAGAAGCAGTACAAGAAGTGTATCAAAAAGCTCGAGCTGGATTTAAAGCAAGGTAAATATCCGCATCTTACAGTCCTCCCTTCTAGCTGGCTTATTCGATGCTACGACGGGACAGCCCAAGAACTTGCCTGCAGACAAGACAACACTATTCGAGTGCAGGAGCAAGAACTTCAATCCGTCCGGCAGCTTTGCGCGGATTTGACGGGTGCTCAGCACTCAGCAACGGACCTTGGAGGTAAGCAGCGGCTCTTGTGCTTTAACCTCCGCCGTGAGCTCATGTACCTGCCGACCTTAGGTTCTTCCAGCCTCCTCTCATTCCACAGAAGGCTCAGTGCTCTCCAGTGCTGAGCAAGTTTAATCTAATATACAAGCCCTACAGTTGTGCATGTATTGTTTCTGCACTACTTACTCGATCCACCTCGTACCCAGCCAGAAGCGGTGATCTGTGACCCCATGTAAATCCCACAGACTACTCACAACACAGGCAAGGTAATTTGGCAATGACGCATACACGGAGACCTTAGGGCCCTTGGTCTTGCCTGCTGCCTTGCTCTGCGTGAAATCGAAAATATGCATACATCAGCAAAGTCACAGCAGCCCACGGCAAATTGCGGGCTCGACTTGCTTTCACATTGGCATTGCCAACAACGGTAGCGGGATTCTCTTTGAATACTTCACCTTCGCGACCTCGACATCGCCTTCTCAATAAGACCCACACTCTTTGGTAGCAGCCTCAGCTAAGGCGTGTCTTGAATGCTCAAGTTCAAAATCGACAGTGATCAAGTCCTGACCTTGCATGAACGACCCTCAATATTCTGACGTTTCTGTTCTACTGAAAATCCTCTACACCCTTCTTATGGTACACAAATGCACTCAGTGAAGCCAAATACATTTCCATGCGATGCAAGGATGGCATCCCCGAATATACAAAAAATCAGCCCACTTAGCCTTTATGCAAACATAATGTTTACACAGTGTCTAGGGCCAGTCAGGTATCCGTGTTCAAGACACTTGCTTCTGACATGAAATTGAACCGTGACCTGGTTCTGACGTTGCCCTTCAGCTTTTGGTTCCTATCCTCCGCTTCCTAATCCCAGAACCCTGATACAACTCAAACACACCAGCAGAGACGTCAAGGAGACGTGCACGGTAGCCCTGTTCTCATATACTTCAAGAAACTTGCTCAGGTTCGGATGGCACTGGAAAGACTTTGCTATGCTTGCTTACACCGATCTACATGCAAACCCACAGCTGACATGGCCGCAAGATCTTCTGGCACTGATCATTCAGCCATCTCAGATAACGAACAAGTCTCCAAGACGTGTTCGAACGGAACACCCCGAGTTGAGCAAGGATTCATCCTCTTCGGGAACAGGGCGCACACAAGGCTGAGCTGCTCATTTCTTCCGGGTAGATTTGAGCCCACACCATCAGGAGTCAGGCCCAGCCACCGCGTGGCCTTCAACATACACAAGGCTCATGGTGCTCCAAGTGCCAAACTTGGCCACCTTGGAGACATCTACCTGGATCTTGGTGACTACGATCAGCTCTAAGCCAAGCTGGCGGCTGGTTGGGTGAGGTGGACCAGTGTTTCACCTCCTTCGGATGGCTGGAAGGGATGGGCAAAGCTCAAGAAGGACCTGATATGTCATCCCGAGTTCTCTCAGCCAAAGGACGAGCACTTTTTGTGGTGCAACAGTCATAAAGGGACGCTGGGCTGGATGGGTCAAAAATGTGTGGCTTACAACGCGATGTTGCTCAGCCGGTTATATCCAGACCTGTCGGAGCCCCAGTGGCGTCAAGGAAGATGGGTTGTTGAGAAGTGCATCGGGGGAAGTACTAATGAAGATGAGGAGGGAGACGGGTAGAATTGTGGTTGAAAACAGTACCAAGGTCAGAGTCAAGGCCATATGCTTAATGACGGAGACAAAGGACAGCGAAGAGGTTGGGTCTCATGGCTTCATCACTAAAAGTGCAGTGGACTTACATGCAAGCAATAAGGCCCACAATCGCTTACAGGGAGCACAGTGGTCGAAGCGACTTAGGGTAAGTACCTCGCAAGTCAAACAAAGCAGCTTCAACTTTGACAAGACGAGGAGGATTTGACAGAAGCCGATTCGAGCGTGTCAGCATCCAGGTAGGGTTACAAGGCTGAGTCTGCTTACAGGCACTGTGACCTTTGTAGGCTGTACAGGCGCTGTTTACGATGCAAGGCCAGGTCATGAGTGCAGTGGACTATAGCGATCACATCTCTTACAAGCCAATTTATGATTATAGCACACTTGTGATTTTCCATTGTTATAACATACATGAGACAGACTAATGTACAGCAGCAATAGTACATGACAAAAATTAACATAATTGTTGACAACACGAGAGAGTACACGAAGCATGCAGATGGTCAAGAACACATACAACTCGAGTGGACGAGAACAGGGGCTCAAGAAATTACCTTGAAGAAAGCGCGTTGAATAAGAGAGCAGCAAATAAGTATCATGATATGAGTGACAAGCTACCGAAGTGGGCGTGTTAGACTCGGAAACACGACAGAAGAAACGCACGAGAGGGTATGGGGACCGTGTTTGAGGGCCGGGATGCACGTCTGTTGCCTTGGTAGGCAGTCTGTCCTTGTCAGAGGCCTTGGTGCTGATGTCCGAATTGTGACGGGGAGACGACAGGCGGCGAGAGGGTGGTGCATTATGACGGGGAGAAGGTTGGCAGCGAGGGGAAGTCAGGCGAGAGACGCCTGTCTCTTAAGTATCAGAAGCTCTGGCATTCCAAAGTCCTTCTGCTTCTTCTACGCCCTTTTGTCCTTTCACCCGTTCCCGCTTCTCTGGTTCTCTTGCTTCTCCCGAACCTCCTGAACCGTCATGAGCTGTCTACTTCTGCATTCAGACATTCTGGGATAATGAATCTACGCTATACAGTATATATATTAGCTTGTGGTGTGTGGTTGATTTCGGATGGTCGCAGCCAAGTAGAATATAGGGGAGTTGCCGCATTTGTCATCGGAGTCTGAAATTGAATTCGCGACACTGTCAATTTTCTCTTTCGAGCCCCCTTGGTTTCTTCGCCGCTCCGCATGTGCTGTCACACATACAGGAAGTCGCTCTTGGGCACAATAATTGTTCTGGGTGCTTCCCTTTGACAGCATATGGTGGATTCGGCTCCAAAAACTAATGCCCACCTAACACACAACCATGAAAAAGAGCTGTGTATGTGTGGGTTACTAACCCCAACCTTAGCCCGGAGTAGTGCGCCAGCACGTACAAGCCCGGTGTCAGAGTGTGAGTAGTCTTGTACTCGGGTATCAAACATATACAATTCTGGCAAGGCAGCGACATAAATATAGTGATGATGACAAGCTAACTTGATGCCTTGCCAAACGGCACCCCATTTAGACAATATCTCACATGGCTTTACAATTCGATCTCGAACCTCACAGTGCCTTGCACGTGCGATTCGAGTTCTGCAGACCTCCGGTATAATTTACAAGAGCTCGTATATTAATGTAATTTCTCAGAATGCATGATAAGGTCAACCCTATTCTGACAACAGCCACAGTGGTCGATTGTCCGGCTGCACTTTCTGTGATGTTCAAACACAGGTGTAGTGACGATACAAGTCAGGTATGTTTCAAGCCGCTGCTTCTCTTCGTAACATGGGAATGACATGTTCCAGAGCGGCGCTGTCAGAGATGCAGGCGACCCCGATAACGATCATGCTGATCCATCAAGAACTTCCGGCCCAGTCTGGAAGTGACAGTGTCTGGAGCAGAACCCCAACACCCAAGAAGGCGCTTCTGCGCTTTCACTATCGTACAACCCGCTGATCACTGTCACAGAAGATTACCACTAGTCCGAGCCAGCCAAGCCCGTAGATGCGCCGGAGCAAGCACTCACCTTCATATCGGAGTACATTGAAACGGTTCAATTTGAGCTGTGGCAAGGTGAGCCTGCGTTTAGAAACGGGATCCATAAGCTAGCTAACAGGGTGCACTTGGCGTGCTACAGCTCGCACGGAGGCCGATGAGGATACTACCAACCTTCGCAGGTGTATCGCAGGGCTTGATGTTGACCTGAGACAAGGTGAGTACTAAACCTCACAAGTTTCTAGTTGTGTGCCTAAATATCAATCAAAATCATCCAGCCCAGCAAACCGCTGCTCAGTGTGAATCAAAGTGCGCATCATATGTCGAGAATATGGCCAAGCTTGAGCTAGAGTTAAAGCAAGGTAAGCCATGCGCTTCAGCTCAAGGGTAGACACCGGTTAAACCAAGTCACCTAGTATGAGAGGTTGATTCCACCCAAAAGAATTTGATACATGCACATGGGGAAGCTTTGTGCGAAGCTGAAGAGCGCTGTGCTAGTTTATTGAACGTCCAGCAACAGATTTTGCATGTGAGCCATGATGTCTACACGCCCATTCAATGCTGACGGCGTATACCCTGATCAGCTCGCACAAAGCCCTTCGGAACCCGCCAGGATATTGATTTTCCCGAAGACCGAAGAGGCATAGATTTCACTAAGCTATCTTATGCCATAACTCCCACAGCGGTCCTAATCATTTAACCATTACTGTGTTCTGCCGACATCTATGGTGCGCACTTGGGCCAACTGTGAAAAAGGACATTAATATTCGTCATGGAAGCGTACAAATATAATGTCATGCAGTCTACATGCTTTTCACCGAGTAGGTCATGTACCAGCCCTGTTCACCGGACACGGGATGTCCCCACCGGAAGGCAAATTATCAATGCTATACAGCACAGGGGTCGAGTGCACAGCGTGCAGTATGCGTTGAATGGATGACCCACGTTATCTACTGGCTGAGGTGACCAGTTTGCTTGCACGCGGCAATCAAGCACCGGACAGTGGCTTAAGAATTATTCATATCATGGTGAGGAAGACACATGTCAACATGACAAGCTGCAATCATCAGGGGCATGTACCTCGTGTTGGCGATGACGAGGTTCATACAGCAGTTGGAATGGAACATCATGTAAACTGCGAGTGAGACGGAAACCCAGTATAATTGATTATGGGGGACTGCCAACGGAGAGTTGCTCCCGGGGAAGGTATCATGATGTGGATGTGCACGTTGGCATTTACACTGTTCTCCTTTTATTCTGAGAACGGATCTGAGAAAGTTAGAGAGTGGAGGGTACGTTCGAGTCAAAGACGGCGGGTGTGTGCTAAATTTAGTCCTTTACCTTGCCTTTACCCTGCATTCTTTCCCTATACATAGTACATGTGCTTGATGCTTCTGCGCATCGCCTTCTAAACTCTTCTATCTCTTCAAAGATTCTCGAACACTGATATCTATCATTCCCTGCTGTGAAAACCTATGCCAAGTCACTGTGCCTTTGGGCTGTACATGTTGTCTCAGCACGGGACACTCTTTATCCTATATATACCTCGCGTACCACCTAGTACCATGTTCTCGCAGGATTCAAGAACCCATTTCTCTTTTCAGCATTACCTCTTGTACCAGAGTCTCTATCCAGCCCTCTATTTCATCGTCACAGTGAAGGATGTCCCAGGTCAGTGAATCAGTGAACTCCATTGTTTCATCAGCAATAACGCTGTAATTTGAAGCCAAGCGCACATGATTCTAGCAACAACATTATGAATGTAAGTGTTTCCGCACCTTGACTCTGTCAATTACTAATTGGGCTATCAGATGCCTGCATCAATTCGAAGGCGAGACCCTGCAGCTGGCCGCGACAACAAGCCCCAACAAGGTGTGTAGTTTGAGAACTCTTCGTTCAACCGAGGATCTCACAACGGCAGGCACAGAACCGCTTCAATCAAGCAACAGTCGACAAATAATTTCTAAACTGAAGAAGATGCTGGGAATTACAGGCGCGCGACCAGCGAACAAAGATCCCATTGGGAACTTCGCCAAGGTACTCCCGCGCAGTACACCACTGGTATCCGTCTGTAGAGCAAAACCAGACTGTCTCTCAGCTACGTTTTGATCCTTGTGCGCGTCGCTAACTTCACATCAGCGCCTCGCTGCCCACCCCATACGGAGTCCCCGAGACAACGACGAAGACTCCGAATCGGACAACAATGACGAAGGACACGACCGTGCTCCAACCAGCAGCGCTCCACCTCAAGCCACCGAGGAAGGCGCACATGCCAGAGACCAGACTATGCAGGGATAACACAACATGAACACGCACGAAAGTCAGACGAGCCAAGGGGAGAACGGGTCAATTGACGTGTCCGCAGCGCAACGCGGCGGCGCAGGGTGGACCTTGGTACGGACGAGCATGTGGGGAGTGGGGTCTACATAGCGGAAAGCCATTTTGCTACGGGTGTTCGAACGAATGATGGACCTTGCGTGTGTAGTTCAGCTGTGGATTCAAGGAGAGCAAGGACGGCGCCATTGCCGAGAGAGTGGTTGTCACGAGCAAGGGCGCGCAAAGGCATTCGCGAATCCATCCAAGTTGATTATTGATTATTGAATATTGATTGGTCTAAGACAAACCTGAGCTCATGTGCGATGGGATTCCTGGCATAGAGCACGAGCTATATGAAGAGTTACAGTCTGGATGATGGAAGATATAAGCTCCTTGGTGCGCTGAACGTAATTACTGACCTCCAGACTCTTCCTTGCCACTCTCATTCTCGTTCCTTGCCCTACCGCGACCGCCCCCGCACACTCCTGTGAACAACCATCGAGCTCACCTGGCTGGCGTGGATATTTGATTCATAGCGCAGCATCCAGCCCACGCAGTGCTACGGTACTGTTGAAATGGTGCACGTCAGAGATGGCCGCAAAGACGCGTACCAGGGACTCTGCATCTAGTCATCAGCGCCTGTGCAAAGGGCCGACAAATGTTCCCCGCGCGCTTCGGGGCAACGTTTGCTTGATAAGCAGAATTGCCATATATGGGGCTGCGGTGCAGGTTTTATACCCAGTCGCGTCGGGCGCGGTTGTAACGTTCCATCGAGTTCTCTTTCACCATGTCGCGAGGCTGCCCTGGGATTGCCTGGGACTGCCGAGTGAACAGCAATGCCTTGAGCGTACGCGTTCAAACGGCTTGATGGGTGGGTTCTTGAACGCTTGCTGAACCATAACGGGGGCGCGGAGCCGCACCTCCGAGGAGGTATTTGTCAGGGTAGTCAGGGGCTTCGTGACGTTTTCACCAGACCCTTTCAACAGCCATAAAGCCTACTCCGCGAAGGGCTCCTCATACTCAACTTCCTCAGCTTCCCAATCATGTCCTCTATCCTTGACAGCCTTCCACAAGTCTCAGTTGACAGCCTGCAAGAGGCCGTTCTCAGCCTGCGCCCTTTGAATGTTGCCGCTATTTCCGTGGGTGTCTGGCTCCTGCTCAAAGTTGCCCGCACCGCGCGCCGGCGTCTGGCCTCTACTCGATTGAGAGGCCCTCCACGAGCCGACCTCTTTTTCGGCCAGGGTCGCTATGTTGAAGAAAGCAAGGACACTGCCTCGATATACGAGGCTTGGGAGCATGAATATGGCTCCGTCTTTTCCATCCCATGGACACTCGGGATGACCAAGGTCGTGTTGTGCGATCCCAAAGCCGTCACGCACTTCTATCAGTACGAAACGACACGTTACGACAAGTCCAAGGTCAACAAGCATCTGACTCGGAATTTGGTAAGCGCTTGCGCTGCGTTGCTTGATCACCAGTCTTGTGGGCTAACTATCGATTTGTTATAATAGGCGGGAGACAGTGTCATCCTCGCCATTGGAGATGATCACAAGAGGTCAGTTTGTCCATTATCTCGCCGTGGCATGTACGCTCATTGCGCTTCACGATACAGGCAGCGCAAGGCGATGACTCCGGCTTTTAGCAACGCCTCTATTCGCAATGTCACGAGCACGTTCTACGACTCTGCGTACAAGGTTAGTTTCATGCTTTTACCATGCCTCTCGCCGTCGCTTATCTCATTTGTCAGGTTGTCGAAGCCTGGTCGTCCATCCTTGAGTCCTCAAACGACAACATCATCGAAGTGCAGGGCTGGATGAGTCGCGTTTCGTAAGCATCATATAATACATATTCATGCTCCTCTCTCACTTCTTTGAAGCCTCGATTCTATCGGTGTTGCCGGCTTCTCGCACGACTTTGGGACACTGGACGGCAAGTATTCCAAGGTCGCCGATGTCTTTGAACGGTTCCAGTCAACCAAACCAGGCGTCTTTTTCAACATAAGCATTCTCATCGGACTCGTCTTCCCGGCAATTATGAAGCTTCCTATAGCCCGCTTGGCGCTCGCCAAAGAGCTCAACGGTGCCCTCAGTGTTGTGGCAAAGGATTTGATTGAGCGCATGCGCCAGGAGAAGGCAGGATTGGCCGAGGGCCAGAGCGACAACTCAGTTATCGGACTATTAAGTGAGGTCATCCTTCCTTTCCACCGGTGGGGAATGCTGACCATCTTCTCGCAGTCAAGGCCGGTTCTCCTGGGGCGGAGCTGTATATGTCGGAGGATGAAGTTCTTTCACAGATCAAGTTGTTGCTGGTCGCCGGCTACGAGACCACTTCAAGTGCGTTGATCAATTTTTGTACTGTACCTAATAATGAGCTAAATAACTGTTCTCTACAGTCAGCTTATCAGTAAGTCACTGGGCGCCGCGTTTGGAAGAAATACTAACGTTCCCTAGTGGGCACTTACTGAGCTCGCGAAGAACAAAGACGTCCAAACCAAGCTCAGAGAAGAGCTCTCGCAGTTTGTTGGCAAAGACCCCACATACGAGCAGCTCAACAACGGATTGCCATACCTCGACGCCGTGGTCCTCGAGACGCTCAGGATCCACGCGCCAGTGCCTGAAACGACGCGTCTCGTGAGTTTCTATTTATCAGTCCGGATATACTCTATGCGGCTCGCTAACCTCGCATTCTTACATAGGCCGCCGAAGATGACGTTATCCCGCTCAGTGAGCCCATCAAGGACGCGTCCGGCACCCCACGCGACCACATCGTTGTCGCCGAGGGCACCCAGGTGACCGTCTCGATCCACTTCGTCAACCGCTCCGAAAAGTTCTGGGGCCCCGACGCGAAACAGTTCAAGCCCGAGCGGTGGCTCAACCCGGACGGGCTCGAATCGCGTGCGAAGGAGATCCAGGGGCACAAGCACCTGCTCACGTTCGCGGATGGCCCGCGGATGTGCCTGGGCAAGGCATTCGCGCTCTCGGAGTTCAAGGCGGTGCTGTCGACACTGGTGAGGAACTTTGAGTTTGATATGCGGGATGCGAAGGCGGAGGTTGAGATTGCTCGTGGACTGTTGCCGCGCCCGAGGATTGTTGGTGAACAGAAGGTCGATCTTCCTCTGAGAGTTACTCGGCTGTGAGTTAGCCTCGTGTGATGGGTGCTGTCGTGGCTTTAGACATACTTACATTCGTGTCTGTGGACAGTAGTAGTTTTACGCTTTCTTATTTATAATTCCCCTTGAATATCCCTCTTACTATTTTCTTCCCTGTCTTCCCTAGCTAGGCTCTTTTAATCATTCGTTTACATTGTAAAGACAGCTCGAATTTTCATTCTGAAGTTACAACGATTTTATGTGTGTCGCAGCGTTGTGGTACCGAGGTCTCCGGATTGTCTTCGGACGTCTAATCGTGCGTCTGCAGTTGAAGATAAATAGGGGTAAATGCAAATAAGAAACAACAAGGAGGAGGACGCGTCTGTGGCACGATGCTTTGCAACGCTTCGAGCCTAACGCATTGTGACGTCCAGAACGGCATTTGCTAAACCTGCGTCTACTTGACCTTCTTTCTCTTCACATTTGTTTACGATCCAGGGCAATGCAAATCAACATCGCGCTTATATGGACTCCTCTGTTTGCATGCTCGGTATCACCCAAACCGAAGAGAAGAGTAACAGCGTTCAACATCTGTCAGGACGAGCCCACCCAGCTTGCAGGCGCAACTCACATGCGGAACGATGTGCGTATACGCTAGCAGGTGGCACAAACCTATCAAACAGAGGAAACTAAACAAGGCTAGTCTAGCAATGTCCCCACTTATGGCGGTGAGCGCGGTAATGGAATGGACGCCGTGCGACCGGATCGCCAACCGTGCCTTCGTTGCGGCGCTGGAATTTCGGGATATACACTATCCGACGTGCGTGTGACTGATGTGCGTCCTTCAGCTCACCCTGTAACACTCTCAGTCACCTCTAACATACCTACGCATACCCGCCCCACGTTCTCGCCACAGACTTTAAACATCTTCCCGTTTCCTCATCCCCGTCAACCAGCTATACCGCGATAGCAACATCCTCGAGGCCCCGCATGCCTCTCTCTACTCCTGACACGCTTCATGAACAGGATAGAAGGTACGCTTGCTGAGAACAAGTGATTCATAAGGCCTTATGTGGAGCGCTCTTCTCCTACTAGCGGAATAGCGCCCAAGAACGTTCACAATGTAGCCCGGACCATGTGCATGACAGATGGAGAGGTATTGATCTCGCTACGAACGTTCCATGCCGCGAAACAAGGACAGCGAACATAAAGGAGGTAAATCCAAATTTTCGTAGCAGAATGGAAGCCATGGAGCATCAACTGGGCATCAAATGGCTGAACCGAACAGGTGAAAAGTCGCGGACAGCCGTGTTGTTTGAAGACGACCTCATCTTTAATCTGTCGTTGGACTCAATGTCTAGTATTCTGGTCCTTTGACGATGCTGTCGCTCTTCAGAGTAGACGTGGCTCAATCGAACCTGTAGGACGCTCCTGTGGACAATCATGCGCTAACGGCATCCGTCGCAATGGTCTCCGCTATTCGACATTCTGTGGCACACGACATCTCTAATAGCACAGCGACTTCTGGGGCGCCACCAGCGCCACGTCCTTGTCGTTGTATATCCCAGTAAGTTCCCATGCTGATGTTTGGGTCCGGGATGTTGGGACGTCCCACATGTTCCTTAGGTTTCTCTTGGGATTAGATAAAAGTAAGTGTCCTCCTCATGATGACCTCCAGCATCCCCAGGTCTTTTCCCGCCTGTACAGAGGAATTTACAGCATCAATGGGCCATAGGTATGTGTAGACGTTTACTCAGTGTCTGTGGATCACAAACATCTAACTTGTGTTTTATACTTTTGCGCCCCCTTACCTGGATGGTGTAAGCCGGATAACCATCCTTGTCCTCTACTACGTCATGGCAGTTTTGGTGCAATACCCGGGGACCAAAACATACCGAATCGCGCTCCTCCCATTGATTTTCCAGGTCGCGTTCACGGCCGTCACCGCAATCGACTGCGACATCGCCGAAAACCCCAGCCTCGTCTCCGCGGTAAGCTTGCATGATACTGGATTCTTCGCCATCAGACTGACCGTTTGCCACTGTAGCCTGCCATGTTCGTGATAGTGATGCGGACCTCCGCTTGGACGATCGAGCACAGGTACTTGCAGCGTGGTCGCTATGGCTGCCGCACATATCCCTCCACCTCCGGCTTCCCATCTTTAAGATATACATCATGGGACGCTCTAGATCTTATGGTCAATCTGCGTAACATAGGCTGGGTTCCTGGTGGAAAGCCGCCCACATATACGAGCTCGTTGACCACCACGAGGATGACATTCTTGTTCATGGTGGTTCTACGGGCGCTGTTCTTTGCCATAACCTTCGACGTTTCCATCACGTTTCTGCGTTATATCCGCTCTGACGGTCTTCCCGCTGGGAGCACAATCTTCGAGAGTTCTCACCCTCTAGTCATATCTTACTTGCATACTATCCTTTTGGCGTATGCCGCACTCTTGGCAGGGTTCGCGTTCATGTCGCTCCTGTATTCCTGCGTTGCTTTCCTTGGCGTTTCCGTCCTCTTCCAAGTCCCAGAGCAGTGGCCTCCCTTGTTTGACGCGCCCTGGCGCTCGACGTCACTCCGGGAGCTTTGGAGTCAGCGATGGCATCAGCTCTTCCAAGAGCTGTTCATTTCGCTTGGCTCGCGTCCCACAAATAGGGTATTTGGGCGTCCTGCCGGTATCATTGGCGCATTCTTGGTCTCTGGAGTGCTGCATGATGTACGCCTGCGCGGGATGGGCGAGGGCGTTGATCCGAAAGTGACGTATGGGTTCTTTGTGTTTCATGGACTTGCGGTCATTGCAGAAGTCGTGTGGAAGGAGAAGATGAAGAAGGACGTTGGTGGCTGGGCTGGATGGGTTTGGACAGTCATCACGTCCACTGTATCTTGGTGTTTTCTTCTCGACGGGTGCGTCCATGCAGGACTATTGGATACCAGCCATGTGCAAAGGATTTCTGATACTATATTGCATGCTTACCTCTGAATGGGTTCGAGGCTCTGTATACACACTGCTTATGTATCTATCAACCGTGCATCTGTCCTTATTCATATCAGAGTGCCTACCTATATTTACAGGGGTATCGGCCTTGGACGTTTTGTTCCTGAAGCAGTTACTACGTCCGTTGACATACTCGCACCTGGGGGAAGTCTCTCATTCGACGCCCGCGACTTCGTTCTACACGTAAGAGCGAGCCAGTGGCTCAAAGCGACTTTTGTCATGTTACTTTTGAATTGAATACGTCGTTCGTACTGAGTACGTTATGCGAGGGCACTTGCGAGGTTCGATTATTAGGGCATGGCATTGACATGGCAAGACGACATTGATGGCAGAGATAGAGGTGAGTACAAACAGACGATAGCAGGGAGTACGCTGCGTCCTTCGTCTGGTTACAACCGCATCCATGAGGCCGAACAGCGAGTCGGAGTACTCGAACATGGTTCTTGGCTTTGCATACGTCGACTAGAAAGGTTAAGGCTAAGTTAGATCTGGCAGCAAGATGAGACTTTGTGGAGGCACCCACTGCCGCGGGAGGGGAAGCCTTTGGTGACGCGACCAAGGAGAGATAGGGGAGAATACAAACAGAGAACAACAAAAAGCACGCGTCTGTGGCACGGCACCTCGAGTTTAACGCAAAGTACCGCCTGAAGCAACATTTGCTCGCGCCCGATCCTCTTGATCTTTCCTCCCTCCCTCTATTTCTCGCCTTATTACGATTACGAACGTAAATAAACGAATCCAAAGTCGACCTAGACGCTTCAAAGCACCCAAGAGAAGTACAAGAACACAATGTCGGACCTCGCCGCACTTCTCAAGCAGTCCCTCGATCCCGCAACACGCAAACCCGCCGAGGCTCAGCTAACGGACCTCACCTCTCAGCCGGGATTCCTTCCCGCGTTGCTCGCCCTCGTTCTTGATTCCGCTCAGGATGTGCCCATCAGACTTGCAGGGGCAATCTACATCAAGAATATCGCGCGTACGCGCTGGGACGAGGTACGCTTGTCTCGCTCGGTGATCTTGCGAGGGTGCTCCCTAACTTGGCCTCGATAGGACGTGAACGGGATGCCAGAGGCGGACAAGGCTGCCCTGCGCTCCCAGCTTGTCCCTGCCCTGCTTGCACTCAGCGGACCCAGGGATCGCGCGATCCGCGCCCAAATAGCGGAGAGCGTCGCTCTCGTAGCAGAGGTGGACTTCCCGGATAGATGGCCTGAGCTGATTGATGTGCGTCTTCTCTGCTTCCTCAAATACACTTATACTAAACCTCATTGTCTTTATTACGCGTGCTCTCACCCTCATTGTACAGCATCTTGTCAACTCGCTTTCGCCAACAAACTACACGGCCACCATCGCCATCCTCGAGGCCTCGCATGCCATCTTCTCTCCCTGGCGTTCCCAAGTCCGCTCCGACGCCCTCTTTACCACCATCAACATCGTCCTCTCCCGCTTCGTCGAGCCCTTCATCGCTCTCTTCCGCCACACCGCCAACCTCGTACTCTCCCCTGACCCGAACGCTGCCGCGGCGAGCGCGGGGGTGAGCCTCGAGGGCCTGGCTCAGGCGCAGATCCTTCTCGTGGAAATATTCCATGATTTGACGTGTCAGGATCTTCCGCCTGCGATTGAAGACTCGCACAAGGAGTTCTTCGACCCCACGCAGGGATGGTGGATCCGGTTCCTGCCATGGGATCCACCTCAGCTCCGGGTGGACGTCAGTATCTTTTACGTCATATATGAACGGCCATGAAGATGTTAACGAGAGAGATAGGAAGACGAACCAACGCCATCGCTACCAGCAAAGTTGAAGACGAGGGTATTCGAGCTTGGCGAGGTGAGCTAGCTTTCTGATCGGTGCTCCTGAGACGCATTCTGACTGATCTTGCGCTCGGACTACGTAGCTCTACATCAAGCTCTACCCAGATCTGCTGCAGCAAGGCCCATTTGTCGAAGCCCTCGTTCAAGGCGTCTGGACATTGATCGGTGGAGACAAGGCCAAAGGTGTTGGCGACGACAGCGTACGTGGCCCTTCTCTCCTCTCTTCCATCCACCCAACAGTCCCCATCCAGCTCGTCTCGCAAGCCCTCCACTTCATCTCCACCGCCCTCCGCAGCGGCCACTACACCGCCCTCTTCTCCGCCCCCGAGACGATTCCCTCGCTCATCCGCGGCGTCGTCCTCCCTAACGCGGCTCTGCGCACGCACGAGGTCGAGCTGCTCGAGGACGACCCGCTCGAGTACGTCCGGCGCGACCTCGCCTCGGTCCCCGGCGTGCAAATCGCCTCGCTCGGCATCGGCGGCGGTGTCGGCGCGGGCGGGTCCGGTGCCGCTGCTTCCGAAGGCACGCGCAGGCAGGCAGCCGCGGACGTGCTGCAGGCACTCGTCAGTGCGGGCTTTGGCACGGAGACGACGAGCGTCGTGGGGAGGTTCGTCACGGAGGGGCTCGCTGCGTATGCGGGCAATCCGGCGGAGAGGTGGCAGGCGAAGAACAGCGCGGTGTTCTTGTTTGGGGCGGTTGCGGTTGGCAGCGGGAGTGTGCAGGTGAGTTTCGCTCGCTGTTTGTGTGATAGTACGACAAAGTGCTCAAGTTGGTATACTGTAGCACGGCATCACGTCGACAAACTCCCAGGTAGATGTCGTGCAGTTCTTCTCGGAGAACGTGTATGCGGATCTCGAGGCCCAGCCTGGCCAGACGCACCCTGTCCTTCAGATTGACGCAATCCGGTTCTTGTTGATGTTCCGTAACCAGGTGACCCGTCCAGTTTGTCAGAGGCAAAACCAACCGGCTAATGTGACGTTTCTAAAGCTAACAAAACACCAACTTCTCTCCGTACTACCGCTCCTCGTTCGGCATCTGAGCGCGGACATGTATGTAGTATACACGTACGCGGCCATCACGATCGACAGGATACTTGCCCTCAAGCGAGAAAACCGTCTGCTGTGCGTGCGGCGTCCTCGTGATATCAAGGCTGCTGGCGGAATACTCAATTCACTTTCGGCAGGTTCTCCCAGGCCGACATCCACGAAGCCGCACCGGAGCTGCTCAATGCCGTGCTGGCAAAGATCGAGAAGGCCGGCACGCCAGAAAAGGTCGCGGAGAATGACCACCTGATGAAATGTACGTTTTCCTACTTTGATCACCATTGTTATGCTGACTGTAGTTGGTAGGTGCAATGCGGGTCATCGTGACGGCGCGGCAGACGCTGACGCCTGTGTACCAGCAAACGCTCCAGAGACTCGTGCAGATTCTGGGCACGATCTCGAAGAACCCGAGTAACCCTAACTTTGACCAGTACATCTTCGAGAGTATCTCGGCGCTCATACGGTAAGCTACTCACCTTGTTGAGGTACGTTCGGATCTCTCACCAGGATCTCTCGCAGGTTCGTTGTGGCTGGGAACCCGAGTACACTCCCTACATTTGAGCAGGCGCTGTTTGGGCCATTCACATTCATCTTGCAGCAAGACATCGATCGTACATCTGCTTCGTTCATAGACGCTCGTCTATACGCTGACAATCCCCCGCATAGAATATATCCCCTACGTCTTCCAAATCCTCTCCCAGATGCTCGAGGGACACGCGACCGGCGTGCCCACCGAATATCGCTCCCTCCTCCCCTTCCTCCTCACCCCCGCATGCTGGCAAGCAAAAGGCAACATCCCTGGCCTCGTCCGCCTCCTGCGCGCGTTCCTCGCCCGCGACGCCACCGAGATGGTCCGCCAGAGCCAGGTTGCGGCTGTCCTCGCTGTCATCCAGCAGCGGCTCATCCCATCGAAGATCAACGACGGGTGGGGATTCGAGCTGCTGCAGAGCGTCGTCGAAAACGTCCCACCGTGAGTCCTCTCCCCCTTTACCAGGATTCCGGCAGCAAGGGCTGATTGTGTTGTCACTGCTCGCAGAGCACAGCTGAAGCAGTTCTTCCGGCCGATTATCGTGGTCCTGCTCACACGGATGCAGTCGAGCAAGACGGACAAATATGTCTATCTGTTTTCGTATTTCTTGCTGTTCTGCATGGCGATCGACGTTCAGGGCCTCGGTCCGGACTACGTCATCTCGACAGTCGAAGAAGTGCAGGTTGGGTGAGTGTCCGATACTGTCTGTGGCCGCGGTTATTGCTAACATCGCTCGGGTAGGCTGTGGTCCCAAATCCTGGTGAACTTTGTCGTCCCGCAGGCTCCGATCGTGCCCCACAGGGACAGAAAAGTGGCCGTCGTCGGGTTGACGCGGATGCTAACGCAAAGCGAGATCATGCTTCAGGGCACCAACGTGCAGGCCTGGTGCGTCTACCTCACAATCGCCTCCCTCAAATAGACTCTCACTCCCCATTTAGGCCACAAGCATTCGCATCCCTCGTCAAGCTCTTCGCAGAGCCCCAATACCTCAAAAAAGCCTCCGAAGACACCATCCAGGGCGCCGAGGCCGGCGTCACCCAGATCGACTTCGAGGAGCAGACAGCCGGCTACCAAGCCGCGTACTCGCGCCTCGCCGCGTCCGAGGCGGCGCAAACAGATCCCGTCGCGTACGTGCGCGACCCGCGGGCGTTCGTGGCGCAGGCGCTCAACGCCGCGCCGCCCAGGGTCCGCGAGCTGCTCGGCGCGGCGGACCAGAGCGTCGTGGGGCCGTTCTTGTCTGGGCTCGCGAACGCTGCGTGAGCGCTGGGAGGTGGGGAGATGATGAAAAAGGCGGATTAAGTCTGTTGCGCTTCGGTATGAGTTCTGCGTTCCGGTAATGACTTTCGTATATGACGTAGAATAGTGTTCAGTACTGACATGAGATGTTGGTTTCGTTCGCTGCCGATCAGAGAAAATGGTGTACTCATCTCATTGTTACATGCTTGGGTGATTCGTGCTCATGCCTTCGTTCAACTTTACCTGGTGATGGAAAAGAGGCTGTGATGTGGCTGTGCAAAGTTCGACTTGACTGCTGTTCGGCTAATTGCCTCCTCTCCAAAACAATCATCGCGCGCCGCACCGATTGGGGCTCAGCGTTTTCTGATCTTGTGTCAATCTCGTAATCATGGATGGACTATATGCCTATAACATGCGCGCTACGTTGCATGCACCCGAACCTCTGCGATCTGACAATCTCAAGAGACTCTTTAAGAGGCTAGCCGATCCGCACGAAGATGAGATCTTTGTGCAGAACTTCGCAGTGTGTCCTACGTTCAGCACCTCTTCTTCGCTGATATCAAGCTCACGAATCCCCAAAGGGCGAAATTAAGCACGAGTTCGCTGACAGTGGGAAGCTTGTCAACGATGACGGCCACAAACCACAATTCAGCTCCTTTGCCAATTCATGCCTCAAAGCAGGGCTCGTAAAAACTATGATGGCCGTTGCACGAGAGGAGTGGTCAACTCCAGGTGTACCAAAGGCGAGGTATATTGCACAATATCATGCATTGGAGGGTCTCTGTGACTTGATGCGGTCTGGAGATGTATCGGAGCGCCAGAGTTTGCTTAGCGAGATGTTACGGGAGGACATTGTAGGCCTGTGCTTACGGGTAAGCACTGCGATCGGAGTCGCACAGTAGGATAACTGACATGGCACTACACTGTAGAATCTGCAACATCGGTTGTGCCTCATGCGCCAACTAGCCGTCAACACTTTACGTGCCCTTGCAGCTGAATCCTTTCTAGCAGCCAATGTCCCGGCTTCCACCGCTGCTGACGTCATAGAAGGAGTCTGTCTCTACACGCTTGACGGGCCTGGATTTGTGATCGCACAGATGGACGACCCCGAGACAACATGGCAAAGTCAAATGTTCATGGATAAAGAAGACGTGAGTGCCGCAAGGTCTTCTGCTATCATGGCCCAACTTTCACGGCATCCATAGATACCCCCAAAGATCTCCAGCAGGTACTGCCCGAGATTCTATGCTATGGCTCAGGAGAGTGCCATGTGGACAGCACATGGTCTCCTGTCCACATACCCTCCTCCGACACAGGAATACTGTTACGGTATCCTCAGGAGAAAGCCAGGTATCATCGACCTTCTCCTTGATTGCGCGATACTCGACCGACAGCCATGGTACCCCGAGAACCAGACAGACTCCGTAGCTTGCGAGGTACTATCTTTGCTGTTCCAATGGCCGAGACACATAGTACCCGGTGTTGTAACGCCGATGGACAAGGCGTTCAGATCGCAGGAGTGGAAATCCATATTACAGTCATTGGCGATCCTGACATCTCGTCAGGACTGGGTGGAAAAGCTTACTGAGGTGTGGATGCGACTTCAAGAGGAGGATCTGATAGAACTTCGGAGGCAAGGACTGAGTGATCAGGTCAGATCATATTTACTGATGGTAGCGATCGTTTCGTACAGATACTTTCTAAGGGTCGAGCAAGATTATGGCGCGATGAACCCACCTAATGACGAAGACTTCAACTGTGTTTTCGAGTATCGTGGTAAGCTACTTCACACAATCAATCCATACACTCAGGAATTCACAAGATCCTCTTCTTTTATCCCACAGCAACGTCTCGGATCGGCATACTCCGGGTAATCACCACACTCACGTACGCGGCTGAATCGTGTGGTGTCACCAATGCACAGGTTGAATCCCTCCTCCATGTTGCCTATGTGGCATCTCGAAACGTCAAACCCAGCGGAGAGTGCGTCGTCATGAGGGACATCTGTGACTCTATGGAGAACGGGCACGAGATCTTCCGCTCGCCTATGTGGACAATTTCCTTCGCGGATGTGGCCGACGAGCCTGCAGAGATAGCTCCCGAGAGCATCCTTGGGCCCACCGCCCTCGTTCGCCTGCTAGTCATTCTCGCTCAGCGTAAAGCGCTAGACGGAATTCAAAAACTGCGCAAAGCGCCGATTGGACTCTCCCCTTCGACGTCTCTTCGTCACATCCGGCAGATCACGCACCCTGAAATCGTCCATAGGGTTGTCAAAATGGCTCAGGCACGTCTTCGTGCTCGACTGGATAAGGGTCGACAGCGAGTAGCGGTGAAGAAAAACGACGCCGATTGGAACTTCGCCTGTGCCGCGTTTACAAGCGCAGCTGAGCTCGCCGCGGCTCTGGTTGCGCTGGATGTGCATACAGATGGGGTGTACAGGGTAGACATACGCGGTGCGAGGAAGCAGTTGGTTATCGCTTTAGGGAACGCGGCACAGATGACACTCAACACCAGACGATATCAGCGGGCACTCCACTATGCGTTGGGAGCCGTTAGCGCAGCGGAAAATATACCAGGGGATGAAGAACTAGATCTAGAGATTACGGAGAAAAATAAACGGCGAATTAACCAAGCTAAATCGGGGCTACAGTATAACCGGTAGAAGTTTTATCTCTTGCTTTGAGACCTTTCCACGAGTACAAGCCGAATATCATGTAACGCATTCGTGTTCTCAACATCTCATAAGCCACAAGAATCCAAAAAGCTACCTTAAACGGCTCCAAATACTATGTAGTGCTTCTATGAACAAAGCTGTATATCGCAAGAATTGCGAGACCTCGCGAGGCAGAGGGGGTGACTTCAATTTATTGTGATAGGGTTTTGCGCGTTGCGACGTGTTGGAACTTCCAGAACCAACCCACCTGGGTGATTTCCGCGTCAATGTTCGGAACATGAGCATGATGTTTCCGACGGACTAAAATTCTCACCGGGCGAGGAATAAGACCTTTTTTGCTGTTGGGCCATCACACACCATTACACCGCATACCATTTCTTATAGACCAATTTGGATGACGGAAGCACACTAAAATTCACTGATAGGACCGAACATATGGATCAAGTTGCTTACGGCAACTTAGCTGTCAGATTAGGTATTATTGGGTGGTTCCTTGAAACTGCGAGTTTCGTCTCGCGTCTGGAGGGCACACTCTTTCGACGCTTCAAGTCGGCCTTCGGTATTATCCGTTATTAATGCATTCATGGTTCCATGTCTCCAATCGTCTTTATTCATAGCGAAAAGGAGTCTCTTATCACTAGTCACTGTCGTACACCCCCAGAACCGTTACCAACGGCCGAACGTCTGAGACACATCAAACTCCTCGCTTGTCGGCGGGTTATCCTTTTGGACACGTTTGACTATGACTAATTGTAGACAGCTGCTCTAACGCGGAATTAAGCACTGGCGCGAACGTCCCGCTTCGTTCCTCAAGACCATCACCAGCTCGAGCCATTGCTCATTCCTTCGCCAACTAGGGGACGGTAGAAAACAGACCAACAAACACACCACCAATATCAGGGGTTCTGAGGTCCTCAGGGAATAATTTCAACGAGCACAGCGACGTCGACTTAAGGAGGAGCTTCAGTCTTCGGATGCCCAAGGTGTTGGCTGGATTTCGTAGTATGGGAAGCGAATTCGCAGTAAGCTGCTGTTGACGGTGCGTGCGTTGCCACTCCTATATTGTTCTTGACCCTCCTGATTTACTCTACAGCAGGTCTGATCCAAGGTGAACTTCCTTACGAAGCTTTTCAACCGAAGATGAAGGCAAACCAAGAGGCGAACTGGTAATGCCTCAACAATTTTACCGTATTTTTGGACGAGTACGAGATCCAATGCCTTGTGTGTACGTGACAGCGGTCCTTGCAGTACGCCATTCTCTGCGCTGTTGATACTGAAATAATGAGTGGACTATGGTACTCTACAATGCACCCGAACCAAAACATATAAATACGGAGTCCTGGATTCCTTCAGAAGTAAGTACGCAAGAAAGTATCGGAGACCCTTTGCACCTGGCTCGTATCCAGTAGACCCGCCTTGACACACCCATCCATAAGAAAACACCAAGATCCAGTAAAAATAACGGCCGTCCAAATCCATCCAGCCCAGCCACCAATGTCTCTCCTCATTCGCTCCTTCCACTCGACCTCTACAATCACCGCAAGCCCATTGAACACAAAGAACCCATACGTCACCCTCAGATCGACTCCCTCGCCCATCTCGCGCAGGCGTACATCATGCAGCGCCGCTGAGACTAAGAACGCGCCGAGTATACCTGTCGGACGCCCAAATAACCTGTTGGAAGGCCGCGCACCCAGTGAGATGAATAGCTCTCGGAAGAGCTGGTGCCATCTCCTTCCCCAAAGCTCGCGTAGTGACGTCGAGCGCCAGGGCGCGTCGAACAAGGGCGGCCACTGATCTGGAACATGCCGGAGGAGGAGGACGGCGAAAAACGCAATACAAGTGTATAAGAGCGACATGAACGCGAACCCCGCGAAGAGCGAGACATGCGTCAATAGGGCAGCACGCATGTATGAAAGGGCAAGGGGTTGGGAGTCGTCGAAGATAGTGCTACCAGGAGGGAGACCATCAGGGCGGAGATAACGTAGGAGTGTCACGGCGACGTCGAAGGCTATAGCAAAAATGAGAGTCCGCAAAACCGCCGTGAACAAAAATGTAGTCCTCGTGGTCTTCGAGCAGTTCATATCAGCACGCGGCTTCCCACCAGGAACCCATCCTATGTTGCGCAGATTAACCATGAGATCTAGGGCGTCCCATAATGTCCTTTTTAGAGACAGTAAGTCGGAAGTTGGGGAATAAGCGGGCCAACCGAAGCGGTCACGCTGCAGGTGCATGTCCTCAATTGTCCAGCCAGAGGTCCGCATCACTATCACGAGCATTGCGGGCTGCAATAATACGCGGTCAGCACGCTGTTTAAGGACCCGGTTTAGAGCGAACATACCGCAGAGACGAGGCTGGGATTCGCAGAAATATCGTAGTCAATTGTGGTGACAGCCGTGAACGCGAGCTGTAAAATCAATGGGAGAACAGCAAGTCGGTACGTCTTTGTCCCCGGGTACTGCACCAGAACCGACATAGCGTAGTACGGGACGAGGACGGGGACCCAACTAGTACCAATCGGGTAGGTAAATGCAAAATAACCGATGTCAGCGGAAACCACGTTTATCAAACGTTATAAAATATCTACAAAAATCAGATAAACTTGCAGACATACCTGTAGCTCATAGATACTGCAAAAGCCCCTTCGTACAGGACAAAAGAAAGACACGAGACGGGTTCAAAGCCAAGACTAGGAGCGTGTAGCTCATATACCTGCATTTATGTGGTTCCAGGCTGACCCTAAGGAACGTGTGAGTGCCGTGTTCCCGGACCCAAATGTTAGCATGAATACTTGCTGCGCTGTGACGCACTTCTCCGCCCGAATGTAGACATCGGGACGCGCCCTGACGCGACCCTCTGCAAGGATTAGGATAAATGACTAAGCGAAGCGCACGCGGTGTGGGCGTCGCTGCTTCTCCGCCGTCATGGCGTTGAATAGGCTCGTAATATTCCACGATCAGGCGCAGTTCAAGCGATACTATGGACCTGAGCCGCTTTTAAATTTCTCAGCCTCTGGCCCGGACCCAAAGCTGCAGCCTCAGCAGTGAGTATCCAACGAACCCGGTTCAATGAATAATAGGGCGTCTTCAGACGCATCTGAGCGGCAAGACGGCTTAGAAGAGAGGAGCTCGGAGGTCGGTAAAATTTGATAGAGTTAGGTAAGCTGGACAGCTCGAAAGGCGCTAATGCGACACAATCTCGATCGCCTGGACGCCGCAGACAGGTGGCGAACCTCGCCGTCGCATCATAAACTGCATTCTGCAGCCATAACTCTAAATTTGTACAAGCAATCAAGCGCTTCAGAACGCAGATATCCATGGTTACCCCCGCGAATTGTATGCTCACCGCCAGCTGTGGTGTCGGGCTTCAACATTGTCGATTGAATGAGCCTACGACAGTTTTTTCCCGGGTCACCGTCTGTCACCCTAGGAGGTAGTGCCTGTACAACTCCGCGAGCATCCTAGAAGGCCGGCGTTCTTGTGCTTCCTGCGTGCCTGCGGACAGCATCCCCGTTTGTGCCCATGTATCAACCAACAAAGTACCCCATATAACCAACCAAGTCATCGTCCACATCCATCCCTGAATTCCGCAGACACGTTTACGCGTGCACCGCTCCCATAGCTTTTCCAAGACGACGCCGACGCTGTTCATCACGAAGAAGCCGTATACGGATGGTATGTCGCCACTTTTGCCCTGCGCGCGCATGCCAAGGTCATGCACGACCGCCGAGACCAGGAAGGCACCGATGAAGCCCCAAGGTTCCCCGAGAATGCGATTTATCGGCTGCAGGCCGAGACGCACGAAGACCTGTCTAAGGATCTGATGCCAACGGCGCCCCCAGAAGTCGCCAAGAGACGTCGCGCGCCATGGGCTGTTGAATAGCGGCGGCCACTGTGACGGGCGCTGGAAGCCTACGGTTGTCCCGAGGAGCGCGCAGGCCTGATAGGCCATGTCTATCCCGAGAAAACCGGAACATCCTGAAAGCGCAGTAATGACGAACGCATAGAGCACGCGCCGAACGAATGGGAGGGAGGGATCGAAGATGGAATGGCCAACAGTGAAACCGGTCGCAGAAAACGACGTTGCAGCCGCCGTAGAGCAGTCGATGAGGAAGACAGCAAGGAAAAGACGGAGGGTGGTCAAGCAAACGAACCGCAACCTGGACTGTTCGGGACCCTCACTGAGCACCGGCTTCCAGCCCCAATTCCACCCAACGCCGCGGCAGTTCATTAACAAGTCCAGTGAGTCTGCCATCGTTTTCATGACACCGCCTTGTCTCATGCCAAAACGATCATCGCGCACGTAAACGCGTTCTCTGAAAGCCCAGACCGTAGCTCGCAGCGACAGCCCAAACATGAGGTACTAAGGTCACCGTTAATCTCGCAGAATTTACAGGCAGGAATAAGGGCACACTTACCGAGAAAAACTGATTCATAAGCCCTTGTGTAGGATCGTACTTTTCTTCCGGTGACGGACCAGCGCTCAAGAACGTGTGCAATGTAGCCCAGTACATGACAGGTAAGAGGGCTACTCTCGCCAAGAATGTCCCGTGCCGCTGAACCAGGATAGCGAGGATAAAATAGGGAATTCCGACTGCAGCAAGGTTTCGGAGTAGAATGGAGGCCATGGTGCGTCAGCTGTGCGAGCGCGAGCGGTGGTTGTAGTAGGTATGTCCAGCGGTTGAACCGAAAGGATGTAGAGGCTGACTACAATCGTCAGCTACATACGTTCGGAATGAGCGTCATTACTCACTGTGAGATGCTCTTCCTCGCCCTATAATGCAACCCTTCGTACTAGTGGGGTGATCTGCGACGCTGAGAAGAGTACAAAGTCAAGCTGCCCAGAAGGCTGAGCAGAAAATGCCCGCGTGCCTTCATCATTCATTGTTTGGCCTACCCGAGCCCCGGTCCCTGCCTGGTCTATCGGATCTGCCGGGTCGGAGGCGAACAAGTGGACGTTAAGCGCTGTTCGTTTGATTATGAATTCGAACTATTGAATTGATGACTCCAGTTAGTGGACAAGCGCATTGAGCTAGCTTCACTCCGTGACTGGCAAACCGGTTGTCCAATTCCATGGCTGATGCACTGCAGCGGTATCCGAGAACATACGAAAGGGCGTTGACAAGGGTGGACGTTTTTCTGGAGCACTCACGGCGCTAAAATGATCGGGATCGGAGTTCCGGCTCCGGGCCGGATGTTCCCGCGCTCAGCTCTGCTTGAGCTCGACGCTTGCTCGACGCTTGTCAGTTGCTTATATTTTGCGTTACGGTGCACTACGACCACTTGAAAGTTCTCCTTGAAACACTGGTAGTAAGAAATTTTGTTAATGAAATCCGAAAACAATCTATGGTAAAATCCGACATTCAAACTTACGATTATATACAGTATATTTCCCGTATAGTTAACCTTCTTACCGTTATTCGTTTGGTTCTGTTTGTCCACTGTACTGAACCCCTTTCTACGTACGTACATGTGACTTCCGCCTTTAGCCGTCTTGCAGGGAAGTCAATTCAATCTTTCCCCACCGGGCTACATAGCTTTCAGATGCTGGGCGCCGTTACCGTCTTTTCACGCTCTTCTTCATGGTTGCATGTACCGGCTCATATCTCACCATCGCTACATATACATGTAGAAAACTGACTTCACGTAGTAGCCAGTGAGCTACTTGACTTTAGCGTCCTTTGAAAGCCTTATCACTTGCATCAAATGTGCATGTAGACCGAAGACAGAATCTGAGTGAAGTTCGACTTACAATCATCTTATGGTTCCATGGTCGGACCATGATGCATGATGGTCCACACAAGTAATTAAAGTCATCATCGACGAATATAAGGACAAGGAAACATATCAAGTAAAGAACCTGCGCATCATATGTCTTTCACCTGCTCCTCCAACCACTCCCACAATCTCGCTGCGCTGTTCGCGTCTTGAGCATGTTTAGCGGGCGTTCCGACTCGTGCCCAAGGGATAAAGTACTGGAAAGCAGCTGATATCAGCTCCGGCAGGTCAAACAATATATGGGCCACCTGCCTTTCCATTCATTGACGCTGTCTCTGGAGATGTACCAGCATAAAGCTGCGTGAGCGGGCCAAATGAGACATCACTCAGAATAACATTCTGACAACGCCATTCCATGAGCTGATTTGGTATGGCAATTTAAAAAAACCACATACTATCGCCGCATTGAAAAACGTGCCGCTGTGGCGCTGCAGCTCCGTCTTAATGGCACCTGAGAAAAGCCGTCTCTACTCAATGGTTGATTCAGAAAGCCGAATATATGACTGCTTACCCGGGTTCAACGAGGTGCTAACAATCCCCTGTTCGCCGTATCTACGAGCAAGTTCGTTTGCAAAGAGGATATTTCCCTGGTTATTCAAACATCAAATCAGCCCTTTGAAGCATTCGCTAGGTACTTACAGTCTTGCTCTGCCCATAAAGCATCATAGTGCTTCGCTTACGCCTCCCGGGCGAGTCTTTGAACGTGTCGATGTTGATGTCGCTCATCATGTGCCCGTTAGACGCTACGTTGACAACGCGGACGTCTCCTCTTGGTACCTTCTCTGCAGTGGAGAGAAGAATTGGAAGAAGTAACTTCGTGAAGTAGAAGTGGCCTGACAGTGGTCTTAGCAAGATTCAAGAGGAAACTACCAAGTAGGCTCACCAATGACGTTCGTCCCGAATTGCATATCATAGCCGTCGTCGGTAAGATAGTCAACTGGACAGTTCATGACGCCCCTATACAAAAAATCAGCAGAAAGTCGCGAGCATAGAGCAGCGTTTCATATACATACGCGTTGTTAAAGAGCACGTGCAATTCGTTCTCTTTTCTAAAATAAAAAAGTATCGGTCAGCTGGAAAACGAGTAATCGTCGGCTTGACTCACGTCAAAAACTCCTCTGCTGACGCCTTAACCTTCCGCAAGTTGGCCAGATCCAATTGCAGAAAGAGGGCTTCCTTCCCAGTAATCTCCTTGAGCTCCTCGATAGCCCGCTTAGCCTTAGCTTCATCGCGCGATGCGATGTAGACTTTCGCGTTCTTGCGTAGTAATATCTGGTAGGATTGGGTTTCCGCTTGAGATGACTGATGTATCCTAGATAACAAGACATGCTTGCCTTTGTGCATTCCTTTCCTATCCCAGCGTTGCCCCCGGTGACGACGACGACTTTGCCGGTCATATCTGGCACATCTTCTGCCGTGAACTTTGTCGTCGGTGGGAAAACCTCCGACAGAGCAGAGGGAAGACAAGGCATGGCGAATGTTGGGTGAGTACAAGCGGAAGACCAGTAGTCTGTAAAAAAGTAGGCAAAAGTGTGTAGAAACACGTAATAAGCGAACAGACCTTGGCCTTTATAAATACCCACTCTGCGGCTACCATACAGCCGCTTATGCGCAACATCTCACATGGGCTAATCTTGGGATTTGAACATACGCAAGCTTTTTGCCGAAGACTCGACAAGATACATCCCCATGCAAAGTCGCGGGCCGTGTTATATGCTCGGACAATGTTTGTCAGATCGAGCCGACGAGACGCGTCACCCTCGGCAAGAGCTAATTGGGGGACGAACCAGCCATGGAAACCGCCGAGATAAGGGCTTAGCATACATATTTGGGTGTTTTCTCACGAATGAAACACTGCGCCGAAGCCTTCACCGAAGCTGCAACTCGCAAACTTGTCATTGCGCGTACTGTAATGACCTTCCGAGCGCCACCGCTGACTATAGGTCATTACTAACATATGTAGACATATCTAAATTTAGGCTTTAGCGAAAATATGTTGAAGGTTAGGTGCATGCCTGGCCCGACCAAATATTATCATCCAGCATGTCGGTTTCTTGAACCTAGTATTAGATTCGTACCACTTCATTAATGCCAGTGAGCTCACTCATGAGCCCAGACTCAGTAGCATATCTGGGGACAATCGGAAATGAGGGCTACTGGGCTACCCTGTATGTGCTCTAGTCTTTGACAAACGAACTACTGTAGATAACGATGATATTGCTCTTGCTAATCTCGTTGAGCCACACATGGCTTTGATCAAGTCAAGTCTCATTGTTCGCGCCTGCGACTTTGACGAAGGCATAGCAATCGTAGCTATGCATATATTTGAGCCCACATGAAGATTAGATGTAATCGAGCTCAGTACACCAGCAAGACCACAGCTTGAGTTCAGTATCAGTATAGTCCCTGATGTAGAGTTGGTCCATGTATGTCACGTCGTCCATGCTATAAGAAAAACCACGTAAAGTCCAATTTTCATGATATAAAGGAAGGCACGCCTGCACCAGAGATGGAATAAAACTAGTAAGCTGCGATTAAAGGAATGCGAGGGCGGCGATAATGCCAGTGATAGAGGCTAGAACACCACCCTTGTGCATCGACGGCTGGAAAGCGCCGTTACCGCTGCCACCGACACTGCCGCCGCCGCTCGAAGTCGAGCTCGCGGGGAGAGCAGCGGCAGCCTGCGTTGGCTGGTTGGCGACCTGCCCATTACCGACGATGACCATTGTGCCGTTGCTTGGGATCCCGTTCACAACAGTGAACAGCAGTGCAGGACCCGGCTGGATCAGGTTCGGGTTCGGCGGAACCTGAGCAACGTGCAGCACGAACGAACCGTCATCGTTCACCGTATATGTGTTGTTTAGCTGCAGATGGCGCTGGCCCATGTTCATCGCGTGCGTCGAGAATCCCGGGCGCGCAAGGACAACGGTCGTGTTCGCTGCGGCGGCATTCGCACCCGGGCCGCCCTCGTACGAGCCCTTGGCGACTGTCAGGTCGAAGCCCTGTCCTCCGTACGAGAGCGTTTGGGGCACTCCTGACACGGACGGACGTACGGAGGCGGAGAAGTAGGGCGGGTAGAAGATGTCGGCGGTGTACTGAGTTGGGTAGACCACGTTTGTCTGGACGTCGAGATTTGGATTCGAGCCTGCAAGGAGGACGGAGCCGTCCGGGAGGAGAATTGCAGTGGAGTGATACATGCGAGCAATGTTCGAGCTGCCGAGGCCGGCAGTGGACCAGCGCTGTCCGGCGGGTGCCTTCGGGTTGTAGATCGCGGGCTGGGTAACGGGTCCAGAAGCAAGTGACTCAAAGTAGGGCATCTCGTCGAGCGTCTGGACGTCGAGCGTGCGGTTGGCGAAGCCAGCGGTACCGTTGGAGGCGCCATTGATGACTAGCATAGTGCCGTCGGGGAGCGTGACGAACTGGCCCATGGTGCGACCTTGCAGCATAGGATCGTCCTTGATGTACTTTGGCGAAGAGCCATCCTGCGGTTCAGGGGTGAGCTGTTGGCAGTCGGTTGTTGCGGGGTATGTCCAGGTATTGTAGTGGGGCCAAGAGTAGTCGCCATAGTAGTCATCGGGCATGTCTGTACCACCGCAGAAGAGGAGAGTAGGTATCCAGTTATTCTCTGGGGTGAGTGGCATCATGGCTGTGGCACCAGAAGCTGGGTACACTCGAACAATACCGTTGGGCATGTCAGGAAGAGCCGTCTCTTCGTTAGTGTTGTAGTCCCAGAGAACTATGAACCAGTCAAATCATTTAAGGTTCCTCGATGATGGGATAGATAAATTTCCTCACTAGTGGAGTGGTTGGCCTGGACAAGCATCTTGCCCGAGGGCATCAGGTACGAATGAGCGTAGGAGTTCAGGCCCGAGGTCTGGATCATGAACTGCATCACCGGAGGCGTACCCAGGCTCGGGAAGAACTCGTACGTCGGCTCGGCACCTCCTCCCTCGTAGGCGGGGTCGGTGTTGGGGAAGTTTCTGTTAACATACCCGCCACTGGTGAAGCCTCCGATCAGGACGATCGTACCGTTTGCGAGTGGCTCGGCGGCGGAGTACCACCGCAGCTTCTGCATGGACAGTACAGACGGATCGTCGTACCACTGGCAGTCGTCACTCGAGAAGTCGTCGCCGTTCGTGCATGGGTTAAGGAGCCGAATCGACTTGCGCCCGTCATAATCTCCGTACGCGGAGTCGAATTTTCCACCGTCAGGACTCGTCGCTCCACCGACACCTATGGCATTGTTGCCGCCAAACGTGACGAAGGACCCGTTGGGCAGATGCATACCAGAGGCACAGAATGAGTTGGTCATGATGTCCATCGGCTCGCTCTGATGCGTGTTGATGTCCCTAGTTTGTGTAGGTGTTCAGTCAGCTGTGAGGCGGGAAAGGCCACAACAGAGCTTACCAAACCGACGCCCATGCAGGGTGCCCGTTTATCTGCCCCGGGTTTCCCTCCGATTTGTCGAGGATATAGACCTTTTCCTCGTTGCCAAGGAACATCTGTTATAATAATCAGCTTCGAGGGCTATATCCGAGACACGGAGAAGTGCGCACCATCATGGCGCTAACTTGAGTATTCCCTGCCTCCATGAACGAGCCTGCTTTCTGTGCGAGCGCAGGCAACGCGGCGCCCAGGGCGACCGCAATTCCACCAAGCATAGTAGTTGAAAACGCGAACCGTTGAATGATCGAGGAATGAGTGAAAGCGGTGTCAGGCAGACCTGAACCTAGGTTGAACGACGGCGCTGGGAGTATGGATGTTGAAGAGAACGAAGTGAGCCTCGGGGTACCGGGATGATTGGTGATACTTATACTGACACCCATGTCCTGCCTGCTTTTATCCATGAGGCGATTTGCATCCCCTGCACTGTTTGATCCGATTGAACTTCTCGCTGGTGTTGGTGAGCGGCTCATTAACCCCGAGTATAGCTTGGCAGCTTAGTCACTTGGTAGCAGATTCAGCACTGGGGAAACGGGGAGAGGTTCGCCGCGTGAGAAGGTTCGCCAAGATACCAGTGACCACGAGAGCTCAGAGAACCAAGGACGCCAATAGTGAACATAACGAGGCTTCTATGAGCTTGAAGGCATGCAGAGATGATGGCGAGATGGGTGGAAGAGGGAGGGGCGGAAACTTATGAACCCCGGCAGTTCTCGACGGAGATGTCAGCCTGGTTTTGGTACACGTGGTGTAGCACATATTAGTAACCGTGGGTCACTGAGTATTGATACCTCTTGACGTCGAGCGCTGAGTTGATGACTCAGTGAAAGATCCTGTCCGGGCAGAAATCACCGTTAGATACTTTCAAATGAATGAGTTCAGGAGCAAACATAGTGCGGTTCCTACCGGTCCGGACAGATGTTGTTGAAAACGGAGGCGAACTTGATATGATATCATGATGCGGGGAGAACCATCAGAAAATGTGCCCGTTCGAAACCAGTCGCTACAGAAAAACCAATACAAAGGATGCATATCGTAAACGTTAACGTTAGGACAGTGTGCACCAGCTCGGTACCCGTAGACTCCCGAGTCCCGTGAACTTCGGAGGAGCTTTAAAGTTCAAAGACAGGGGTTTGTGACTTATTCGGCCACGGCGACAACCATGCTACATCACTGCGACGGTTGAACGTTGAACGTTGAGGCTTTCTTCTGGGCTATATAGCACTAACGGGCTGTTATGGATCACAAACCCACCCTTGTCTGTGCTGTTGTGCCTCTTTGATCTGTCATCCAAGACAAGTTACTCCCAACTGACTGCCGAGTCTTGAGCTATAGTACACAAAAACTAGTCTCAACTGATGGTTGTTATATATTCCTTATGTGCAGTGTACTTCGGATCCAGATTCACCAAGCAAGCCCTGCTACAATTCCACATATTACTCACGGACGTGAGCCGCGACCTTCTTGCTCCAGTATACTACGTTAAGGTCCTGTATAGAGTCAGCAAACACGACTTTTCGGAGTCAAGAGCATCTTACCTCATACCAAGTCGCCTTGACACTCGGGCGCCCCAGAAGACGGTCCGCGTAGGCGGTGAACCTTGCCAGCTCCGGACTTTCCAGAGCACGGCTCGCAGCGGCAATATGCTGTTCCCTACCATACTCCTTCTCGCCGATACCCTTGTCTATGATGAGCCGGATGCGAGCCCACATCGGGGCAAACGCCGCATCCGCAATCGTGAACTCGTCTCCGAGCGCATACTGACCCTGTACATTCTTGGGAAGGATCATCTGAAGCGTCTTCAGTACCTCGAATATCTCGTGAGGCGGCGCGCCGTCTTGCATCCAAGCGAAGAGGGGAGGCCAAAGCTTGGTATCGAGCAATTTGACAAAAAGGCGCGCTGTGGCGCGCTTCACGGGGTCTTTGGGAAGCAGCCCGGCGGCGGACGGGAAGAGCTCGGCAATAAACTCGAGTATAACAGCAGACTCGCTAATCTTGGTCGACTCTGTGGACGGCTGTTCAGGCGGGACAGCTGGTCCTCCATAAGCGATGACTGGGACCTACAGTATAAGCATGAAAGAGTTTAGTATACTCAGAGGGACTGCCATACGGCGAGTTGAAAAGGGTGCACGTACGAGCGTGGTAATCGGGCTCGCGTGGAAGAACCAGTCAGGCTTGTTCTCAAAGTCGACATCGCAATCCGTATATTCGGCATTAGCTTCGTGAAGAGCTATAGCTGTCTGAGAAGTCGTGGCCTGTGAGTATCGAGAATGTAAGAAATGTGTGAGACAGCCTACCCTTTGCGCAAATACGCTGATCTGATTCGGTACCGTGAGTATACCGTTACGACTTCACTTGAACCGGAGAACATACCTTGCTCCCGTAGTGAGTAATTTGTTCAGGCATGACTTGAGAGTAGCTGAAGAGCGGGAAGATGGCCGTTGGATATGAAGATAGCTTCAATATCTAACATAGTCCACCTTTTATACCTCCCGCAGAAGATAAAGGTACTTGGCCGTCGCCTTTAATTACCAAGGCAAAAGCACCGTTAGTAAGCTGGCTATCCCAGGTTTGATGTAAAGATAGGACCTTCCGTGAAGTCGAGTCACAAATTGGGTGATTTCTAAGAAGTTTCTGACAAATACCCAGAGATTGCGGGCGTTAACGCTCGACGAGCTGTGTTTGTCAGCCTCAGAATCCTGATCACAAGGCCATGTCTCAAACATATTTGGGTGTCGCGAAGAATTAAGGAAACTTAGCTTGCCCCTAGTCACCTCGGGCTTTAAGCCCAACGACCAACGATTTCAACCGCTCTGACAAGTGATCACCCCGTATTTAGCTACTGTATGTTAGATTACCATGACATCAGGGAAGAACGGTGACTTATATGCCCCTCACCTGGCCCTCCAGCCAATCCCACAGCTTGGATGCCTTGTCCATACCCCGAGCATACTTGGCCGGCTTTCCAACTCGCGTCCATATGCATAGGATCAGGTACTACATAAGAATTAATATGACTATTGAGAAAGCGAACGGTTTGTACGTAACGCACCTTCCCATTCATCGATGCGGGGATGTGCCAGCATACAGGTGCGTGAGTGGACTAAATGAGACGTCCTACAATAAGAGCGACCTTGTAAATGATTGAATGCGTAAGTTTTACTAATCTACGCGGTGGATGAGGATACCTCATCACAACGTTAAGATAAGGTATCATTATAAATACAAACGCTAGAAACGTTAAACGTCAGCCTGTTATAGGCTACCACGCGCGGAAACCTATCCATACGCGAAGGGAGCGCGACTCATATATCTTTCACTTGCTCCTCCAACCAATCCCACAGCTTAGCTGCCTTGTCCGAATCTTGAGCGTACTTGGCCGGCGCTCCGACACGCGCCCAGGGGATCAGGTACTGCCCGGGGGTTCAGCTTCCATCTAAGCGAGTAAACTGCGTGAGATGCACCTTTCCGTTCATTGCTGCGGCTTCCGGGGACGTACCGGCGTACAGCTGTGTGAGCGGGCCAAAGGAGACGTCCTTAAGGACGAGCCAGTTCTGTGAGCGAGACGATGTGTAAGCAGCGTCCGTCTGCGACGTGGCTGGGATAACACACCAGAATAGCTGTGAGAGCCGCGCCGCTGTGGCGTTGAAGCTCTGTCTTTATGGCACCTGGATACCTTTCGTCAGGAGACTGCTGTATACATCGCAAATATCTGCTCACCCGGATTGAGAGAGATGCTGACGATCCGATGGCCATACCTCCGGGCGAGCTCGTTCGAAAGGAGAATGTTTCCCTGTGCGATGACAAGTCAGTGTGAAGCAAAGCAGGCAAAATATGTGCTCACAGTCTTACTCTGCCCATAGAGCAGCTCGGTCCTCCGCTTCCTGCGAGCGGGCGAGTCCTTCAACAATTCAAACTTGACGTCGCTAAATAGATGGGCGTTGGACGCTACGTTGACGACGCGGACGGATCCTTTGGGCGCCTTCTCCGCTGTGGAAAGAATGACGGGGAGGAGTAACTTCGTGAAGTAGAAGTGACCTGGCTCTTATTTCAGACATTGCAAAGTGTCAAAGCATGGATATGAGCTCACCGAGGACGTTGGTCCCGAACTGCATGTCGTAGCCGTCGTCGGTGACATAGTCGATGGGGCAGCTCATGACGCCACTACCGAAAGAAGAATTAGGAAGAGTCAGCAAAAACACCGAAAAGGTGGCACTGGAGACGTACGCGTTGTTAAACAGTACATGAAGCTCGCTCTCCTTCCTATATCCATGCATATACAGTCAGCCTGAAACCGAAACGACATCTCTTTCGCCCTTACGAAAGAAACTCCTCCGCGGACGTCTTGACCTTGCGCAAGTTGGCCAGATCCAGACGGAGAAAAAGCGCCTCCTTCCCTGTGACCCCCTTCAGCTCCTCTATCGCGCGTTTGGCCTTTGCCTCGTCACGCGACGCTATGTAGACCTTTGCGTTCTTGCCGAGCAGTATCTATTTACCAGGCAAACCCAGTCAATATCCTGGAGACAGGTGCAGAGGTAAGCCATGAACATTACCTTCGTGCACTCCTTCCCTATCCCTGCATTCCCCCCAGTGACGATGACAACTTTGCCCGTCATATCCGGCACATCGTCCGCGGTGAACTTGGTCGCGGGCGGGAAGAGTTCCGAGAGGAAAGATGGCATGATGGCAGGAAGCAAAGGGTATAAAAAGCAGCTATTGCAGAATGGGCAGATAGCAGTGAGAACACAGAAGTTTCACGAGCTCAGGGTTTTATACTCACCCCCTAATCTTCCCCGCCGTCGGCTCCCCGCGAACGGTTCACATAGCCTAATGGCGAAGAGGTTAGCTTCGAACATACGCAAGCCTCTTCGCCGGGGCAGCATACAATTTCTGGCTGTTCGAGATTTATCAGCGCGCACTTGACGCTGTCGCGTACGCACATACTTACTGCCGTTTATCACGTCGTGCCGAGGAGACGCGTCATGCATTCATGTCAGTGGGAACCCGGGGAAGGCACACGCTCGGCGGCGATTGCCGCTTTAACTATCACTGACGGGCGTTTCCGAAACCATGTATGGTAAATAGCGCTTTCGCACACTTTCTATGAACGCCTTTCACGATACCATTTTTAAATAACAAAAGGTATAGTACTGTACCTACACGACCGTAGGTTCGTCACGCCTCACGCTTGACCTGTCAAATGAACTTAAGACCTGGTTCGTCACCCATCACAAAAGATAATGAACCTCCCCGCGTGACGAAAAATACTAATCCTCTTAACTTATATTCTGATGTAGTACTGAATTTCAGATTTTTGAGACCCTTACTGGCACGACCACAGTCGACTGGAGATGTGATGTCGAGCTCCTCACTGGCAGGCTTCAGTGAGTCGGTCATACCGGTCTGGCAAGGACTTGAGACACCTGTATATAAGCCTAACGGACAAGCAATACAGTCGTTGTAAAAGGTGTGTCCACATTGCCTGCTTCTCCTTCCAATGAAACACCCTCTTCACCTTCGTTGTCCTCAGCAATAATGCCTTGATGATGTCACCAAACTGTGACCCTAGTTCAAAATCACGCGTTCGCCGGACATTTGAACTTCAGCCTCGGCGGAACTTATCTTGATTTCATGTCACGCAGAAATCCCTTGAACCTACGGTCGTGTAGGTACAGTACACACATGCCTATACATAGTACATCATTTCAGCTGACCGTCGATCAGTCTATATTCTGTATGCGTAGAATCATCTTTGGACCCAGGCTCACCAGACCGAGTGCATTGCTACAATTCCTCATATTACTCGTGGGCATGAGCCGCAGCCTTCTTGGACCAATATACAACGTTAAGGTCCTATATAGAGTCAGCAAATACACACCTTTTCCGAGTCAATAACACTTACCTCATACCAAGTCGCCTTGACACTCGGGCGCTCCAGAAGGCGATCCGCGTAGGCGACGAACCTCGCCAACTCGGGGCTTTCCAGCGCGCGACTCGCAGCGGCAATGTGCTCCTCCCTGCCCCACTCCTTCGCCCCGATACCCTTGCCTACGATGAGCCGGATGCGCGCCCACATCGGGGCAAGCGCCGCATCCGCGATCGTGAACTCGTCTCCAACCGCATACTTACCCTGCCCATCCTCGGGAAGCAGCGTCTGCAGCGTCTGCAGCACCTCGAATATCTCATCCGGCGGCGCGCCGTCTTGCATCCACGCGAACTGGGGCGGCACAAGCTTCGTATCGAGCAGCTTGACGAAAAGGCGTGCGGCGGCGCGCTTCACGGGATCCTTGGGCAGAAGCCCGGCGGCGGACGGGAAGAGCTCAGCGATGAACTCGAGTATAACGGCCGACTCGCTGATCTTGGCCGACTCTGCGGAAGGCTGCTCGGGTGGGGCAACTGGTCCTCCATAAGCGATCACAGGGACCTAGTATAAGTATGACAGAAATCAGTCTCAGGTGTACTTGGCAAGTCGAAGATGCGCTCGTACCAGCGTGGTCACCGGGCTTGCGCGGAAGAACCAGTCAGGCTTATTGTCAAAGTCGACATCGCAGTCGGTATACTCGGCGTTGACCTCACGGAGAGCTATGGCCGTCTGAGGATGTATGGCTCGTTAGTGACGAGAACAAAATACCTGGCGATGCAACCTACTCTTTGCGCGAATACGCTGATCTGGTTCATAATTGTGAGTATACTGTGACAAGTGTCTCTGAATCGACAGATTTACCTTGCTTCCGTAGTGAGTGAGTTGCTCAGGCATAATTGGAGAAGGGTTGACGAACAGAAATATGGATGTGAGTGTGAAGATAACTTGGACCGCTAACGCAGTCTCCCCTTTATACTTAATTGTCACGTCCTGCACATCGGTTTTGATCACTAAGGCAAAGTCAGAGTTCTCCCATAGTTGACGACATTAGGCCCGGTCCGCGAAACAACATAGACGCTGCGCTGGATGACAAACCGAGTGATTTCTCAGAATATTCTGACAAATACGCAGCACTTACGGTCTCATGCGGTCTGCGAGGGAGCAAACGTGAATTATAACATACGAAACCGCAGCCCGGAACCGCGATCAGGGCTACATCATGCATTATAGTGGCTTCAGATTCACACTGGTGTGCCCGTTAGAGCCGTGCCTTTGTCCCGATAATCCAAATCATGATAGAGCTCTTTAAACTTAAAATCGTTCATTGCATTCTTCCAAGGATCTCCGTGGCCTACCGGTTCGCTGTTGTCTCAGGTGTTAAGAAGCAATAAAACCCCCTTATAGAATTCTCCACTACCCCTGGGCTACATCTCATATGTAACCAAAGCCTGCCATCGAAGAGGCAATGCCTCACAGCCACACGTATACAAGACAGGCGCAAGACAAAGGGAGAACAGGAAGGAAGGCAGAAACACCTTCACATAGTAAAATCATGACGATCTTCGTAACATCCGATCATAAGTTGTTTACACAATTCCCTGAAACTTCGGAATTCTTCACAGTAATATGTGACTTGCATTGCAACGATGGTAATGACAGTCTACCGCGTATACAAATATATACACGGCAATGAGTGTCCTGGATGCCCAACCGATAGCTGGAGAATCCATGAGCATGTGCGGTCACAAGAGATGACAGCGGAAAAACCGCTGTGTTCAAATATCAAAAGGTGCCATTTTCGTTCCCCCATACTCAGGTAATGGTGTACTTGGGCCCACCGCCTCCTTCTGGGACGGTCCAGTCGATGTCCTGCGTGGGCACCTTAATGTCACAAAGCTTGCAGTGGATGCAGTTCTGACCCCCTAATCAGCACACACGGGCATTGAGAGGGAAAGAAACGCACCTGAGAGTTGATCACCAACTTCTTCCCTCCCCAACTCCCCTCGCTCTTCGCCTCGTCCTCGACATACTCATACACAGCAGCCGGACACGCCCGGCCCAGCAGCTCGCCAAAGTCCTGCACATTCCTTCGCACGTGGTTCACCCTCACCTCCGTGCTCTCGTCCCCGTTCTTGCGCACACGCAGATGAACCGGCTGGTCCTCCGCATGATTCGTGCCCGTGAGCGCAACACTCGTCAGCAGATCCGTCGAGAGCGGCGGCTCGAACGGCGGGTACTCTATCGGCGTGCTCCACAGCGCCGGCTTCGTGTGGTTCGCATCGAGCGTCTTCGTCTTGTTACGGAACGTCCACGGCGTGCGGCCCTTCAAGATCAACGAGTCCACGCCCGAGTACGCGATGCCGCCCCATATGCCCAGCCGCGTGTCGAACGAGCCGCGCAGGTTGCGCACCTCGTGCAGGTCGTCGTGCACCCACGACGCGCGGAGCGACGTGTCGTACGCGCTCATATCCGCCGTCTTTTCCTCCTCCACCGAGATTTCTTGCGACGAGAGCGCGTCGGCGGCGGCTTCGGCGGCGAGCATGCCGCTCTTCATCGCGTTGTGCGTGCCCTTGATCTTGGCGATGTTGACGAACCCGGCAGAGCACCCGATTAAAGCGCCGCCGGGGAAGTTGAGCTTCGGCACAGACTGCAGGCCGCCCTCGTTGAGTACGCGCGCACCGTATGCGATGCGGGTCGAGTCGCCGCCGAGAAGCTTGCGGAAGTAGGGGTGGTGTTTCATGCGCTGAGGTGCATGTACATTAGGACTGTGGTTGATGTGAGAGGCAGGGGAAGGCTTACCTGCAGCTCGCGGTACGGGCTGAGGTACGGATTCGAATAATCCAGACCGATAACGAGACCCAAGCTAACAAGCCCGTCCGCCATGTGGTACACCCATCCGCCTCCGTATGTCCGGTAATCGAGCGGCCAGCCCATAGTATGAACGACCTCGCCGGGCCTATACTCGCTCGGGTCGACGCGCCAGACCTCCTTCAGCCCAATCCCATACGTCTGCGGATCTGCGTCCTTGCGCAGGTCAAACTTGCGAATAAGCTCCTTTGACAAGGACCCATGTGCGCCCTCGGCAATGAGCGTGACTTTGGCGCGGAACTCCATACCAGGCTCGAACGAATCCTTCATCCGGAACTGGCGGTCCAAGCCAACCTCGTTCGTGCGCACACCAAGCACCTGGGTGCCAGTCTTGTCGTAGACGACGCCTGCGCCGGCAAAGCCCGGGTAGACTTCGACGCCCATCTCCTCTGCTACTGCGCCGAGCCAGGCAGTGAAGCGAGAGAGGGAGACGATGTAGTTGCCCTTGTTGCCCATCTGCGGGGGGTGCGGGATGGGCACAGACATGGAGCTGGTGAGGAAGCGCATTTTGGAGGAGGTGGCGGGTTGCATGGCGGGGAGGTCGTCGCGGCTCTGCCATTCAGGGAGGAGCTCGTTGAGGGCGCGGGGCTCGATGACAGCGCCAGAGAGGATATGTGAGCCTGGAGTGCAGCTGAGTCAAAGATTAAGCAATATAAGGCTTTGCGACGCACCAACTTCTGAGCCCTTTTCGAGAACGACTACTCTGATCTCGTTGCCTTTCTCCTGCTCGAGCTGCTTGAGACGAATGGCGGCACTGAGGCCGGCCGGACCACCTCCTACGATGCAAACGTCGACTTCATCGGAGACGCGTTCGACAGCAGCTGGGTCGAATGGCTCTCGCCTGAGCCGTGAAGTGGAATGAAGAGCCCTGTGTGTCGAACGGACGCGTAAGGCGCGTGTTGCTCTGGTCAACAACATTGTAGTGGTCAAACGACTGACCGAATCACAAGCCAACGATGTCATAGTGTCACGCAGAGAAACGCGTGATGGGTGACGTGACGCGTGTCGTGTCAGCCAGACGCGCGCTCCAAATATAGCACCCCATGTGAACAGCCCATCGAGTCGCAGTCGACGACACCCACAACATCCTCCTCCTCCTTTTTTCTTTTCTTTTTCTGCACACAAGCCATGACGGGTGGCTTTGGTCCGCTCGTGACAGAAGATGGAGGTGCAGATGACGCTCGCTGGATCGGACAACCGCGTATCATTGGCCCCTCATGGTCACGCTTACCCGCAATTACGATTGGCCTCCTGGGTGTCCAGCTCTCGTGGTCAGTCGAGATGTCATATGGTGTGCATATATCCAACCTCTTCTCTCATTTTCGCCAACAAATCTATGCAGCATCCCCATACCTTCTCTCTCTTGGACTCAGCAAATCATGGATGGCCATCGTCTTCATAGCCGGCCCTCTCTCCGGCCTCATTGTCCAGCCACTCATAGGTCAATACACCACTGTGTCTTACGCCCCTTTACCCCCTGACCTGACCATGCATACATCCGCATACCCCAGGTGTGGTCGCCGACTATTCAAAGTCTAGCTTTGGCCGCCGGCGTCCCTTCATCGTCTGCGCAACCCTCATCTGCAGCTTCGCACTTCTCCTCCTGGGCTTCACCCGACATGTCGCCGCTCTATTCACCTCATGGAGGTCACACTCCGTACGTCTCCCTCTCCCCTTTCTCCACCCTTCCACCCCGTCGCTTAGCTATTCTATTGTATTCGTGTCTATGTCTATCTTCATCGGAATCATGTATCCCCCACATCCATTCAAAACAGAATGATGTCCTCACCATCTGGCTCGCCGTCTTTGCCATATACTGCATAGACTTTTCAATAAACGCAGGTTCGCTCATCGCGCCCTCTGCCCTTTCCTTGCCGTCTATGACGTTGTGTTGACTTCTCCTCTCCTTCCCTTTGCATTGCTCTTACTCTGCGTGCCTTACATTTGCGCCCGTCTGTGAAACCTGCCCAGTCCAAGCCGTCGACCGCGCGCTTCTTGTAGATACCCTCCCCACCTCGGACCAGCCCGGAGGAAACGCATGGGCAGCACGCATGCTCGCCGTAGGAAGCGTCGCTGGCTTCTACATGTGAGTCCCTCCGCCCTGTACCACCCGACCCACTGCGTCCTGGCATGCTGGCTCGCTCTCTTCCGATTGAATAGCATCGCCTCGCTCATTTACTTACCCCATGCACCTCTTCCGATCTAGTGGTAATATCGACCTCACTCGCATCTTTCCGATACTGGGCGACGAGGAACTCGAGGTCCTCACCGCGCTTGCTGCCATCCTGCTCCTCGCCACCCAGGCCATCACGTGCTTCTGCACCAAGGAGCGCGTCCTGGTTTCCTCCCCGTAAGCGTCCTTGTCCAATTCGGAATTCAGCTCGAGTCTGAACGTATGTGCATCGAACCAGCTCGAAACGCAAGAACTTCTTTGCTGAGCTGAAAGAAATATGGGAAACGATATTTACCCTCCCGCAAACGATCAAGAGCATCGTAAGCATACCCACACTCACCCCACGGCCGCAAAAGTAACGTGCTAACTTCACGTTCGCCGCCCCTAACCAGTGCGTCATCCAGTTCTGGTGAGTTCTCCTGGCCTCCTTGTATCATGCTTCTTCGCCGACCGCCCCGCTCACTGCTCCCTTCCCCGCCTCACACAGCGCATGGTGCGGCTGGTTCCCGTACATGTTCTACACGACCACCTACATCGGCGAGCTGCACAAGCAGGCGCACCCCGTCCCGCTCAGCGACGAAGTTGCCGTCGCCGCCCTCAACGCAGAGGCGACCCGCTTGGGGACGCGCGCGATGTTCTACAGCGCGCTCGTCTCGCTTGCCGCGAACGCCGTTCTGCCGATGCTGATAAAAGAGAGGAAGACGTCGGGCAGGTACGGCTCACCGCCGCCGCGGAGGTCCTGGCTCGACCGGTTCAAGGTACACCTCGCGAGCCTCTGGGCGTTCTCGCATCTGCTGTTTGCAGTGTGCATGGCTGCGACTCTGTAAGTCTGCCTTTGATTTTGACTGCGGTCGTGCACTACGTCTGGATTGTCAGCTGACGAGTTGATACACGTTTGTTATCGATGATCGCTGTAACATTGTCTCTTTTATCAACGCGAAACCCAAACCCAAATTTCGGAAACTCCGACACAGATTCACTTCTAGCGTCGCAGGCGCCACGTTCATCATGTCCCTCGTTGGCTTCTCGTGGGCGTGCACCCAGTGGGCCCCATTCGCACTTGTAAGCTGTCCTTCTCTCATTCGCCTCTCGCTATTCTCGTTCGGTCCCTCAAAATAACGCCAACCTGTGCTCATTTCGCTTCCTTTCTATAATGTTACTTTGCACTCCGACATAACAATTATGATCACACGACGTCAAATTCCCCTTGCCCATCACGCCCTCCCCCGCGTCACATCGCCCACGACACACGATGCGGCACGGTACACTCGACTGTCAATCCCCCAACCTCCAACTCCGCCAACACCGACAAATCCCCAACGCTTCCACCTCCCCGCATACACATGCCATGTCATCTGATCAATCATGCACGCCTATCGGACAACCGCAGCTCGCAGAAGCGATCCTCGCGCACCCCGGCGCAGACGACGCAGAAGACGACGACGAAGCGTCCATCCGCCTCACCGACACGCGCTCGGGCTCCCGCTCGGGCTCCCGCGGCCCGACGAGCTCGCTCTCGCTCTCGCGCGAGCACTCGTACAACCGCGCGAGCGCCCGCCACTCTCGGGAGGACAGCCCCTCGGCGCTCCAGCAGCACCCGCACCCACACCAGCATCTGGACAAAGACGATGTGTCCGGGCACGATTCAGACGAGGATGGCGATGGCGACGGCGATGGGAACGCGGAAGCGAGGCGGCTGATGGGCGCGCACGAGCGCGGGCGGCAGGACGGGCCAGCGGGGACCGGGCTGATGCGCAACGTCTCGGCGCGGGAGAGCGGGTTCGATCTGCACGAGGGCGGCGACGTCGAGGACGGCGTGTCGCGTTCGCGGCAGGGCAACAACCCGCAGGGGCTGAGCGCCAAGGCGGGCGTCATCATCGTGCGTCCATATCCCCCCCTCTCTTCTCTTTGAGAACGCCCTCTCAAACGAAGCCACGTGCGTGCTTGTGTTGGACAGGGCATCCACAACATCTCGCTCGTCATCCCGCAGTTCCTCGTCACCGGTCTGTCGTCGATCATCTTCGCGCTGTTCGACTCGGGCAACGACGTGCACGGGCACTCGACGCACCACTTCGTGAACGGCACGGACACGGATGTCGGCGCGGGTGGAGGCGATGATCTAGCGCGGCTCGCCGTGCGGGCGTTGACGGCGAGACAAGAGGGCGAGGAGACGACGGCGACGGAGGGGCCTAATGCTGTTGCGATCATATTCCGGTATGTCGATTCCTGATGCTACCGCACTTCGTATGATATTCACTCAGTTCACGCTCAGGCTCGGCGGCGTTGCAGCAGCGGTCGGCTTTGTTCTCGCCTGGAGACTCGCTAGAGAACTCAAGCGCACTGGTAGCTGAGCAGGAACGAAGGAAAGAGGATAATTATGATCTTTGCTGGAGGTAATAGTACATACAATGATGGATGGAAGGTGGAAGACTATTATACGCCCATTCCCTTATTTCTTTCTCTGGCTTGGTACGACTCGGACTTCTGCTTAGACATCCAGCGTACGGCAGGCAAATTAACCACTGTTCGCGATCGTTAGAATACAGTGCCGTCGCTTTCGATCTCGATAGGAGGACCGCCCGAGTGGGGACGCTTCTGCTTCGCAATCTCGCGTCCGCCCTTCCAGGTAGCAGATTCAAGGACCTGAGTGAGGGAAAGCGGGGCATTGAGACGGGTGCGAAGAGCCGCCGTGATGCGGTCGCTGAGGAAGAGACAAGGCGATCAGACGACGAAGGCGAAACGAGATATTGGTAACTTACAGGAGGATGACCGTCATTGCTCTCCACTCGATGATGGCGGGATGAGAAGGCGGCACTCTGGGAAGACCCTCGGTCGAGACCGCATCTGCAGGGAGCTTCCCAGGACGAAGCGTCAGGACGCCAAAGTCCACCAGCAGACCACCTGGAGCGGTCGACACGAGTCAGAAGAGAGGGCCCTTCATGTCATAAGAACGAATACGCACCATTCCGATATTCGGGTAACCCCGTCATGTCCTCGACACCCTCGAATTCCCAGCCGAGGAACCGCTCCATGGGCTCCATGAGGCTGTACGTGATCCACCCGGTGAGCTTGTGGAACGGCACGAGCGCCTCTGTACCCTCGTTGCCCGCAAGTGCGAGCGCGTTGCATTGCCAGACATCGCCGAGGGCAAAGCCGCCGATGGATGTGCGCGGGGGCCAGATGGGCGCGAGCCCCTCGATGAGCGCGTACCACAGCGAAGAGACGTGCACCTTGGTCTTGCCGTTCTCGGCGCGGGACTGTTGGTCGAGGAAGTCTGGTTGGTTGGCGATGTGCAGCGGGCGATGAGCCGACGTGTTGGGTATTGAGTTAGTGAATGCAGACAAAAGAGGAAGGGAAGACGAACCAATTAATCTACCGGGGCGTGCTTCTTCCCCGAAGAAAGTGGGGTTCGCCTTGAGTGCCTGGGCGAGATTGACGAGGAGCGAAGTCCTGCCTTCTAGCCCGACCATCGGGTTCTTCTCGGTCACCTGAAACGCTTCACCCACCTTCTTGCTAGTAAGCTGGGACAAACCCTTGGCTACAGGGCACAGAAGAGAAGACAAATAGCATGTCTATCAGCTTCTTCCGGAACGCAAACAACCGTAATTCCGGAACTTACCGTCCACCTGGAATGGTTGCTCTTTGTTGCCGGAGAACAAACCCTCCTTGAACATGTGCACGCTCGCAACACCCAAACCCTCCGATCGGGCAAACGATTTGCCGGAGGTGGCTTCACTGTACGTCCAATCGTTGCCCGCACCGGCGTCGAGGAGGACAGAGACGAGGAACAGGTCGACGAGACGTCTACAGATCTCCTTGGTGTCAGGCGGATTCGGCTGCGCGTTCCACTCTGCGACGAGGGGCTCGACACGCGGCAAGCCGGCGTCCAAGTGTCTCCAGCGACCATGAGGCGGGATCTGAGACGCATTGCTGGTGGAATTAGCATGCGCTGACGATAGATATGACGCCAGTGAGGGTCTGCACTCACACCTGCAAAGTTGGACCCAAAGTCGCGCTGTGTGATGGGGAGTCAGCGATTCGCAGCGATCGTCATGAAATGTTCAATATAAAGATGAAGCGATGTGTGCCAATGTGTGAGCGTCAGTGTTATGACTGAACAAAATCGACGATGGAGCGATCGGAGCCGGTTAGACCCTTACCCTGATAATCCCCTCGCAGAACTCTGCTACCTGATCCTCCTTATCTGGGTGATAGTCAAAGTACTCCAGTCTGCCTTGCTCGGCGAGCTTGTGCACGCGACTGCATCTCTCGCGGATGGCTGGGATCGTTCTGAGGTAGAGCGCCTGGGACTGTTCGGAAGTCTGGGTGACACCGAGGTTCATGGTCGACAATATATCTGCAAGAGTTACAGGGAACGGAGAGGGAGGTGGGTTGATCAGAGAGGGAGTGACTGAGCTGATGCACGCTTGTTCAGTGCAGCCTTTTTCAATTCAGACGCGGTGAGCCGGAGGCAGCACCAATTAGGCAAACAAACATGCGCCACAACCTGCCGTCCGCAACGTTTCCTGGCTCCTGTCCAATGTCACCTGTCCACTCTCATCAACTCTATCCAATCGCCGTAAACATGAGGAATAGTTAGCATCGTGCAGTCTGTGTTCCCCTCGCGACTTCAAACGCTCGCCAATCGCTATCATAATCCCATCTACACTCTGATGGTTAAAAGCTAATTTATTCGCCCCCTCGCAAATCCGTCGGGTCCGTGTCCTAGCGCCGCATCTAGCTTCTAGAGGTCTGGCCCTGGGGACTTACTAGAGCTCCGAGATCTGTGGATCGGGCTGAAACGACGCCAAGATCAGCAGAGACATCGCAGGCAAGACCAATATCATTTGACACAGAAGACCCAATAAATACATGACTGGATTTCTTGTTATATCTACGATCAAAGTATGCGTGAAAGAGAAAATGTCTGGTTGGAATGCGTATGCTAGAACAAACACAGAAAGCTCCAAAATGCAGGTGAAGGACCGTCCGATGTGGAATTGTAGGAAATAGGGGCCTGTGTGCAACTCAAGCCTGAGAGTGCTCCCTAACACAGTGGTAGCATTGGCCCGGGTTATGGTGTACGACCACTGGCTCAGCCCTTGCCATCCTTGATGGCTTATTGAGACCGAAAGCATCGCGAGTCATCTGTGCTGCACTCACCACTGTACACAGGTCGCCGTACATCTCGGGCAGTCGCGGGGATGCATGCAGCTGTATCGACAGGTCTCAGACCGACAGTCGATCTAGAAAACACAATCAGTATATTTCGTTGTCAGGTAGCGTACAAAGGGCCAACAAGCTTACCTTGTTCTCGGCTACAGGCTCTTCATGACCACACGCAAAGCGGGTGCACTGGAGCTGGCGGTGACACATATCTACAATCCGACGTGGAAATGCGAAGCCTGTAGCAGAGTACTGGGTGGTAGAAGCGGATAGGTAATGCTGGCGAGCTCTTGTAGGTCGACTGGCCGGCTGAGCTGTGGAATGGTCCTTCAGTTGAAAACTCGGCCCACCTTTTATAACGCTATGGTCTGGTGCATCACCGTGCAGTGCAACGTATAGCTTACACCCAAGGACCGATGTAAATGAAAAAGTCAAACTATTGTCAATTTGCTGAATTTGCACTTGTTTCGTCCGGGGAGCCGAACCAAACAGCAGGCCCATGCCCATATTGACGGAAACATGGAGTGAACGGACGGCTCTGAAGGAACTTGCTTGTTTCTTTGCTTCGCGGGTTCTCTACGGTGCCCCTGGCTGCAGCTGGTGCGTTTCACCGGCCAGCACGCGGGGCACATTTAGAAGAAGGCCCTTGGCCAGGTCAGGCAAGGGTGAGTGATGGCGGCTAAGCGAGAGAAGGTTCATCCCCCGCGTTTATGCTCCCTGAAAAGACGCCTAATGGGTTCGTGAGCTTTACCTGGCGTGTCGACAGTTCGTCGATCACGGGGTACACACTAAACCTGGTACATGCCATTGCTCGCGCGTCCCGCGGCCACTCGCCTGGTCACTTGCTCGTTTTGTAAGCAGGGGAATGAAATTTCGAGCTTCTTACCCCAGGACCCATGCGCTATATTTGCTCCATCGATTGAACGATGGGGGATGTTCGTTCAACTGTACAGGCATTCCTTACTCCCCCTCCCAAATGCCGACGGCGGTGGAGCGAGTCGTGCAACGCAGGGAACGAAATGAACGCAAAACTCAACTTGAGTAGGCTGAGATGAAGGAATACCTGTTCATGGGCCTTCTTCCCGTGGTAGCGAAGGAGGATCGCGTGACCTTATTCAGGCATGTATGGGGCGTTGCTTTGCTCTGACTGTACAAAACGCCTTATGAACCTGGAGACTGAAACCAAACTGAGAGGGCTGCTAGTCTGCGACAACGCAGCATCAACAATAGATACAGCCTCGCGACTGAATGGGTGAGAGCACATCCTGATTCACGATGCATGTCGTGCGTGGCACAACCATGAACGTACCTTGTGCGTGTGTGGGCAGGAGGTTGTTGATCTAGAGCGGGCTTTTATGCTTGAGTGTTCGTGCCCTTCTTTTGCTGGTTCCGGTGAGCCCGGCCAACCACGAGCTTAAACTGAGCATTTGTAGGGCCAGTGCTGTTCATCAACACGACACAATTTGTGGCTCACATGGCTCGACGTTCAAACCCCGGTTGCGTCTATGGGGTAATATGGGGCCCGCAGAACGCGACAAAACAGCAGAGCCAAATGCCTAAAGGTGAATCTGTACGACCCAGATCTCTGATCCCGAGATCAAAGACATTTCGAACGGTTTTCAAATCAGGTAAGCGCTAGCGTAAGAAGAAGCCATTATATTTGAATACTTATTCAATCAATCGCAGCAAATGAATAGGCGACGAATGCGCCGCTGGTGTTCTGTAGAAAATAATGAGAAAAATAGTCAGAAAGCGTGGCGTCATGGTAAACCCGCTACGGCTTTTGTCATACCAGGTACCTCCACAGTCGTCATAGAGATCCGACGGGAGACAGTGTGCGCCGAAGGGCAACATCACGCATAGCCCAAGCCGGAAAACATACGTACAGAAAACGTTTCAGGTCCGAATTCAAGTCCGCGGGCGAAACCCGCTAGCAGCACCCCAGCAACCCTACAACGCCTCTCTCTCTCTGTCCCCGTGATCATACAGCACCGTGGCAAGCGGGGTTATGCGTTGATGCTCGTGCTTACGCTCCCATAGTCGCCCAAAAGCCATGCTGCCGCCAGTCGCCGGCCATCTTGGCGGGTTTGACCAGGCGCCGGCGAAGCCGTTGTCCATTAGAGGCAGTTTCCTCGGCGACTTGGCCCGCCGTAGAGTCCGGGTCGGCCTGGATCTCTCGGAGGTGCCATAGCTCCGTGACGCCTGCTGCCTGTAGGTAGTCGTGAAGGCGGGCGTAGTTGAGGCCCACGGCCTCAGGCTTGTGGCTGTCGTCCGACAGTGCAAATCGCCCGCCGTATTGCTTGATCAGCTGGCACAGATGAAGATGGAATAGGCGTAATGAAGGCGGTTATACAAAACGTAAGTAAATCGCCGGCGAACGTTAGCCTGAGAGTCTAGCGCCGGAATGAAGCCAAGACTTGCCTCTACGACTTCCCAGCTTGGATACCCCGTCTTCCAACCTTTTCGAAACGCAGCTGCATTGGCCTCGAACAGAAGCCCATGATTGACCGCAAATTTGACGTTTCGCTCGAGTCCATTCCAGCCTTTTGGGTAGGCTTTCAACGACAGGTCTGGAGTATACAGTCTGCAGAGGTCCACATGGCCCACGATGGCTGGCAGAAATCGCTCGAGAACCTTGTACTGTGCATCAAAGTACGCCTCGAAGAACAAATCCAGCCGCTCATGTTCTGAGAGCCGATCCTCGCTCGAGCAGGACAAAGCAGCTCGCTGATACATTTCCTTGTCGAAATCGATCGGAATTGCATTGACGTGGTGCACCGAACCAACGATGTACTCGATACGGGGGCCATATCGCTCGAGCAGGGCGTCAAGGCGGTCCAGATCATCAGAGGTGATGTGCTCTGTCTCGAGTCCGACCAGCAGGCTGATCTTGTCTGCGTAGGCCCGTTTGAGCCGATGTGCCTCCTCCACAAAAGCGTCAAATTGGTCCAACAGGCCATCGGGAGCCATGCTTTCCTATCAAAGACAGCATAATATTTCAGAATATATGCGTGGATATATGCGAGAACAAACAAGACATCATTGCGTTGATGCCACAAGCGCAATGCGTTCGAATTGCGAATTGCAAGATCGAGGGTGCGAATAGACAGGCGCAAGGTCGTGTTCAAGCCAGCCATGTTCAAGCAGAACAAAACGTGGATGCGCCGTCCAACATAGACATTAGCGAGATGAGCTGGTTGCGCACACGACACAAGCTGACAGAGTATATGCTAGTACCCACCTCTACTTCTTCCGGGTAGAGATCCTCCGCTCTATAGCGGGGAACATGCTCGGTCAGGCCGTACACCTCGAACCCGCGCTCGATCGCGGCGAGAACCACCTCTTCTAATGTGCCCGATGCGTGCTTGCAAAACTGACCAGAGTGCGAGTGATGGCTGTGAGGCATCTCGGCAACGATGCGTTGATGGGAGGTGGTAGATGAAGGCTGATGATGCCAATTCTGCAGGGAATTAATGAATATAGGTGGCCACCAGGTTGGCGCAGAGTCAACTGACCGGTATGTCCAGTGTGGATGGTGGATGTTCGTGGTAGGTCGGAGAAAAAAAGATGATCCAAAAAGGAATTTTTTGATTCGGAGGTGTATCTGTCTGATCGCACATGCTCCGGCGCTTCAATCTCACGGCGCGTACGGCGCCCCTCAACCCCACAGTGATCAACCTATGTTTCATAGTTGTGAAGCCGAACAGTAATCTCATCAGGTGTGGTTGAAAGATGATCTTATTCAAACTGCGAGGGTGCTCAAGTACATTACTACCAAGTTGGGCACTTGAGGATCGAAGCAAAGGCTCTAACATCGTACTAGTGCTAGGGACAGTGGGCAGGATCCGATTTTCCAATACAGAGAAATGTAGTATATACCATGTATGCGGGGCAACGTCTTAACCCAATGTTGAAGGGCTTCACTCCACGACGATCACGACGAAATGAAGACGGCGAGGCGTGGGGGCATACGTGGAAATCCACGATGCCACCAATAGTAACTGCGACGAAGCAAGGACAGTTCATCTGACCATACTACCATTCGACTGCTACGCTAGGTATGTCCCATATTCATGCACTCAGTTCGTTACCCTGAGACGCCTCACTCTGCTTCTCGTCAGGCAGTGACTTGTCTGGTGTCGACGACCTGCTCGAAGGCACCATTCGGCGATGTGAGCGGGGTATAGGGCTGGAGCGCCTAGATGAGTTCGGCGTAGAGCGTGTGCTGCCAGCCCCAGTCCTGCTCGCGATCGATGATGTTCGGCTAGCAAGCGCACCTGGCGGTACAGCAGACGCAGGGGTCTCGGCTGTGACGGTGCGGCGCCATGGTCGGCGGAGGTGGAGCATGACCCACCCTAGCCAAGTGCGATACGCTTCCTCGCGCTCGCGCTCATCACGCCGGCGCTCAAAGAGGGCGCGATGACGCTCATATGACTCGCGGAAGTTCCGGTCAACGCGGGACGAGAAGATGAGCTCGCCGCGCGGGTTGTTAGTTGGGGGTATAGGCGAGATGGGCACGGATGCATTGCGGTCGCCAGATTTGGTGGGGCTCGAGGGGCGAGACTGGTGTCCGATGTTGTGTGTGTCTGCTGGAGGGCGGGCGAAGAAGAGCTGCCAGGGTTTGAAGAGGAAGGAGAACCTGGAGCGTAATGGTGGCTGGCGCATGTTGAGGTACATGTTAAAGCTGCGGAGGGCCTTGTTGGCGTGTGGAACGTATCTAACGTCATAGCTGAGTTCAACGCTGAGATGCAAGGAACATCTGGCGCACCTATTAGCGTATGCAATCTTCTCCGAATACACCCCCGACGCGAAGAAGAGCAAAAGGGCGGTTACGGAGACAAAGAGGAGGCCTGGTGCGACATAAGGGTGGATGGATGGTCCTCCAGGGCCAATGCTGAGTCCAGGAATGGCTTTGCGGAGGAGGTGACGATAGGATACTGAGAGGAATGTGGTTTCGAGGAGGACCTCTGACGAGAGAAAGACGATGGCGAGGAGTAACTGAACAAGGAATACTGGTGGAGTCTCCTGTCAGCCACGGTCGAGGCGGCTTGGGAAAGACGAACGTTGGTATTGATACTTTCTCCGCTGTAGTGCCGCCGCATTGGTCTTGAGACGTTCTTCAAAGAGCAGTAGGTCGCGGTATGTGTCTAACTCGGTAGCAGGTTGGAACGAGTTTCTTGATGGATGGAATGAGGGTTTAGGCATGAGTCCTGTTTACTGCTAGGATCTTGAAGGCGTATATTTCGTCAAAAATCGTATATGATTGTCTTGCCGTATGAGCCAACGTAGGGAACAGAGCGATGAGCATCTGCAGGTCGGAGGAGGACGAACAGGCGGTGACAGTGACGGACATTGGGCCATGCCACGCGTTAGCCACCGAATGTCATCACGCCCACGTGATACTTTTCTGCCCCGAAAGTCATTTCGCCCGGTCGTCGTCTTCGTGCCTTCGTGTGTTTGCGTTTTGTCCGTTCGCAACATACGCTCGCCGACCACCACCTTACCCATCCACTCTCAGGCGTGCTACTCGACAAAAGCGTCTCTTATTGATGCTCTTGACGATTCTTACGTCGGTTGCCTTCCTGGCCCTTCGGGTCACCGGCCGCCCAGTCCCTGAAGACATATACGCTCAGGACAGTGAGAAGTACGTGATATTCAATCGGCTTTCTTTTGCGTTTCAACATGCCTTACGAACACCTTTTAGTAGTGGATTCGCGCCCATCTCCCCTCGAGGTGTCGCCCAAGCTGCATTTCAGCTGCTCAGGTGAGTTTGCTTGCAACGTGTCAATGCTAGCGTCCTTGACAACCGCGACTAGGGAGGGCTCCTTTGAGGCTGGCCATCCCAGCCATAGCGATAATCTGCAAGACTCTCAGAAGACCTTCGCAGACCATGTCGATGCCGCCATCGTAGATGCACCCACTTCCGGGGCCATCGAAAAACATGTGTTCCCCACTGACAGCTCCGTCAGCCCCGAATTTATCAAAGAGACATCAGCCAGTAGCGACGCAGGGGCCATTCCGGAGCATGCACTTGAACCCACTGAAGCCAATCAGGGCGGCGCACTGCCAACCCCTGCGCTTCTCTTTGTCCTAACTTTATCCTCGGTCGCCGCCTTCCTTGCACTTGCTTGCGTCTCCGCCGTATTCTACACCATCAAAATAGTTCGCTCGCGAGTCTACGCGTCAAGGAACTTTTGGGAAGTGTTGCAAAGGTCTAGCCAGCATGCACAGTCGTCAGCACGGCGACCCTTGTCGGCTGACTGCATGTCAGAGCATGTCTACGATGACAAGTGCGCTCCTCTCATCCTGATCGCTACCGAAGTGGAACAGAGCGTCCTCGTTTCGAGACCGTCTCCCCTGATTGCTTTGGACGACGACGAACCACCTCTCATCTCTTTTGACGAAGTTGTGATCCGTCTACCCGTAAATGCGGACTCGGATTCGGATTCGGACTCGGACTACTTCTCAGACGCCGAGGACGCCGAGGACTTTGATCACGAAAAGTTCCACGACGCACTGGACAGCACACCTGCAATCCCGCCCCGCGACCTTCCCCCCATCGTCGCCGAAGACGTGCCGCCGCCCACCGCACTTCTGCAGCTCCCCATCCCAAGCCGCGTGCATACCCTTTCTCCACTCCCCTGCGAGATGCGTGAGCTTGCCTCGCCCGCTCCGGTCACCCGCCCCTCTTGGTCCAATCGCGCCGCGGACGCACCTACCCTCGGACTCATCAGCCAGCCTCGTGCTAGCGCTAGTGTTCGACCTAGCCTTCCCAAGGCGCCCGCGCTTGTCCATCCGCGCCGTCGCGCCTATCGTCACGCGATGCCTGAACTCGACTTTGCCTTGGCGATGCAGCTTCGGCCTGGTCTTGGTCTTGGCGCCGACCCCGCGTGGATGGTCCGTTTCCTGATGACCATGTTCGGGTGGTTCGCTGTCGCCCTCACTAGCTCGCGCTAAGGCTAGCATCCTTTTGGGAGCTCGCTCAACCCCGCGAATACGGCCGATTCGCAGATGCTGCCATCAGTCAAAGCAAAGGCCAAAACATACCCGTCACTTTCGACGCAAATTCCAAGACCTGGTATCGAATCTAGCAGTCTGGATGTACATATATGATGCGCTCTCTTTACGACCTTTCATGTCCTCAATCGTTTGCCTTTTCTCAATCTTCTTCTGGAACTCTGGAACTCTGGATATCGGATTCTTATTTATACGCACTGGCGGAGCCTCTGCGCGCCATTATCCACCATTGCTCCTATAACCCCATCATACCACTCCCTCTTTCGTTCTTTCCTTTCCTGCGACCGTGTTTACGCGCCGCATATCACCATCGATTCCCCATTCTTTGTGTTTCCCCAACTTTCATCTCCACCCGGATCCCCTCCGCATCTGCATCGGACCAGTCACCTTCAACGCACGCATCTTGGAATCAGACACTCAAAAAGACACTCATGATAGAGTCTCGTAGAACAAGTCAGGATTCCCATCTCTACTTATGTTCGATCTACAGTAGTTGTCGATTACAGTAGCGGCGTCGTTATGGCGTGCTAGTAGTATGCGCGCGCTCAGGTTCCCTCTGGCTTCGGCCGGTTGTATACCCCTGTCGTAGCCTGATATTTAGGTAAGTATAAGTTTCTTACAACTACAAACGCTCCCTTGTACAGAACGTGTTAATCGTGCTTGTCGTGTCTTGTACTGCGTTTTTGCGGTACTGTACGCGTACATCTATGGTAACACGATAAATCCATCCCTTCAGGGCCTTGTTTACCTTACAACCTCCTTCCGGATTTACCGCAGACGAACGATCCGTTACCGGTCTTTCCATGGTACGCTGACTAACGTTTGTACGGCAAATTCTGTTGAGGTAAGCGTGCGCGGGGTGTGTACATGTTTTGAAGCGAACAACCCTCATATGTTGTAAATCCCACTGGTCGATCAAAAAGGCCCTTGTACCAGCTCAAATCAGTCTTATTAATGGAATGCTGAGTGAGTCCTACTCGTCATCTCAATACGTTCAGCACTTCCTGTATTATCATCCCCTAGCCTTCCTTCATCGTGATCAGCCTCCTCTCGACCCTGCGTCTCCTTTGGATCATCCTTCTTCTTGATGCTCGTCAAGAAGAACGACATAGGCGCAGCAATCCCTGCCCAGGGAATCAAGGATACAAAGCTCCACGCGACACCGTACCTATATGCGTCTCTTATGATCGTCTGCACGTCGCTAGGCAAACCGTCAAGGCTAGTAAGCGATGATAGGCCGCCGCCCTGACTGCTATATAGGGATACGAGTGCTGCGAGGTCAGACGGGGAGAGGGCGCCAGCTTGAATCTGATCGAAGACGTAGGACTTCACTTTGGAGTCCATGACAGTAAAGCATTGTGCAAGGCCAACTGTACCGCCTAACGTGCGGAACTGGTTGCGCGAGTCAGCTGGGATAAACTAGCGCAGACGGTTTAAAAATGGCGACGTACGAAGAGCATTAAAGCGCTGACTATGGCGATGTGGTCCGGTTCAATGAACCGTCCTTGCACGGCGAGCGATCCTGCCGTCATACCAACACCAACGCCTGCCATGGCCATGAATCTGACCCATAGACACAGTTAGTAAGTAGAGATACCCTCATTAGGCTGAGTAACGAGACCCACCCATTAACCATGCCCTGATTTTTTTGCTTCATCGCCATTTGGATCAAACCCAGACTCACGGGCAACAATACCGAACCGGGAATGATGGAGAATTTCGGCTGTGCTGAAGCTGTAAGGCAGGACCGTTTTGCAAAAATCCAGGACCCACCTCTTTGGTTCGTTTGATGATGGCGATAGTAAGCCATGACCCGCCTCCCTAGCCGAACATTACTATTAGTCAATGTATTCGCAGCGTATAAACGCACGTACCATCCCGGGTGCAAAATACAGGAGCTGGATACCCGCTTGGGCCGCCGGTAGGCCAGTTACAATGACCGCAAAGATCGCCACGAAGTAGAACATAACAAACATGACAATGCCCGAGACGAAGCAGCAGTATTGTACCACACACATATCGAACGTCCTAAAGATCTCCAGCGGGAGCATCCGAAATGCCAAGAAGACCGTTGGCGTTGACGATGTCGACTTTAGCTGAATCCGTCGGAGTCGGTCTTCCCAGAAGAGGAAAAGTGAGAGGAGTCCTACGCCAACGACGAGGGAGACAATGACGCGCGCGGTGTTCCAGCCGTCGTCTGGGCCCCAGTTGAACGCGAGTAGGATCAAGATACCGCCCAGGATGAAGAATAGCATGCCAATCCAGTCAAGAAGCAAGACCTTCTGGATGAATGTGCTACGGTCTTTGGAAGAATTTGGGAGCTGTTGAAGTGGCTTCCCTTTCTTGACTTGGCCGCGTAGGAGTATAGCGCAGGACAGCATCGCCACAACAGCGGCGGGAAGGCTAGTTGATGGTAAATAGCTTAGACTTGTGAAAAGAAAATGGTTGGATACGCACTTGATTGCGAACACCCATCGAAAGTTGACGTCAATCAAGTATCCGCCAATGACGGGACCAACACTGAATCCGACTGCGTACAGAAAGAACAAACCAGACTGCTGCCAGTTGTTTGCACTGATGGATGACGAGTCTGCCATAATTGTCCGAACAACCTTGTCATGGATCAGCCCCATGCTCTACCTCACCCGCATCAAATGCTCGAAACACGTACCGTCAACAAGCCCGCAGCACCGACACCAGCGACACCTCTCCCAACGAGCATCGTGATCATGTTCTGAGCACCTGTGCTAATCGCGCTGCCGACAAGGAACCATAGGAGCGAGAACTGGAGGCCAAAGTGTCGGCCGAAGACGTCTGCGATCGAGGCAAAGAACGGGAGGAACACCGCGGACGTGAGCAGGTATGATGTCCCTACCCAGCTGGTAGTAATAAATCAGTAACGCTGAAGAAGACCGACGATGCAAGAGCAACCAAGTACCTCTGCAGACTCAAAGCGTCAAAATCCGACTATCAAATGAACAATGTGAGGAAGCCGGTCATATGACATGGTACAAGTCGTCCTTACCGCGATACGCGATTGTGCAGTAGCAACGACTATGCAGCGCACGACGTTAGCATCGTGTCGAGAAATGCTTCGAGGTCAGCCTGAAGAAGTTTCTCACCCGTATAATCCAGCGTCTCAAGGAACACTGGCAAGAGCAACGCAACAAAAATCCTGATATTCTTGATCCTCGCTTCCTTGGATTCTGCGGAGCCTGAGAGCGTTTCCTTCGGCTCCTTGGCTCCGGTTATGTCAGTAGACTTTCGGAAGGGGATCCGTGTCATGTCTGCGTGCGGGAATACCCAAGGGACGACTTGGGTTGATGGTAAGCGTGAGTGACTCAACCAAGGTCGAGACGACACAGCTTATATACTTGTAGGGATCGACAGAATGAGACCGTTCCCAGTTCCGTCGCCGACTGCGCTGATGCAGTGAGGCCCAGATGGAAGATGGGGACAAGGGAAAACCCGAGCCTGTGGTGTGCCATAGGCGTGGCAGATGCTCTTGCATGAACGGATGAATTTTTTTCGGCCAGCTTCGGCAACTACAGCTGCGGGACCGCAGTCGTAAGTGACTGAGCGCAGTTGCAGCCTGTATACCCTTGGCCTGTCCTCGCCATTGCTGTAAACTGCTGTAAATCAAAGCTCGCAGGCTGTCAGACTGCGAGGTCACCATAGACGCTGATAGACGCCAGTATCACTGTCAGGCGTTGACATGTTTTTGCATTTAGGATAGGCATGACTTAGAATGCCCCACTCAACGACACAAAGGTGAACGAATGCAGCTTGAGATGCGAGGGGAGATAAGCAAAAGACCAGTGGCAGAGAAGGAGATCAACAAGGCTCGTTCTTGACACAGCCACACTTGACATTAACTATTGGCCAAGAGTAAGAGCTGAAGCCAAGAACTCGACATCTGGGCACATGTTCACGCCGGCGCAGCCTCAAGGACTTGACATCTTCACGCGAGTTAGTTCCGCATCTTCTCAGCTTAGATTTACTGCGTAAATTGCTGTGCGAATGCTCGAGATCACCTCACAGCAAATCGAGCTTCACACCTCGTGTTCTGCCAGTAAGATGTTCCATGCAAGATGTTGACTTGATATTTTATACTCTCCATGATAAGCTTGCTTCTATTGTAATCGAAATTATAGGCTACATGATAACGGAATATTCACCTCAGTAAATTCGTGTTTGCCTATCGTCTGACGTGACCAAGGAGGCGCCTTATCCAAAGCACGCGCAGAAATTCTATGACGGAAAGGAAGACGAATGTTTAACAATTCTCCTCAGCGAGGCTTTTGAACAAGCAGGTGTAGAACCTCAGTATCGTCAACGAAAAAAGAGAAGGGCACCACCAGGAATCGAACCTGGGCTGTGGCGGAAGTCCAAATGAGAGCCATGTGCATACCACTACACCATAGCGCCATCACTCGCTAGGTTTGCATAAGGCAATCTGGTGGCAAACCTTGAGCGTCCTCTGTAACGCTCAAACAGCTGCGACTAGAAGCATCGAATGAGTTACAATTTGTAAACTCTTATCTCAATTGTCATTTCCTCGAAGGTGTACCAGGAATGACGAATGAGGTTCGTTATACCCTCAGTCCTCGCAACCTGCTTCAAATTGCCGTACACAACCTCGCCACACCAAATGAACTGCCTCTCAAAACAAGACCCCTTGTGTAAACTATCGAGAAAATGATAGTGGAGGCGAGTTGCGTTATGAGATCAGACGTTTGAGAACACTCAAAAAACATATATTGATTATAAGGTCATGTTTGATTTTTGCTATTTCCTTGTGTATCGAGGAATACCGTGTGGATATCAGACCCGATAGCAACCCAACAGCTTGTAATCGTTTAGCTGGAGTCAATGTAAGCCCACCTGGTTGGGCGCTTTGATTTAGACAATATGCGTCGCAGGACAGGACCCACAATTTCCTTGCGGAGATGTCAAATCGGGTTCTTCTTCTTCGACCGTAATAGTACCCTGCTGTATGCCCTCGTAGAACTCGCAGGCCCGGACAATGAGTCTCTAGTTTATAATGGTGATGAGAGGCTGGATGAAGCTAGAGGTCAACTTAGCGTCAGTTGTTGACCTCATTCACTGAAGTAAAGCGCCTACAAGATATCAATGGCCCAGTAGGTCTCCTTTGCAGCGACGTCAGTAATTCTCATTTCAATCGTGCTGGGTGTAGTTCTATCCTACCCTTGGAATAAGACTAAGCACGACATTAACAATCCGCAGCACTGTATATGTAGATTAGCGGAGTTCAGTGAATTGGACTTTGTCACGATTACCTAGAGTCAACTGTGATTTACAATGATCAGCATGTTGCGATGATGGTATACTCTCGACTCACGGCTAGAAGTCCGAGTCCTTGTTTGTGAAGGAGCCCGACTATTTGCGAATCATGAGTCCTAGGTATATCCATGACGTTTGCACAAACAAGCAATGCTGCGTAAACGTCGAAGACGAGCTGGCAACGTTAATGATCAGATAGGGAATCGAATATGAGGGGCTTGTACTTGAACTTTACCTGTACAATAGCGATCCCGGTAACAAATAGACTTCGCCAGTCATAGATTACACATGTGTGTAATCCTGGAAATGACTCCCATACGACTTTGTCTAGACATCATATTTTAGGGCTTGGACACATTCAAGCGAGTGCGTTCGGTTGGACAGCATACTTTGTGCGGTGTGATTATTAGCGACAATCAAACCGATGTTGCAACACAGTGCAATGAAGGCACCTCCCATAAGGTACCGCAGTGTCCTGGGGTTCTCGTTCCATAACAGAAAAATTCTACCCACAGCCGACACTAGAAGTTCAGTTTGTTTAAGTCTTGTTGGAAGTCACAAAGCTCAATTGTTCACTGTTTCCTACTGCATCCACAAGGACATAGAGAATCTCTATGGCACGGACTGTGATCATACAGCTGATAAAGGCGTTATAATATCAAACATATAGATCATGTAGCGGCCTGTGAAATTACTTCGTTACGGGTTAGTAAACGCGTATGAACAATACAGTACTGCATAAATGGATTCACCCTGTGAGTATCAAGGCTGATATTCGGGAACATTACTATCAGAATTTCATTCATCAGTAGGGAGACCACATCTCCGGGATAGGTCCGAACCTCTGAACCACGGAATGAGTAACACCATGGCACCTATCCTGTTGCATACAAAAGCGGCTCGCACAACAACGCTCTTTATGTTGCGCATGGATCGAATCTCTCTGTTCAGCATCCACGCACTGTCCCACATGAGCAGGGCCATGCTCGCAGCTAAGAAGTTCCAAGTCACAATTGTATACGTGTGAGATTGGATCACCTTATTACCTGCCTAGTCTCCTTTTTGCAGCCGTTTTACACGTGTCGCTGCGCTCTTTTGACGAAAAGTAAACAAGAGCTGGAACTCAGTGATAAGTCCGTCGAGCAGACATATGTAGATGAGAGTCACTGAGGTGTGAATGAGTGTGAGAAGAAAAAATGTTTATGAGAGCATGTTTACCTTACCTTTATACTGTATTTCAACCAACGGGGCGTTGATGCTTTTGGGATCCAGAATTTCGTTGACGAGCCCAAAATAAATGCAGGATATTGGACTCGAGAAAAGGAGTGAACGCTGAGGTCTCGATACCACAACAACACTCCACAGTAACAACAGACGAGGAATTGTTTGTTTGCGGGTTATCTTCCCACCAGATTTGTTCGGTAAATTTCCGCTTCAGATTGGCAATGCACCCTTGGTATCATTTGCGTGGGCCATAATGATGGCTGAGAGGGAATATTTGTGGAATATCGGTGTCCGTATCAGCATCACGGTTGTGTTCAGCCTGTGAATCAAAGGCAGTAGCCAAATGGACATAAGTAATGGAGCCTCGCTGTGAAAATTTCCGGTCCTCATCATTTTGCGCAGCGAGTTGGTATCCACAAGCAGAAAGGCGTGGAAAGTGGGTATGTTTCGAAATTCCAGGAGCTTTTTCATCAGGCCGGATACGATGATAGTGGCCCTAGAAAGTCTGCGAGGGTCACTGCATGGGATGTCAATGTGAATTACGAGTACCACAATGAGGTAGATATATTATTGCTCAGCGCCGATACTGACAGCAAGATATCAATATAAAATAGGTAGGCAACGGTTGAACGATGACTGAGAATCTTGGCTGTGAGTTCCTTCGCGCGTAACGGTGGGACAAAGTTTTGGACAAGGAGGTGCAACTTTGAGCGAGCCCAATTCAATACCTCACGTGACAAGGCCGCGCGTTCGAGCCGCGTGGGATGTCGAGCCGACTCGCCGATACCTGTCCCCAGGCTCCTGTACCTTGAGCTCGACCGTCACCACAATTTGGTCGAGCAAAGTCACGTTCAATCATACGATTCACTGTCCTTCAGACGTTCCACATCTTCTTTAATATTTTTACGACCCTAGTCACGATCTTCCCGCCAACCAGCAAGTTACCTAAACGTAGTCTTGCACGGTGTTGACGGCGGCATGGCAGCGAACAAGCAAGCATTGGTACGTATCGCCCCTCGATGCATATATGCAGTGAATCATCGGTGAATAGTGGCAAGATGGATACGATGAAGCGGTAGAGGTCAACCAGCGGGCTCTGATCGACAAGGTGTTAGCGAGATACTCGGGCGAATTCACGGGTATGCAATCACAGCTTACTCGCATTCTATCATTCTCGCATTGAGCGTTGGTTCCAGTCTTCAGGGAACTCCTTCAGAACTCGGACGATGCCCAGTCCAACGCTGTCGAAATACACTTCGAGACGGATGCATACCTTAAGCGGAAGGAAGGGAGGGATGCCCTTGGCCCTACGGACGACGCGTTCCCAGACCTCAAGAAGACCCAGGTGTCGCAATGGACATTCAAGAACAATGGTATCATATTTAGAGACGAGGACTGGAGTCGGCTGCGGAAGATAGGTGCGCCCCTTTACTCTGTTGCTCACTCGCCTGTTCATATGTCCTGCTAGCCGAGGGTAACCCGGACGAGGAGAAGATCGGCGCGTTTGGTGTCGGTGAGTTGCATATACTGTGAGCATCTGCGACTTTCCTCACTTCCTCAAGGCTTCTACAGTCTATTCTCGGTCACGGAGGAACCCTTTGTCACGTCAGGAGGGCACGGAATGCAGTTCCACTGGAAGAAAGATAACAAGGATCAGGTTCGTCCTCGGCTGGTTTTATTACACCTCACCTTAACAGGATTGTAGCTTCAAGTTAGACGTGGCAACCTCCCACCAACCGATACCCCAGACCCCTGGACCACATTCGAGATGACCTTACGCGAACCCGGCACGATACCACCAGCATTCGACTTCACTCGTTTCCTCGCGTCTTCCATCACATTTATGACCCACCTCTGCGAAGTCAGCCTCTTCCTTGACGAACACCGCCTCGTACGCCTCACGAAGTCGTCTGGCGTCATGAATGATGCCACGCTGTTGAAAGGCATCAAGGGCACAAGCGGGACGGGGATGATGGCAGTCCGAGGGATTCGTTCAGCTCGTACGTCATCCATTCCACTGTAAGGGATTGCCTCCTAACATCCCTCCCAGCTATACGAATCAAAGCAGAGGTCATGCACGCCGTCTACTCCGTCGGCACCGAGAAGCCCCCACCCCTCCCCGCCGAAAAGCCTGTCAGACAAGCCCAAAGCGGCTTCTTCTCATCCCTTTTTTCGAGCTTCACCGGAGGGAGCTCCACGCCGCAGCGCGTGGCTACCCCCTTACCGCCTCCCGCACCCGAAGACCCGCCGATCAAGGTGCACGAATCAAGCGTGACGCTGACGATCTTCACCGCGGACGTCTCTGTGAGTGTCGACAAGAAGATGGAAGCGGAACTGCATCGGTCGACGAAGAAGAACCCACCGAGGCAACTGAAGTATAGCTTGATATATGTCAGTTTGCTTATCGCCTTATGTTGTCTGTTTGGCTGAACGAAACCCGTAATGTCAGACAGGAAAGGACGAGTACGATAACAGCGTAGAGGAAGAGAAGAAGCAGCCCAAATCGAGTGGAAGCGTCTTCCAAGGTCTAAGAGCGGATCTAAACGGGTGCGTCGGATGAGCGTGCTTGCCACTAGTTGTACGGCCTTATTCATGATGCTCTCGTTTAGCTCGGGCCAAGCTCGTGTGTTTATCGTGCGCCGGCTCTCATATGGGCTTGTATTTGTCTAGCTGACGATAATCATGTAGGGTCACGCGACGGGTCAAACCACCGGCATCGGTGGGCATATGGCGTCTCGATTCATCCCAACCGTAGAACGAGAATCAATAGATCTGGTGTAAGTCTACTTCTCAAGGCCGAAGATAATATAACTCTAACGCTTGTTTGTCATCAGAGATCGCAACGTTGCAGGTAAATTGGACAACTATTATGGTCTATATAGCTGCTAACACAAGGAGCACAGTTTGGAATCGTGAGCTACTCTATGTTGGAGGTTTCCTCTGCCGGACGGCGTATGAGCTCGAGTTGAGCAATATCAAGACTTTATGGGACGGTGCCTCGTCAGCTGCGACTGACTTCCAGCCTGATGCAGAACTAAAGAAGTGGTTGACCGCGCGGTTCATCCACGTCCTCAAGTTCTTCTCGTTTCATGTTTCTACACCATCATCAGACGTCTCTCGCCTACTTGAGGCCGCATTCTTCGCATGTTCGACGTCGCATCCGTTCCACGTGCTCTCAACTGCGGGTGTACGCAGTGCTACCGCTGTCCGCGAGCCAGATGCAAGCTTCGCTGTGTTCCTGAAGCGCCTACCTGTCCTCCCCGAGGAGGTGCTGAAGGACGCAAGCCGCATGGTCGCGTCGATGCGTGCCAGGGGTATGATCAAGAGCATCAACTTTGAGGACGTGCTCGCTGAACTACGGCAACGCCCATTGACTGAGACTGAGCTGATTGCGTGTCTCCGATGGTGGTCCGACGACGTCCTCCAGAACTCAACCCAGTCCCACCTATCCTACATTCGCCGCGAACTTCTCGAAGCCACCCTCGTCACCTTCCCGCAGAAAGACGCCTCCAAGTCCGACAAGATACTTCCCCTCTCGAGCGTGCAGTTCTTCGTCAACCCGCGGAGCATCAACAGCGTGCTCAAGGACCTCGACGGCCCGTTCCCGGACACACTTATGCCCACGAGCACCACGCAGCACTTCACCGCCGAACAGCTCGCCTCGCTCTCGTGGCGTGAGCTAAGTGTCGCCGACTGGGTGGCGCACATCTCCCGGCCCGAAGTTATGGCTGCGGACTCGGCGTACGATCTTCGCATATCTGCTCACTGGTCCGAGAAGGTGCTCAGCATGCTCACGCGTACGTGGCCTTCCCTGTCGGCCGGCGCGAAGGAGAGCATATGCGCGGCGCTGAAGGACAAGACGTGTGTGCCGACATCAAGTGGGATGAAGCTGCCCGAGGAGTCGTATTTTGCGAGCGCGAACATTTTCAAGGATCTGCCTGTTGTTACGTTCCCTTCTGGGTTTGTGATCAAGGGTCCGATGGAGAAGGTGTTGCTAGCGCTGGGGGTGCGCAAGCATGTTGATCTCCAGGTCGTTTTCAACAGGTAACATTATTCCATTGTTAACCTACAGCTATCTCTAATCTAAGAGAACTATAGAATGATCAAGACTGGCGACTGGTCCACCGCCGACCTCGTCACATACCTCGTGTCCGTGCAAGCCAACCTCAGTCCTGATGAGAACATGCGCCTTCAGTCGACATCCGTGTTTTTCCGCGAAGGATCGACGTCTCAGGATGGCAGCGGCAGACGCTCGCGGTACAAGGCCGCTGACCTGTATGAGCCAAATCCCACATTCCGCCAGCTCGGGCTCCCCACGCTCGACTGGGGTGAGAAGTCTAAATGGAAGAGCGGGTCCGAAGAAGGTACGTTTCAATCTTCGTATTCGCTCTGTAGTGAGGCTCACCGCGTTCCCAGCGAGATTTTTGTATCGACTGGGGCTTAAGCGGGCCCCTCCGCTGGACGTGATTATTAACTTGTCCGCGAGCACCGACAAGAGTGTCCAGCAGCATGCGCTCAAGTATTTGCTTGACAATCTCGTTACACGTTATCCCGAGTATCACCCGAACAAGTACGCGGAGGTCGCATTTGTTCCGGCAATCAACGCATTCAAGGAATGTCTTGGGAAGCCTAACGAAGTGAGCAAGACTGAATCAATGTCTCCGAACGTGACTTTGACAAACAGTCAGGTTTTCGTGACTGCAGCATGGAAAGACTTGGGCTATCTGGTGGCCCATCCGGATGTTCGGGACGCCGTTAGCAAGCTTGGACTGCTGGATCATCCCCCAACAAATTCGTTGGTCACGTTGCTTCAGAAGACGCCTCCGAAAGACGTAGAGACGGCTCAACGATGGTTCGACATCCTCGCAACTCGTATCGTCGGTAAGTATTCCGCTATTGAAGTCGGTCTTTGTAGGGTACTTATGAACTCACTTCATAGATTTCGCACCTGGCGAGCTGACTGCCATGTCGAAACTTCCCATAGTCCCTGTCTCGATAGGCGGAGCAATACGCCACCTGTCCCCCAGCCAGTGTTACATCGGCAAGAGCGCGTCACAGGAGTTCCACTCCAAGCTCTTCACCTACGTTGACTTCGGCAAGGCGGCTAACGGATTCTTGAGTGCCTGTGGCACGAAGCAGGAGCCATCGATAGACGAGATAGCGCAAATCCTCATCTCGGATCCTCGGAATTTCTTCACCCTCGCGGGTGGCAAAGAGAGGTAAGCTACAACAGACCCCACACGACTAGTGGCATGAGTGGCCGTCGCTCATTTCGTTACTAGCTATCTCATCGAGCTTCGCAACGTCGCCAACAATGCCCGCCTATTGTCGGGGGCGACGCTTACCCGTATGAAATCGGCTCCCATTCTGCTCGGCACCAAGCGGAGCGTGCGCTCTGATAAGCGCCGGAAGTCCAACGAGGCGGATCTGGAAGAAGACGACTGGGAGCTGCTGCACGACCTGAAGAAAGCCAGTGATATCGTCATCGTCGATGATACACAGGCTTACCAGCTCTTCGGGGACTCGGTTTTCACAGCTCCACAAGATGATTTGCTTGAGAGTAAGTTCTGGTTTCAAGCGGCATTGCACGCGGGGATCAAGCACTGATCGCTTGCCTTCCGCAAGACTTCTATATCCAGCTAGGATCCAAACGCTTTAGCGCCATCGTTCAAGAAGAGTACAAGTCCACCGCGGAAAACCGGAACTCACGAATTGCAGCGAACACACGCTCACTCATCCTCGAGCGGCTACCCCTTTTCCTTCATGAGCATACCCACTCCCGGCCACGTGTCTCTCTGAACTGGTTGGCGGGCGAGCGCAACTTCATCGTCAGGGCGTTCGATAAGCTCGTCATCGTCAAACATCTACGTATCGCTGACGTGAACATCACTCGCCACCTGGAAGCATCTGCTGCCGCAAAGCGCAATGCGAGGACTCTCACCAGCCTCAGTTCCGGTTCCATCGAGCTATGGCTTGCGCAGAGCTCTGAGATTGACATGTATGAGTACGTGATAACACTTATCATCGGTGACGAACTTTGTTTGACATTCTCCAAACAGAGTGGCAAACGCACTATGTCGTCTCATCTTCGAGTCTCCCAAGACAAACGACGCTCTGCTGTTCATGACAATCCTCTCGACTGACCTTCGGACACTGAAGAGACGTGGCTACAACGGTAGTTATTTGCTTATAATACCCAACCCTGATTAACCATTTTGCCTCCACAGTGGACAAGATTCTCCGTCAGCAACAGGATGCGCGGCAACGGGCAATTGAAGCCGCAAATGCTAACTCCACCGTAGCACTCCTTCCCCCGCCTGAGAAACCTCTCCCTGCACCTGTCTCCGCACCACCTGTCGTTCCACCGCGACCAACATCGCCACCACAGAAAGAAGTTATTCCAGGGGGATGGGATACCAAGCGACCGATCTCGCCACCTACAGTAGCAAACACGCCGCCACCTCCAAATGCACCGCCTCCTTATAGCCAGAAGGAAGAAGTGGACGACCAGCCTTCGACAAGCCGCGGTGGCAGGCCTCTGTCTCAGATGACGAGCTCGCTGAACAAGTGGAAACAACAGCTACTCCCATCCACACGTGACGACTCTGGCTCCGGCGCAGGCGTCTCCCCCAACCCCGCAGCACCCCCGCTGACACGCAGGCCTAATGCACCTGTCACGCCGCAGAGTAGCATCCGTGAGTACATATCTTACCTTCCTTCCACATTGACGTTGACCAGTGGACGATGCAAAGGCGCCAATGTGACGCAAGCGATCAACGCGTGTAAGCCGGAAGGCAACAACTTGATTCAGAATCGGAAGCAAATGCAGATGATCAAGGAGTCGCTTGACGATGGGTACTGCGATATCTCGGGTCAAGTGGGCGACCTCAAGCTTGTTGGTGAGTCGCCCCTCCCTGGTTTGTCTGGTTATCTCTCCTTTGGTTAGTCGATGTCTCATGAATGTCCAGGACAAATGGGAACTATGAAGGTCTACGCTACACACGGTAAGCTATGGAGCAATCGCTTCTCCGTTCGCGTTCGCAAAAATTGACCTGGTTCTGTCAGATGTTCCCAGCCCCGAGACACTCGTCACCACGAAGCGCAACTCGTTAGCTCGCTTTATCCACGTAATCACTGCGCTGAGCCGAGTTTACTCGCTTCCAATTTCATCGCTCCATGTCTTCTGTGATATGGGCGGTGGCCTGATTGCGTTCAATCGGAACGGTAGTATATTCCTTAACCTACGGTACTTCGAAGCGTGGCGTAAGTGCATTGCTTTTCTTGGATGGTGGTACGCTATTTGACGGCTTATTACAGATGATCAGAAAGTGGAAAGAGGAGACCTTAATGAGGCATATATATCATGGTGCGTCCTTGAATTCTCTCATCTTGGATGTAGAGATCTAAAAAAAGTTCCAGGTATTTCACACTTGCCCACGAGATCGCGCATAACCTCGTGCAGCCTCATAACTCGGAGCACGAATTCTATTTCTCGGCGCTGTGCGAGGAGCATATCATGGCCTTTGGCAAATTGCTCAGTCACGGCCCTGGGACGAACTAGAGGGGCATGTTCTAACGTCGTTTCTCGATCAAGATTTGTATCATGTTGACAGGCCCACGCATTAATGGAAACCTGATCCTCAGTATCTTGCACGGACATTGAGATTGCAAACATCGCATCCTCAAACATGCTGTGCCCCTAATTCGAAGCGCATAGAATCGGTATCTGGTAACATGATATCAAGGTGACTATTATGAATCTACCTTGCGGTGCTACGAAGCATATGCGTACACACTATGGGTGCTATCATCGAATGAAAGCAAGCATGATGTTTTTAACATCTGCCATATGGCGCTTCATCGTCAACTCATCCCAAACGTCGGTGACCTGGGCGCATCGGAAAGGATTAGTGACAGGTAAATGGCTCAGATATGTCGTGCGACTTACCTGCACTTGCAGATGCATTACCGAGTTGACGGTCCAGATGTGATAGTCTCTGTTATCATGTGTCATGTCTTTCGTCAAGCTCACGAAGGAGTCAGACTTACGGTTGTTTCCAGCTCAACCTGTGGCCAATGGCAAGCGATAATGGTTTCACCACCTCATGATCAGTCTTGATGACATCCTCAACTCTACCGATGTTTGTATTCGCCGACGTCCGTCTTCCCAACACAAACCGCAAAAACCCATCTGTATTTCTCCCTCCCTTGTCTGCTGCATTGAGGTGCGCCAAGTTCGGGTTCGAGACAAGGCACAAGTACTGCTCCTTGATTACCTCCATCATGTGGATGAGCTGTTCGCACGCTGTGGGCTTTCCTTCCATGTCCTTGGCGAGTATCTTAATGGGTGCGAAACAAACTCCGGTGGCAAGCTGCCCGACGTGATTGTACTGAGGTACGCGAAACCTATCTTGCCCAATTCTAACAATGAAGGTAGAAGCATCAGTTTGCTAGGAGATGTCTCGGACAAAAAAAAAATGGGACGTGAATTACTTACATGGCAGGGTCGATCGTGATATGTGCGTCCTCTGAGATGGAGCCGCCAGAATCTTTGACAGAGTTGAGGACTGACATAGCTATAGCAGCGTCGAACAGATAGGTGACCGAAAAGCCTCTCTCCTTCAGCTGTGCCATGATCTCCCGCGATGTCGCCTCGTCGATTGTCTCACGTACTCGGTGCATCGCACCTGCATTCGTGATTGTAGGCCGACTCGGTTCAAGCGTCAAAGAGGGCTGTATGAAATCACGACATGAGCAAGCAAGGACGGACGAAGAGTATAATGTTGTTATACCACAGCGCTGACCCGCACCCCCATGATCTCTTTCTGCAGCGCCACGCCGCGAGTATCCCAATCGTCCCGCGCCCCACCGGTCGCAGTAAGCGCCCCTACGGGCAAGTTCCGCCACTCCTCTCCCCACTCACCTATCCCCGGGCCCGAAGTAGGATCCACTACATGCTGAAGAATGAAGTCTAACAAGCGCATGATGGGTTTCGCGTCCATGATAAGGTGTGGGCCGTGCATCACTAGTCCCTGGTCGCCATCAACGCCACCGAGCAGCAGGTAGAAGCGGACAAGAGAGTCGATCGTGGTACCGTCGGCTTGCTGGAACTTGTACGGGAGTACCATGTGGTCGGTCTCTATCACCAAGTCGTCCAGCGAGATTGGTTCTGTGCGTACTTCGAGAACATGATCCAGCCAGGCATCGAATCTGACCGAAGGTGCGTTGACACCCGCTTCCTCGAAGGGATAATATCGCCACTCTTTTTTCCAGACGTCATCCAGGTCGTCGATCACAGTAGCTGCGATGATGGGGGCGAAGAACCTTGCAAAGCAAACATCAGCCACGCGCTCTCTTGATAATCATTGTGATACATACCGAGCTTTAATCATTGCAGATCGCACTCTTACTAGCAAAACGTCCTGCTTTAATGACGTCCTAAAACTCACTCCAATGCAGCCGTTTCCGAGCCTGTAAGTAGGCGACTAGTCAAAACCAGTTCAGAACAAATGACATTGCTCGAACCCATCTGCAGACGTCCGCAGAACTTCAGTCACTGTTTCTCCTCCTATTGTTGGCCTTAGACGATTTAATAAGCTCGGGCAGGGATGACTAACGTAGTGCAGCAGCTCACCGGCTCCAGCACGTCCTTCCGTCCACTATCCTCTCCTTCCATTGTGGTTCATCAACAAGCGGGTGCGGCATCAAGGCAGATTTTGTGGGAGAATATTTCGCTCTGTGTTGGAGATCGTGGCACAGATGAGATAGAAGGCCGCGAGATTATAAGGCGCGAGATGTTCTTTATGACGTAATCGCGCTGACATCGTCATATGTTGATACTTTTATTTTGGATAGATTGTAGACGTCTTTTGTGAACAACGTCAACAACATTTGCATCCCACAGGTTCATTCGTGACGCACCAGACATTGCCTCGGCCAATTCGCCATTTTCATCCATGCTCATCCCCGACTTCATGTAGCTGATCATCCCACGGGGTTAAACCTCGCTAACTGCCCTCGGTGCAATATAGATCGCGTTCTCGGAACCGAGCTGACGATTTGGGCAGGCACATATAACCGTGATATGGGATATGGGCGAACAGAGCGATAGAGATTGTACGAAATGAAAGTGAGTTTACGTGACTGTCGACGAAATGCACACGTGTCTCCGCTGACTATATAGTCTAGGTATCAGAGAAAGCTTGGCGATTCTTCAAAATGCCTTCTAAGCAAAGTGTGAATGGCATTTGAAATTAAACTGACAAGATGCACATGAGCCGAAGAAGGAGAAGAAAGTGCATCCGGGGAACCAAATTGAGTTATGGGCTCCTATTTGCACCTCTTTGGTTGTGATGCACCACCATTTTACAACAAGCCGTGAAACTTGACTTCAGAAGAACAAGGAGTCGTTTCAAACGCGTACGAGTTCCACTTCCGTTCGTTTTTCGTATCGTAGAGTGGGTGCATAAATTCGCATTTACGAGTCTGAGGCATGACCTTGCTCGGTCACCGACATTTAGCACCAAGCCTAACGATGGGCCTACTACGACACTCCCGAGATGGTTCTGCGAAGCAAGCCCCAAGCGGCAACATGTGTCCCTACAGTTAATGAATACATGACAGACGTGAGAATTGGAACATGCGCTTGCTTTGACGATGCCATTCATGGCATAACATCTCCGCGTCCATCACGCGTCTTGTACTGCAATAAATGTACACTGTACGGCATCCGCAACACTGGGATGCATTTATACGACAAGAGTCTGCAGTTCCCTTCTCTCTCGTCATCCATCTACCTTGCCAGCTCTCACGATGATGCACTCTGTGAAGGCAGCCTTAATTCACCAAGCACAAAACTACACACTTGGTGCGCTGTCTGCCATTGGAACGAAACGCATATGCAAACTAACGGGATTAACGGCGGTCTACAGTGCTAATGGCATGCTTGACTATATATACCTGGGGTACGTCTGAACCGATATGCTGAGAGATGATTTACTAATGTCAAAGCACTACTAGTGTTGGACTTCGGCAGAGAGGTAAGTATCCTTGGTTTACTCCTTGATCCTCGGCGCTAAAAGGTCTATGCTGGCTCCTAGGTTGATCTGATATGGGTAAGTGTTCACGCCCGGGTTGGAATATACGCGCTCATTCCCCTAAGGCGAGGCATTATTCAAGGTTGTCTAAAATGATGTATGTGGTAGTGAGTCCTCCATCAGTGGGTTAGCGTTCGGACTGTTCTCATTAACATCCTTTTGCAAAGCTTCGGTACGGTGGCATTTCCATCGTTATGTACGTAAACCCTTTCATATTCCTATACACTTATATATGTACTTATACCCGAGCGCCGTCACTTAGCCTAGGTAAAGATGTACTTCAGGAGCCTTGGGATGTGGCAAGTATTTATTGCCCGCTTTTTAGGCATGCCTGTGAATGGTGGATCTCTCCAAGTAAGCCGATATATTCCCATGCGACATTGTTTGTCTCTGATTATTACCTTCACAGCTGTACGCGTTTATTATCATCGTTGTTTCGGTCAAAATCAGGCTTTTTTAGATGTAAATTGGTGATCCGCCCAGTATACATTGCATCGCTAACAAACGTTAGGTTCCGCGCTGGACGCTATCATCCTAGTGGCTCTAAACCCACTCCTGTTCTTCGTCTTGCAAGGTAAGTCACCAGATCACTATGTTATCATCGTCAGACATTGCTAATAGCTCTGAACCAGCGATGATGGGCATGCGCATATACGCCCTCTACGGCAGATCCAAGAGAATGCTGGTCTTCTTGAGCATCTGCTTCGCCGGCGTGCAAAGCGCAAACATTGTATTGACAATGATGGCCATGCTACCACTTGAGGTTGGAGGTGAGGATAGTTTCACGATACAGAGAATTGATCTTACACTGAACGTTTTTTGAGACGATACGTGCCCATTCGCAATGACGTTTCAGCAAGCATGGTATCAAGCCGTCGGATATTTTTGTTTGTTCGCTTATGAGCTAGTGTTATTTGTCTTGTCTATCGTATGTTTTGTTAGACATTTCAACGAGCGCCACCGAGACCTGGATGCGACGATGAGCACGTTCTTGGGCTTGATTGTCCGAGACAACATTCTCTATTTCTTCATGTGAGTGTTCGTTCAATAATCTCTGCAGCAACAGCTTGACTTCGCGTAGAGCTTTCTTCAGCCTATCCCTCAATGCCGCCTCGTTTCTTATAGACGTTAGAGCCCCAAACGTGTGTAACCTTCCTACATCATCCAATACATTTGGTTTCAGTACTCACGTTTACACCTATCAGCTTGGGGCACAATTCTACATGGGATTCGACTCTATCGTCGTAAACGTGCTGACCAGCTTCCAGATGGCTATGCTTGGCCCGCGCATGATGCTCAGCATGCGGGAATATGACGCCGTTCAGGCGAAGGGTGGTCCTTCGCTCGGAATAGAAGTCGAAACTATGCAATTTGCTGCGGCTGCACCGAGACCAGAGTACCACGAAGGATTCTCAACTGGTAGTATAGTAGTATAATCTGCTGTATATAGTCGCGATCGATAGCTATAGGAGCAGGTTCTCCGTGAGATAGCTCGACTTTGTCCTTTGGGACTGTAGTGCGCCTTCAAGCTGGTCGGGGTTGCGTAAAACCTCTAGAGACAGCTTCAGTCGTAGCACACACCATCATACGGCGTGAAAATTTAAACAATATATGGCGTTGAAGGAGATGCTTAGATACGTTAAGGCAGAATACTACGTACCAAAATGGTTTGCGGTGACCCAGTCTGTCCTAGAAACCGCGAGCGAATGTGTCAAGGCTGTCTACAAATGGTAGCTACAATACGAGCAAATGCACTGCGTACTAATTACACCTGTAGAACCTGCCCTAAACACTCGAAACGTGCCTGAGTCAGGGCCGCTGTCCGGAGTTGAAATTGTGAAACCTTCCACTCCGACTGACTCGCAAGGGCTCGCATATGTCGAGAAACGAACAGCAGGTGCAATGCGAGTCGCAGCTGGAACACGCAGGAGCAACGATGTACGCGACTTTGTTCACATCTTGGTTCACATGGCCAAACGCGCCTCTGGAGATCTCTTCGACAGTTCTAGCCTTAGAATCGCAGAATCAGCATGGGTTTTCGTCTCGACCTGACTCCGCGCCCACTGCACCCCGTACCCGTGCTAACTTCAAACGTCAAGTCATATGGTCCTATGTGAAGCAAAACCCGTGCACGGAAATCCTGTGCGTTCATTTCTGCTGCTACGCCTTCCGTTTCTCGCGCGCAGCCGCCGCCCATGAATCGCATAGCCACTAGGTTGGTGCCTGGCGTTTGATAATCTTGTCGAGGAACCATCAATATATTGACCTGCAGCGACTCAAGGTGACGCACAGTTTCACTCCAGATACCCCAGTGAGACCACCGTCGGAGTAAGCTCTAACTGAAAGCTAAGGGACACATGGCAGAGCTCATGGCGTGTAAGGGAAGGTGTTTGTGCTGGGGATGAAATGAGGTAACTTAGCACTGTCATGGTGCGCCCATTATTTCCCAATATGAACTAATCACTTCGTTTGGGGTTTGGTTTCCATATCTCCAATGGCACATGGTGTTTCGCAGTTGACACAGCAATGCAAGTTACTTTCATATAACTGATGTATCCCGGTACGCTCCTCTGATTGCGTCCTCCCTCGTTGCATCGCCTAAAGCATGTCTTACGATAAGGAAGCCGAGATGCTTATCGTCTTTCAGACACAAAATTACATGAACGGTATGTGCAGACCTCATCCGTATGAACTCACGATGACGTTGATGGCGGAATAGTCATAATCGCATGTGTAGCCGCCTACAGTTGGTGTAAGTGCTTTCCTGGCAATGTAGGAGTTAAAAAGACATAATAGCTCTGCCCAGTACTAGACATCGGTCGCGAGGTATTTGAACCGTTTCACGTTCTCTATTTATACGCATTGGCTAAGCCGAGTCCATAGTTCGAACTCATTTGGGTGAGTCACAACGAGCAGTCATGGAACAGGCCGTTAAACCTCTGCACATAGGCCAGACAGAACTCGATTCTATTCAAGGTCTTCTATGCTACAGTACGTACGTCCGACAGCTTATGCCATCTACCTTCTCAGCGCTCGCGTTTATGAAGTTGCGATACGGAGGTCTTGTCATAAGCGCGTACGTGTAAATATCTCGATGGATCGAGGGTGCATGCTGATGTCGCCAACATAGATCAGGCTTGTCCGCTTAACACCTTCCGACTGATCAAAGAGTGACGCTTTCTTTGGACTCTTTAGCTGTTCCTACAACTTACGCAACCCGTAAGGTATGTCTAGGAAGCGTGCAGAACTATTAGTAGAAACTCACCATGACTGGCCGCCTTCGGTGTAGTCACCATCATTCAAATCTACAAGCTACTGAGATTTGTCTCTAGAGTCAATATGTGAGATTCTAACTCAGTGACGCTTGGTGCTATCTGTACCTAACATCTCTGCAGGCTCTGGGCTAATCGTCATGAACAACTTGATCTTGCGTACCGCTGTATTTTTGGTATTGAATGGTATGTCGTCTAAGCCTAATATTGGAGTGTATAGCCATTAACTCACATGTCGAAGTTATGATGAGCATGCGGATATACGCGTTGTACGGCGGGTCCAAATGCGTGCTGTTCCTTCTAGGATCATGCGTTACGACTGTTCAGGCATCCAACATCGTACTAACGTTTATGGCAATGCTTCCGCTTAATGTATCGGGTACGAACATCCGGTTCCGAGTCAATTCCGGTTATTAAAATCCCGTCCCAGTGGTTCGTACACCTACAGAAGGCGCGTGGTGCTCGTATGCCGTATCCAACCGCCAAGCGTGGTATCAGACTACTGCGTTTATCTTATTGGTCGCCTATGATTCGTTGCTGTTAGTCTTATCGGTAGCCAGCTTCATCAGGCGTCTTCAAGAACAACGTCAAGGCCTTGCTGGAATGGTGGATACATTCATGGGATTGATTGTGAGAGATAACGTGCTTTACTTCATCTTGTTAGTAGTCATTCAATTCGCCTTGTGGGCTTAACATTGATAATATGTAGGGCCTTCTCTGGACTCACTCTCAGCGCGTGCTCGTTATTTACTGTGGCAAATGTGAGAAATCCTCCTCTTGGTATCATTTTATTGAGGCGTTGACTAGTGTTCTAGCGAAGTCTCCCGTTCAACATTGGGTTCAACACGATTGCAGCGGACCTTGGCGCCGGACTTCAGCTCACCATCCTAGGTCCTCTCATGATGCTCAGCGTACTTGAGTACGACGCTCTGCGGGAACGTGGAGGAACTTCTTACTACACAGGAACCGCAACTTTAGAGTTCGCTGCGGTATATTCACCAGATGACTGTGAGGATGATCCCTCAAAACTCGCGTAGAAATACCACACAGGACTTGTACGATAACATTATTAACGTGGCATTCCCCGGACTCGGTGCAATTACACTTTCTGTTTCCTGTAAATCTAGCATGCCACTGTAAAGTATAGTTGTATCCTCTGATTTGAACTGAACATTGATCTCGGACGTCGCTGCGTGACCATACTCGTTCCGGACCACTCTGCTTTTCGGTAATTATACAGCCCGCCCGGGAGGTCATTGAGTTGTATCGGAGTCTACTGTCTGACGCCCACAATCTTTCAAAATCCTGAGCATAGTGACTAGCAATAGTCTACTGTATAATCAAGTACAGTCTCAATCACGCACGAAGGGACGAATAATAAGTGGTAGCCGAAACTGTCTCCCCTCTTCAGGATCGCTTGTGATGAGCGGTCGAGTGACGACAACGTTTCGCTTGCTGACCTCGCTCGCTGGAACGGCGAGGTCGAATTCGAAGGCACGCACGAGCGCGAACAGTAGTGATTTCATCCTATGCAGTTATAAGTTAGTGTGAACAGTAGAACAAGTATATGGAGACGAGACATACTCTACTAGGGAAAATCGATATCCGATGCATGCGCGTGGTCCACCGATGAAAGTGAGCATGTTGCCCCAAACTCCCGGGATTTGGTGAGCAGCTTCAGGGGTGGATTCCCAGCGCTCTGGTCTAGTAATTCCGTTTCAGCCTTTGAATCTGATCAGTTACGTATGAAGGGGTGACATACCTGAACTCATGTGCATCCTCTCCCCAGATCTCCTTCGACCGATTCACCGCAAGAATCGGGACCCATATCGAATCGCCCTTCTGAATCCTACCATCGATGTGTGTCAGAATACCCAGATCCACACAGCCAGAGGAACGAAAACGCTCACCGAATTTCATGCCGCTGCACGCCGTACCGGTCCACAACGGGTGTCTCGAGCGGGATAACGTCATCCTTGGTCGCCACGCGGATCGAGTTTGCCACGGGCGCGTGAAGGCGTAGCGTCTCGCGCACGACCATGTCGAGGTACGGCAGTGCGTTCAGTGCGTCCATGCTCGGGTTCTCGGTGTCCATTGTGAGCAGCTCGTCCCGGAGCTTGGTCTGGGCCGCTTTGTTCTGCGTGAGAGCGTACAGGGCCCAGGTCGTTGCGGTGCTGTATCGTTGATTGCGTACATGTTGGGTACGATTATGAATAAGATGAGGAAAAGAAAAACCTGGTCGTCTCGTGCCCCGCAGCGAGGAACGTCGGCACCTGCGCGAGCACGTCCTCGTCATCCATGCGCTGCGAGTCGGGGATATCCGTCGCCGTATTCGCTCGCACGAGGAGTGAGAGCAGGTCTTTCCCCTTGACATTGCTCTTTTCGATCGTCTTCGTATCTGACTCGGCTCGTATTGCCGCCTTGGCATCCCGCAAGAGGTGTCGGCCGATGCGCGTCATCGTCTGCTGGGACTTCTTGATGACACGAGTCTGTGCTGTAGACTAATATATGTTATGTTGGTTGAGAGCAAATAGTCAAGTATGCAAAGGCATACAATAACCCTTAGTGGCGGTATGAAACCCTGAAGTACGGTCAACAAGTTGATATCCTGCGCAGTCTGGACCATGTGGTTAAACGCCTCGCTAAGCTCGTTCGGGCGCTCGTTTACGTTCAGCGCGTCAAAGGAGTAGTTGAACCCTATCAGTCGCAGACGTCAGTTGGCCTACATACCAGTAAGGCCAATTGTTGGTAACGTACCAGCAAGCCCGATAGCGTCGAGCGTCATGCGGCTGAGCCAAACAGTGACGTCAATCCCGTTTGAGCTGGCAATGTTGCGAATCTCGTCCATCAGCGTGTCTCGTAGCTAGCGTTTGTAATCAACGAGAGTTACACATCCGATACAAACAGAAGAACGCACCTTCACAGACTTGGCATTGAAGATGTCTGTGAGTGCGCGTATATGAGCTGGCCCGAAAGCTGGGTTCTGGCTGCGGTGTAAGAAGGGAAGACATTGTAGAACCTGAGTGCGCCCACCATAATACGCCTCTAGTGATTTCATGAAGACAATGGATTAAACGTTGACAGTCAACTTAACACACCTGTTGCCTGTGCTTATCCCCTTCAGAAAACAAAAGTCCCTCTCCAAGGATCCGAGCGAGGCTGAAGCGGATTTGCTCTGGCTTTTGGTAGTCATGGCTGTGAATGAGGATGTGATGGATGGCTCGCGTGTCTATCGTGAAGAGGCGTTGGGTCTGTAAGCATTTATGCGCATATATCAGCTCGATAAAAGTTCCTCAAGATAGATGCCGGGTACGTACACTGAACCAGGCTTTGAACGTGAACGTCTTTCCATACTCTGCTACCCATTTCTGCGGGAGTACGTCGAAGTTATCCTGCAGGAGTTACATAAAGCACGCCAGCCTTAGGTACACGTGTTTCAAAAGCATGTGGAACATGAGATACTTACCTCCCGCAGCAGCTCGCGCAGCTGGCCAAAGATGAAGCTCGGGCTCTTTGGGCCGGGCAGGTTCCTCAGCGGAGAGAGGAATATAAGCTTGAAGACCCTAGTGAACTTCTTGAAACACCATAGAGCAACGAACAGAAGGAAAGTCGTCGCAATGTAGGAGCAGGATATTAACATGACGGGGGGCGTTCAGAGGGGCATGAATGGGGTGGGCGATGATACCATGAGCGACGTCGAGGCTATATGAATCTGTCGGAGAAAAAACCATCGTTTAGACTCAAGGGTGGCCCGAGATGGTCTAGCGCCGGTAGATAGGCATCGGTGCATGTAGCCAATCGATGCCGTCGACGGTGCAGGCGTGATATCAGCCAGAAATATTAATCAGGCTCTTCAACACCGTCTCCGAGATAACCGGCGGGACATATACTGACACAGCCACCTTGCAGGAACACGTTGAACGACCACGAAAGAGTGTGTGTCAAGTTGCCGTGGCTTTATTGGCCGTCATTCTCTCGAGCTCGAGCAGACATCAAAGGCGGACGAACATCAACAACCTGGATGAGCCAACCGTCGATGCGCGATGCGGCCCCTAGATCCCCGCTAGGACCTCGGTTGCTTTCAATCAAACGGGCCGGCTTGACATGATCTGACACCTCTTGCACAGTTCTTATAACATCCTTTGGTCGCGAAAAAAAAAACCAGTTACCGTTGTCCCTTAACCTGCTCAGGCTGCCCATTTCCTTTGACTCTTGATCTTGCTCCTAATATGACTCCGCCACATAAATTCTATCGAACATTATCTTTAAATTGAGGACCCCCAGCCTCTTGAGTAACTTCAAATATGTGCTTCAGGCTGACAACAGCGGATCATGTAAATCATAAAAAAGCTATCCTGGAGGTGCTTGGATACGGACCACGAGAGATAATTTGGGCTCCCTGCACAGCTCGATGAAGGCGAAGTCGAGAGGCTACCAGTCGCATGCTGCTCGAGACGCGTCAGCTGCCGCCACAGGACTTGCGTGTGTAACAAGGCAACATTCGTTTCTCTTCATCTCGGGCAAGCAACGTGTACCCGAGACCAGCCCGAGGTTGAACAGGTCTCGGAGACTGGCGTAGGCCTCCGGCACTGTAAATATGGTGCGATGTTGACATGGTTAGGAGCTATGCGCTCATAGCAAAGGTCGGCCTCGGGCATCTCACGCGTTTATATATGCCATGGCCTCCCAGCGACCGCGCAGTACAAGGCGCAGCAGTCAAGTCACCCCTCTTTTCCATTCCCCCCTCTCACTGGTAGCACGTTCCCCATGATATCGAAGCTCTTGGTGTCAGCCGCACTGGCAATAGCCGGCTATGGCCTTTGGAAACTCTCAGCGTTGGCCTACTACATCCTCTTCTCCCCCCTGAACAAGCTTCGCGGACCAAAGAGCACGAGCTGGGTATGGGGTAACCTGAAGGATATAATTAAAGCGGTGAGCATCTTAAAAGACACATTCGGCGCACGAATCGTTCTCAACTCCCTTGTCTACGCGTGTAGGACAACTCTGTCTTGCATGAGCAATGGGTGGAGGAGCATGGCAAGACTTTAGCGTACAAGACGTGGTTTGGGGTACGTTTACCTCTCCTATCTTTCTTATCAAGAAGGTTGATCACGTCCTTGTACCCACTGTCCTTGTCACGTCTCCCGATGATATGTCCATGCACCCTACAACCAACTCGCCCATAGACCCCTCGGCTCTTCACTACGGACAAGCGCGCACTTAATCATATCCTCACGCATAGCGCAGACTACCAGAAGCCCGAGCAGGTCCGATACAGTCTATCCCGCATTCTTGGAGAAGGTGTTCTGTTCGTCGAAGGTATGTCGTCACGCAGGTTCATTTGGATTCTGCTGAAGGCGTATCTGGCTTCTTTCCAGGTGCTCAACACAAACAGCAAGTAAGTGTGACTCTCATAACGATTTTTCCGCATGCTGATGGACATTGCTGCGCCCTTAGAGGCGAATAATGGTATGCGCATTCTGCAGTAGAGAATGCAGACCCTACTTTGCTCACAGTCAGCGTCATAGAATCCAGCCTTTGGTCCCGGACAGATACGCGCTCTTACCGAGACCTTCAACGTCAAGTCCCTTCAAGTACGTTGTACAGCTACCCTTCATCCTCTCCGACTAATGTAGTGAACGCGGACAGCTACGTGACATTCTCCTGAATGAGGCCGTCAAAGCCGCGAGCAACACTGGAGCGGATGGCAATCCAGCGTCGATTGATATCACCGTTTGGCTCAGCCGTATGACATTGGACGTGATCGGTCTTGCAGGTGTGTCTCATAGATCACGTTCCTCATTTCATCATCATACAAACTTTGCATCCTCAGGCTTCAACTATGACTTCGACGCACTGAATGAGGAGGATCGACCCAGCGAACTCAACACAGCCTTCAACACCATGTTCCAGTCATCGCAGCAAATCACCCTATTGGGCATCCTCCAAGGGTGGCATCCTATCTTCCGGTATATCGTAAGCGGAATTCTTCCCTGGTCGCTACACTCTTGGATGCTTACCTCTCTTTAGCCTTCTGATCAAAGCCGCAAGATCGCCAACGCGCAAAAGACGATGGCTCGCATCGGCCGCAAGCTCCTCAGCGACGCCAAAGCCGTCGTCCGCGCCGACGTCGAGAAGAACCGCATCAGCGCCAGCAACGAAAAGACCAACGCCCAAGACACCGCCGGCATCTCTATCGAGAAATCTTCGCTCAAAGGCCGCGACCTCCTCTCCCTCCTCGTCCGCGCCAACATGGCGACTGACCTGCCCGACGCACAGCGCCTCTCGGACGAGGACGTGCTCGCGCAGGTCCCCACCTTCCTCGTCGCCGGGCACGAGACAACTTCGAACTCAGTTACGTGGGCGCTCTTCGCGCTCACGCAGGACGAGGAGGTGCAGCGCAAGCTGCGTGCGGAGCTGCGGGGGCTGGAGACGGAGAATCCAACGATGGATCAACTGAACGCGCTGCCGTACCTCGATGCGGTGGTCAGGGAGACGCTGCGGGTGCATGCACCGGTGGCGAGCACGATCAGGATCGCGACGCGGGACGATATCATTCCCGTTGAGGAGGGGTACGTGGATCGGAAAGGCGTGAGACACGATACAATCAGGTGCGTGACGGCCATCAATGTCGGGGTTTGCAGTATTCTCAGCTTTGATGCAGAGTTCAGAAGGGCGACTCCATGTTCATCCCCATCCTCGCTATGAACAGGGCCAAGGATATCTGGGGCGAAGATGCCCATGAGTTCAGGTACGCTCTACATCGTTTATCTCCGCTCCGGCGGTGCTGACGAGCTGTACATAAGACCTGAGCGCTGGGAGTCTCCGCCTGAGGCTGCGCAGCAGATCCCAGGTGTCTGGGCAAACCTTATGACCTTCATCGGTGGCCCCCGCGCGTGCATCGGGTACCGCTTTTCCCTTGTAGAGTATGCCCACTTCATATCTCTTCGCGTGCTATTCGGATATTAACATTGGTTTGTGTTTGTAGGATGAAGGCCATTCTATTCGCACTCGTGCGCGCCTTTGAGTTCGACCTCGCCGTTCCGGGAGAAGACATTGGCAAGCGCTCCGTTATCGTCGCGCGCCCCTTCGTTAAGACCGATCCGGGCCCGAATCGGCAGTACCGCTTGCCGCTCATCATTCGGCCTCATGTACCAGAGTAGATCTCGAGGTGGTGCTCTTTATGGCTGTGTCTTCCGTAGCAGGTACAGCTCATCATCATTGTTGTTTATTCATATTGGACTTTATAATCAAATTGGAAGCCGGTCATTGTCTTGAGTTTCGCCTCAACATCATTAGTTTGTCTTCGCAGATTGTGTGCCACTTAGGGTACTACCCTCTCACCGCTTTATAACCCGTTCATTATCGTATGGTCTTCGTGCTCACAAATCCGTGCATTGAGTTTCCTTGTTGCGAGTCCAGCTCATTTCCAAAGTGGATGGCTCTCACCCTTTTCCAGATCATTGATGCTTTGTCGTTTAGAATGAACACTTCACTGCCCGTAGGGCCGTAGCATCGGTTGACGATCAACGAATGCACCGCGTGATAGGGGTAATCCTACTTTGGTAACCTCTGAGGTCCTCCGAGCGGGTTCAACAACTTTGTCCTATTCATTAATCTACATGTAGATGTACACTATTCTCAACACTTGATCCTGAGTTGTCAGGGTTGCTCTCTTATCTCTGGAACACAGTTTTGCTGGTCCCACCTGATGGATGTTCTCGAATTCGACTTCTTGCTCCGAAATCTTGGGGGTGTATCATCGCTTACTACCTTTCTGTTATCGATAGTCATACCTTCTTTGGAGTTACCATCTTTAGTATCGGCCGAGAACTCATTTGACTTTTGCATACTCTGGTCAGCATAATAAGCCCGTTTTGAGTCAGGATGCCTGGTATTGCTGTATGAGCACAACTACTATATAGTCACTCAGACCATTCAGTCATTTGGAACATCAGATCAGATCCTCGCACAAGGCAGTACCTACTCCTTATCTGATGGGGTGTATATAAACGCATCGGCACCGTAATTCGCGAGCTACCTCTATCGTCCTCCCTCCCCCCTCGCAGCCTTTCATACTCACCATCTCTCTATAACTTCACGGAAATGTCTTCATCCAGAGAATTGAAAGCTTTGGAGTCTATACAAATGAATTCATATGCAGAGTGTATGCAGTTATCTCTCCTGTCACTGTTGTCACTGACTATCAACGGTGACGTATCAACGGTGAATCAGTGGCAACAGAGGTTCTCCCGATCTATGTCTACCGTGAGCTTCTCAATCACTGCAAAGATAACCCTGCTTACATTTATTGAAGTTCTCACCTTGGATCAAGAGGTACGTATCTCTACATAGTTAAACAACCAGGCAGGACGAGCTCAGTAACATGTGAGCTAGGTAGAGCTTGTGTGGGTATGTCCATAGTTACTTGCTCTTGGCAATGAGTATCGTGCTAATAAGATCTCAATAAGAACACAAATTCAAGGACTACCAAGATCCTCTTTGGGGTGGTAAGGACTCTGCATTATGGCATGAACCACTTCGAAACTTACCCTTTGTGAAAAAGCTACGCTATGGTGGCCTATTCACTGGAGTGTAAGCTGCAGTTTATCACTTGAGTCTGTTGATGTACCGATTCATTACAGCACTCCTATCCGTAAGCGGCACAATTTATGGTTGAATGGATTCTCATGTTGTGCTTTACCAAGTAACGTCCATCAATACATTTCCGTCTCATACTGTAATTCATTTCTAGCGTTATCTTTGACTTGGGTACTAACTACCTCGGTTTATAGACGTAAGTTTTTGCTTTCTTCATTCGGCATATCTCGAGGTCTTATTCCTGGTAATGTAATAGATGTGCGTGTTTCTTTTTCATCAAATCGGTGGAATAACCCAGGGAGAAATCCTGGTATCTAAATTCTTTTCTGTTCTTTTCAGGCTCTGCATTCATTGTTTTGAACGAAATTGTGGTTAGTGTCATGATAACATTTGCACTTAACGGTACGTGTTTTATACCATCATTTGTTGGACCGAAGAACCACTAATGGAACTGTGTTTTTTTCCCTAGCATTGATGTCAATACGGGTGTTAGCGATGTACGAAAGGACGAGAAAAGTTCTTATACTTCTGTCTGTTTGCTTTGCCATGGTACAAGCGGTCAACATCATAGCATCATTATATCTTGCTGCCGACATGTCTATAATTGGTGACGTGGTCTACGTGTCCCTAATCCGCTACTTTACTGACAAAACTTTTAGATGAAGGAGGATGCTCGTTTAATTTTGGGATTGTGTCTGAAGTTCTCACCAGTGTCTCCGCATTTGCCGCTAGTGCATTTGAAGTTCTTCTGTTTGTTATGGCAGTTTTCCGCTTCATTAGAGATATTAAGGAGGGATATAAGGAGAGATTGGGAAATTTTGACACGCTTGCGAGCGTTTTGTTCAGGGACAATGCAATCTACTTCGTCGCGTAAGTCAAACATTAACTCTGCCGAGGAGATAACGTCATTGAAATGTTTGTAACACACAGGTCTTTCCTAACGTTCTCGTTCAGCGCCATATCATATATCGCAGTGGATACCCCTGCAGTGGTATGTTTGTCTTTTCTAACGAGTTGAAGTACACCCACTGAGAATCCAGCTTTAGGTTGACACTTGGGCGTGGTTTATAGCAGATTTCATTGGCGCGCTCCTTGGGACCATTCAAGTGACTATACTGGGACCTTTGATGATAATCAGCATTCGCCAGTACAACACTGATAAAAATGGTAGTCGTGGTCGCGGTACGGCCAATGCAGACGAAACGCTGCAGTTTGCTGCTGCTCCGTCGCACCATGCGGAGACCACCCAAGAGGCATGAATACTTGGCATGAACGTGAGGGAAGTAGAATTCTTCATCCAGTTTCATGGCGTTGTTAGAATATACATAACAGCTCAAACATTGGTTAAGACCTCTGGAACATCTCTCGATATCGAGAACGTGGCAACCTCCAGTATCATTATATTCTTATCACCAAAAGACACCCCTTCCCCTTGATTTACATCGTATTCATGAATTTTCAGTATCATGTTGTGACCAAACATTGTAAGCTGGACGCTAGTTCCCAGGTCAACTGCGGCGGTGTTGAAACCGATATTTAACATTAAGAATGTCTGTAGGACATATTGTATTGATGTCAAAGTGGTCATTTGTAAAAAAAAATGTAGAAATATACAGGTCATGCACATTATGATTAGCGAGAAAGAAAAAAAAAACCAAGAAAAAAACTTGAAAATTCCCTTGTGTACGTGCGCAAGTTAACATCAAACCTTGCGGTTACTAAGTAGACGTCATAAAAAACTCACACGAAGGAATAAATCACATTACCTCGGATGGCAATGCATCAGTGTCCATCATTGTTTGCATGCTCAAGCATTGCTCCTTCAAGGGTTTGAAGAGAGGAGTGATCGACACAACGAAGAACACGAACTTGTAGACTGTAAAATAGATGAATGCTGCGACTCCATACCGGGCTTGCCTAGGCAAGACTTCGTATATGCACCAGATCTTTTCTGGGGGGGGGTATATAACGAGGACTATCAAGTACCCATGCAGTTAGCTGATGCTGCAAGCGAAAATTAAACGAAAATGCGCACCCGCTTTTCGGAGAGGACTCGATGCCATAAACGTGAATACTGCATTTTTAATCTGGTCAATTACAACGAAAGCTCCAAAGAATAGACGCATTCGTCCCGGCGATCAATCGTAAAGGCATATTCTGAAATACATTGTTGCTAGCAAATACCTATCGAGATCAATTAAAATTATAAATGCCATCGTCTTCCACGTGCCTTTAATAACAAAGAATATTAACACCAGCAATCATGCTTCAAAGATGCATCGATATCAGGATCTGACTTGTGCATACTAAGAAACATTCAAGAGACTTAATATCCTGTAGAAAGCTTTGATAGCTTTGATGGTCAGCCTTAATTGAACAACACATACCCTTATTAATTCAGAAAAGAGCTCGCCACATAAACAATTGCCTGCTTTACCTTAGTTTCCGGGGATGTGGGGAGCATGGAAAACAACAATCGCCTCCCGGTCAATATTAATGTCTAACGTTGTGATGATGTGAAATCCGATCTCCGAGGGCTGATAAATGCATTCATACTCCAACGATAGACCGTATGCAGGTCTAAGTTGAAGGAAATCATGCAGCACTAGTACTGCAAGGGAATATCTATCATAACGTAAGTTATAAAATAAAATATTCAAGCGAAGTATTCATCACTCATGTAGTTTTGCGCCCCGAAGGAAATGTATCCCTCGACCGCGACGGAGTGTGCCACGTCTGAGCAGAGAGGAAGGAGGAAGAGAAGAAACTAGGTTACCTGTAGTATTGCACAATCCCGCCTATAAGACTCAGAGAACATGCTGTGCATGTTCAGCGCTCAGTCCTGCCATACGACTGGTGGAAGTTTTGGCATCCGGAAATTTTCACTGATGGTGGATGTGAATCAGTTTTTGAATGAATAATTGACATATTCTCTGGCCTTATGACACCGGCTTCAGTGCATGTACAGCTTGTAAACCCCTTCAGCATCAAAGAGCTAGTCCCTGGAAGGCAGGCGAATATTTGAATATCGGTTGGTTAGCACCGCGTTTCCGGGACCTAGGCGAAAGGCTCTATCAAACACTGACTATGCTGGTCTCATCGTTCCCATACAGTGTTAGAACTATGATATGTCAGACCTCACTCGGTGTGGTGCATAACGAGTGAGGGCAAAGTGAGGGAAGAGAGACGGGGAATGCTGGTTCGAGTATACCTCACCAGCAATCCATGCCAGACGCTTCGGTCAGTGCTTCTGTCGGCAGCATTAACCGTAACGCGGTGGACGCAGAAATATGGAGAAACAAACAGTCCGATCGCGCGCGAGTCCGGCGAGTCTGCACGCGGTTGTGGGGTCTTCCAAGAAACCAACCGCTTACGACCGCCGCGCGTCGCGGCTTAACACGCCCCTAGTGTGGCTACTCTTAGCAATTATCTCTATTATACCAGCAAGCAACCGTTTCTGCCCTCGCGGCCGAGAACAACACCGCCAAACTTGAGCAGATTTACAATGAGGTTGTCAACTACCTCCAGGCTGCCAGCGTTCCCCTGCATTGACGCTGTGCCCCGCCCCCACAGGCAATGGATTCTCATCCTCGGCCCTACGCCACCCGGGCAGCAGGCCGCCATCACGCTCTCGCCCACGCGCGGCCTCAGATGAATGAGATTTGTGTTCCTCTGAGGCCCACCGAAACATAAAAACTATGTGTGAGTTGGTGTTTGCCATGACATGAAGAGAACATGGTCAGTGGGTTTCTTGCTAATTTTGTTGAACACATCCAAAGGGCTCGGCCAATGTCTGCGCACTGCCTGATCTGGCCTCCATTGCTTAAGTAGCCCTTTCTCGTCACATATGATGATCTTGTCGAGTACTCCACCTCACCGGCAATGCTGCAACCTCAATATTTCAATGTAGGTGTACAGTATATATGCATGGGTCGAGGGCTATCTCACCCTCTTTTTAAATTGTGGATTATGAGAAACCAAGCACCAGCTCTCGATGCTCTTCGCATGTCCCAGGTGATATGAAATAAGGTAAAATAAAACCACAACTATGAGTGCAGACTCATCGGTTAGAGTCAGCAAAAGGGTATACATTTTTACTTAAGAGCATGCGTGCTGTAGATGTAGTAAAACGCTGCAGGGTACAGACACAGACTCAGAGCTCAGTGGGACCCCGAGTCCGCGCGCGACCCAGGCACCGGACGCCGGACCAACTCAGTCGCCGGACTTATGCATTTCTCCATAGTCCTCGGTGGACGCGAGCTATCGCTTCCTAACATACAGCATCAAACCCACAGTTGGATTGAATTAACTTACAGCAAAGCGTTGCGAAGAATTCGTACTGCATTTGGTGCAGTAAGTGCACATACAAGACGCTTCCTGTATTCCAGCGCTAGCCTCGCCGAAGGAATCGTGGGAGTATACTGATGTCGTGCATATCGCTTACGCTAATTTATGGGTAAGGAAAATTTTGCTGTTCTTTTCCTAAACCTCAGAAATGTACAACGGTGCGGATAGTCTGGCAAACTCTAAAGTCATCATCTCAAATTCGACCGATGTACCTCCCTTCTCCTGAACGACGTCATACTCTCGAATGCTCAGCATCATCAAGGGTCCGAGAATCGTGAGTTGAACGCCGGTTGCCAGATCAACCGCCACCGTATTGAACGCGATATCGAATGTTAATGTTGGCTGTTTGTATTTATTTCATGAGATCATAAGACAAGGCTCGATGGATGCACGCACGCACGTAGTGACTGGTAAAGAGAAACGAACATGTACTTAGGAACAAACCAGAAAATGCACTGTGGTTAGACCTTGAGTCAGAGCAGTCGAGCAATAGCGGCTGAAGTAAATGTAGAACGCACATGAAGAAGTAGATCACGTTATCTCGGATGACGATACCTATAAAGGTGCCAAGGACTGCCCTTAGGTTCCGGCGTTGCTCCCGTAGATGTCGTACAAGGCAAACAAGAGACATGATAAACAGGGTAAACTCGTAGATGACGAGACCGAAGTATGCTATGGCCTGATACCAGGCTTGCCGCTTTGAAACGCTGTATGCGCACCATATACCTTGTGGTGGCGTCTCAACAGCTATCACTGTGTGTTTGTAGGTTTAAATCGCCAGCATCCTATATATGGATAGATCGCACCTGCTTCCTTAAGTGGCAGTAGAGCCATGAAGGTAAGGACTATGTTCGTTGCCTGAACCGCCGTGAAGAGTGCACCAACGAAGAGGAGCACCCGCGTGGACCTCTCATACAAAGCGTAGATACGCATACCCATCATTGCTTAGTGAATATTGTTTAGCAGTGGAGGTGCATGTGTCAGATGCAGAGCCTACCATTTAGGACCAGGAATATTGCCGTGTGTAGTAGAAAGTAATCCAGTACAACTATCACGGAACCTAGTCAACAGTTAATGATTGCACGCGACGGATAAGCAAACTTCTCACATCTAAGAGAGATTAGAACGGGATCGCGTTACCAATAGCCGATCCTCACGACTTGGGAAACGTGTGTAAGTAGGCATTCAAAAGGAACACTTCAAACGAAGCTCACTTTGACAGATCCAGTGTCCGTAGGAATACCTTCCAAAGCGATTTATCATCTCATGTTGATTATAGTAGATGGGCAAGAACGCACCTGTACTATCATTGGGAGCATGTGTTAGCAGTGTTTCCGAATTTCTGACGCAGAGGCAAACATACATGCTCAGGATAAGACCGCCATATCGTAGCTTTGTGAAGTAGTCGTTGTCAAAGGTATGTACTTTAAAGGATTGCACTGAACTCACTATCCCATATAATAATTTCGACAAGTTCGACTGCCGTCTGGACTTCATACACGGCCTCACGCGTCATGGAGGGGCTCTCTCCACAGAAGCCAACTCACCCAGATAAGTACCACCTGTCGTTGATATGTGAGTATGGAAACAAAGAACATGGGCGTAGTCAATACTCGCCTCACGGTCAAGATCTAGTACTATCACAGCACAGGAACAGAGTGACAGTCAGCTAGTACTCATCGTACAAGGGTGAGACGAAACTCACTCCAACTATAGGCTGTCAAGCAAGCGAGTAGAACTGCGAGAGACAGGTTGTCAACATGTATCTCACGCGCCATCCGAGTAAATGGCCAACCGTTCATGTAATTTTGGGTTCTGAAGTCGATGTATCCTTCCACAGTCACAGAGTATCCCATAGCAGATGAGCAGGTGTGAGGAGGCCAAATGTGCGAAACGAGGAACGCTCGCCGGCCCCTATGGTATCATCCTACTTATAAGCACCGTTGTACTTGTATGCTGTGTTGACGCCGTTCTAGGGGAATGATGAGATTTCCTGCGTGCTGAAACAAAAGTTACATCACAAATCTGCGATCTATGCGTGTTTCCTTATCGCGCGAACCGGCATGTAAATAAGCTTTCCTTCCGTCACAGCATCAAGGAACAGTTGCCCTCGAAAAGTAGGTCGGCGATGATGCTATGCCGTTGGCGTAATATGAGCGAGCGCTTTATGCACGAACCATATGCATACTCTGCCAAGGAGTGATTCTTACCCCTGTATTGACCTTCGAACGTGGTTGTGTTCAGCTGGATAGGCCATGATGGTGTTCGTGAACGAATGGCCGTGAATTCGGCATCATCGAAACAGTGCCGGGTGTAAAATCGTGAGAATAAATTGCCATGTACATTCTGTTCTCCTGTCAGCGAATGTCGAACGTTCGTCACTTTGTCGACGCCGTTCACGATGACGAGCCCAGCAGATATCGAGGCCGCCAACTCCCATCCATCCAACATCATATTTGCCTACGACAAAGAGGACGACCACGAAGCCCACCCTCGTCTTTCCGACTCTGAGCACGACGCGCTCCTTCCGACGTCCGACTCGGCCCCAGGTCTGTCCCAGAAGCTCGGTCTTCAAAGCACAGCTGGCCCTCGCTTCACTCTCGTTCATCTCCTTTCCGCCTTTGCTGGTGGTATCGCTATATGCGCCACAGCACAACTATCAATATGGGGGACTGGGTGTTACACCTCTTATCGTTCCGCATACGGCAACGGACGGACTGGTGTTGACGTCCTCGCAGCACCTGAAGCTGGCTCGACTGAGGTGCACCATTTCCCTCCACCATCCCCCACGAATGCATCTCCGGAGTGGTTCCCAACCGAGTATGTTGGTCCCCACTTCCTTGGAACACTGTTTCTCACCCTATCTACAGTGTCGGTTACGCAGGCGGCACGCCTACCGGCGCCGAGCCAGGTCTCATCGCAACTGCGCCTTCATACCCCCTCCACACTGCGGCAGCACAGCTTGTCGCTCCCGCCGAGTACCCCAAATCCAAGTCTAAGCCCAATGACGACGACAAGGACGAGGATGATGACGGTGACAAAGACGAAGACAATGAAGAGGAGAAGCGCAAACACAAGCATAAGGGCAAAGAGGAGTTCAACCTGTTCCGCAAGTGGGGCAACCTGTCACCTTGGTACAGTGTACCTCAAGGCACCTACGGCATCGACGCGTCGCCGGATGCGCCGGAGGGATGCTCCATCACCGGTCTGCACCTGCTCCATCGTCATGGTGCTCGATACCCTACCGCATGGAGTAGGTCTTTGCCTTATAATGAACTCCGCATATAGATGTATGAATGCTGACGTGCACTGCTCATAGGTGACTACGGTGGACCTGCCAAGCTCGCGACCAAACTGCACGGCGCAGCTGCACAGTGGGAAGGAACGGGGAAGCTCAGCTTCCTCAACGACTGGTGAGTTCACTTGAACCCTAGTGAAATTGAAGTATCAGTGCTTATGAAACACCATCCTAGGACGTATAAGCTTGGTGAAGAAAGTACGTATTCGTGGTTTCGTTAGCTTCAACGCGCTAATTAGTTCCCTCTATGATGCGGCGGAACAGTCCTCACGCCGTTTGGCCGCCAGCAGCTATGTGAGTAAACCAATCGCGCCGCCTCGAGTTAGCTAACATTGTACGCTAGTCGACCTCGGTTTGTCGATGCGCATGAAGTACGGGTATCTCCTCAAGGTGGGTTATCTTATTCTTCAATGGATCTGAAGCTCACGTTGTATTCAGAACTTCACTGAATCCAACACTATCCCTGTGTTCCGGACTGAGTCCCAGTACATAATTCATTTCTGCCTATGCAAATGTAGAGCTCATATTGTATCGTCACTTTACCAGGGACCGTATGCTCGCCTCTGCCCAGAACTTCGCTCTTGGCTTCTTCGGGTATCCATTTGACGGCCAGTATGAACAGCTTATTACCATTGAGGCGGATGGGGTAGGTCACATATTGCCGTGCCCCGTGAACATCTACTCATGAGTCCATTAGTTTAACAACACCTTCGCGCCTTACAAGACGTATGTGCACGACTCTGTCCGTCAACACCATTATTTACGTGTTTTCACAGCTGCCCGAACGCTAAGGCCTCCGGCAAAGGGAATCGCTCTCTCGACTATATCCGTCGCTGGACCGCAACATATCTCTCGGACGCCTATACGCGCATTCAGAAGCAACTGAGTGGGCTTGAGCTCTCCGTCGAGGACGTGTACACCATGCAGCAGATGTGCGCTTACGAGGTGCGTAGCCACCATATGTGAGTAAGCGCCCAACCTGGACACGTTCGTGATAGACGGTCGCTATTGGATACTCCAAATTCTGCGAGCTCTTCACAGAGGACGAATGGGAGGGCTTCAACTATGCGTACGTGCTAGCCTTCTCCCGTTATACGGTAGTTTACTGAGGGTAACTCGGTCATCAGACTGGACATTTCCTTCTGGTACGACTCCGCCTTTGGCTCGCCTGTCGCGAAGGTGCAGGGCATAGGCTACGTCCAGGAACTTGTCTCGCGCCTCACGAAGACGCCCATTGAGACGCATAACTCGAGCACAAATGCGACGCTCCATCGTCCTGAGACGTTCCCGCTTGGTAGCAGCTTGTATGTCGACGCGACGCACGAAGTTGTTGTGCTCAACAGTACGTGTCCCTCCATCATGATTCGTGGTACATCGTTGGTGACGGAATGTCTCGGTATAGTTATTGCTGCGTTGAACCTGACGACGCTCGCGGCCGGTGGGCCTCTGCCTGCGGACCACATACCGAAGAAGCGGCCCTTCCGCGTTGCCGAGCTTGCACCTTTTGCAACCAATATGCAATTCCAACGTAAGTTACTCTGACAACATTTCTCGCCTTTCCTGACGCATGCTGTCTACTAGTGCTCTCCTGCGCCTCCCATCCCGACCCCCAAATCCGTATAGCCATCAACGACGGTGTCGTCCCACTCACAGGCGTCTACGGCTGTCCCGAGGACAAGCTGGGCATGTGCCCCGTCGACGTGTTCGCTGAAGGTCAGCGCCGAACCATCAGCGAGACAGACTGGGACTGGGCATGCCACGGCAACTGGGAGGTGCCGGCGGGTGAAGCGTGGGAGACTGTTACGGGTGCGGCGCCGGGGAGGGAGTATGAGAAGAGTGAGTGAGGAAAAGAGGAACGAGGAAGATAGGTGGCATAGATGAAAGGTGAATGGTGAGCGGTAGAGGGAAGCGTATAGTATTTGCGTTGTTTCTAATGTTTTGGTTCTATCAATGCTGATAAAGTCTTATCACCGTTATAAAAGCAGGTGCTGTAGACTGGGAGGGTTACATTGGCTCGCACAGGTAGGTCATCCTACAGAGCTAGTTCGCGAGATAAGGCCCAACATTCGCAAGGATCCCCCTCAACATCGCACGGGATCTTGCGCCTACAGTTTCTCTGGTGGTCTTGTGATGTAGATATGTTGAGGAGCCACATGCTCTCATGCTGTTATCGCGCTCGTTGCTCGTGTGAGCGCTATTCATGGGCCCCGGCATGCCGTTGGACCTATCAGAGCCTATCAGTGCTCTGTCTTCCTCGCGCTCGGTCGGAAAACTCCAGCCATCCCGTTCGCTTATCTTTGTCTATTTTGTAAGCGGACTAACATTAGCAGGGCCTGAGGACATCTGAGCGAGCTCTGGGAATACCTACAATCCTTCGATTGTGGTATATGTACCGTATCTCGTATCTAACCGTGCAGGTTCGATAAGCCCTCCGCGTCGACCGCAATCTATCAAACCACAGATGGTTGCCTTACTGCGACCTGCGCTTCGGTGGATCCAGAACGCGTTCTTGCTCCACCTCTTCTTGGCGTTCGCTGCGAGCATTTGCGGGAATGCGGCGGTGTCGACGCCGCTGCCCGACCTGTACGAAGCGTCGCTGACGGAGCTCCAGGCCGGTCTGACAGCCGGGCAATTCACGAGCGTTGACTTGATCAAGGTGCGTATTATCCGCTGTTTCAGATTCTCTAGATCTGGCGTGCTGATTTCTGCTTCCTTCTTCGCACTTCGGTCTGATGGCCGGTATTTGTCTTTGACCACATCAGGCCTACTTCGCGCGGATCGAAGAGGTGAACCTCCAAGGACCCGAGCTGCGCGCTGTGATCGAAATGAACCCGTCCGCACTCGCTGAGGCTGCAGTGCTTGACCAGGAGCGCCTTACGTACGGTCCGCGAAGCGCGCTGCATGGCATCCCGGTGCTCGTCAAGGACAATATTGCTACTGTTGCGTTTGAAGGTCAGCTTATATGCGTCACGGTGTCATGACGTCTTTGAAATCACTAACTTTCGGCAACCTGCGAAACAGGTATGAACACTACCGCTGGGTCGTACGGACTTCTGGGTTCGGTCGTGCCCATGGACTCTGGGGTCGTAAAACGGCTTCGAAAGGCAGGAGCAATCATCCTTGGCTCGTATTCATGCTGCTTCTCCTCTACCATTGGCTCATCTTGATTATCCGCGTAGGAAAGGCAAATTTGTCTGAGTGGGCAGAGTTTAGAGGCGACCTCGCGTCGGGGTGGTCGGGACGTGGGGGACAGACTACAAACGCGTATTACCCTAATGGGGACCCGTGCGGGTCATCCTCTGGCTCAGCGGTCGGGGCGTCTATTGGCCTGACGGCTGTTTCTCTCGGGTGAGTCGGGCGCCGTTGAGGTCTGGAAAACTCCTAAAGTATAGTCTTGACCTTAGAACTGAGACGGATGGAAGCATCACTTGCCCTGCGAACCAAAACAACATTGTCGGTGTAAAGACTACGGTCGGTTTGACATCACGCGCTGGAGGTATACCCATCTCATATTGCTAGGTAAAACATCCTCACAACACTACCTTGCAGTGATTCCAATCTCGGAACATCAGGACACAGTCGGCCCGCTGGCGCGCTCAGTGACCGACGCTGCGATTGTGCTCTCCATTATTGCTGGCCCGGACCCGAATGATAACTTCACGCTCGCGCAGCCAACGCCGGTGCCTGACTACGTCTCCGCCCTCTCGAATACTTCGCTCATCGGGAAGCGTATCGGCGTCCCGCGCGCCGTGTTCATGAATAACAGCGTCACAGGAAACGATCCCTACGTGAACGAGGTCTTTGAGCAGGCGGTCGCGACGCTTCAGGAGCTCGGAGCGACGATCGTTGACCCAGCGGATTTGCCTTCGGCATATGATATTTTGGCCTCTAACAACGAAACTGTAGTGATGAACACTGATTTCAAGGTAGGTCGAACGATGGTGGTGTTTGATGGTACTCATCTAGGCACGTCAATAGATCCAAGTCAACGCATGGTTCTCGAGTTTGCTATCGAATCCCACTGGAGTCCAGTCTTTGGAAGACCTCATCATGTTTGATAGCAACAACCCATCTCTGGAGGAGCCCACGAACTACACAAGCCAATCCGAGTACGTGTTGAAGATGTGATATAGAGATATGGTCGAGCTAAACATCTCCACAGATTCATTGCGGCTCAAGCCACGACAGGTTTCAACGCGACATATTATCAGGCCCTGGAGTTCGATCATCAGATGGGACGCGAACAAGGAATAGACGCTGCACTGGAAATGTACTCGCTCGATGCGCTTATTCTCCCAGCGCCAGGATACACCCCTACCCCTGCCGGTATGTTCTGATACTCCGTGGTGTGGTGTCATAACTGACTGAAGTATTCCTATTACCAGCACTTGCCGGGTATCCAATTGTAACAGGTACGAGTCTCTGTTTTCCAAGTACTTAATGCCCAAATATCTGATCGACTTTCAGTCCCACTCGGTTTCTATCCCGACAACGTCACCATCGGAAGCGCTGGCCCAGTCACATACTACCCTGCACCTGGGATACCGATAGGTCTCTCGTTCTTGGGCACAGCTTGGAGCGAGTACGATTTGATCAGCTATGCGTACGCGTACGAACAAAAGACTCAGACGAGGTTGCAGCGGATGGCATATCCTGCTGCTATCCCTACTACGCAGCTCTCGGACATCATCGGCGCCTAAAGTTCTGTTATTTCTCCGAAGAGAATCTGATCTGTGTTCGTAGGCGTCTTTAATCTTATCGTATCGCAGCTTGTTATCGTTAAAGTGAAGAGGCCCCGCTTTCAAATGTCGGTGTTATTTATCTGTGTTTGAATTGTGCCTGAGCTCGAGTTGTCTTACCCCTGTTGTGGCTATTATAGCAGCCTTGCCTCGTGATATTTACTCCGTATGAACTCGATCTGAGGTCTGAGAGTTTGTCTACACAACGACACATGGGAAGCACGCGTTTGTTATCAATGTGGGACTCGTTCCCGACTTGTCCCCGTTATCAGCACGACAATGGTAATGGCCATATCATGTTGGCCTCTCCTTCCTCGATCTAGTCAGCCATGACCCCTCTGCTTCGCTGGGTCCGTGCAGCCCTACTGCTCCACCTTCTGTCAGGGGTATTCAGCGCCCCTAGCTTTGCCGTTCTCGGGGCTTATGTACCGTCAACCGTTGCGCTCCCGGACTTGTACGAGGCTTCGCTGTCAGACCTGCAGGCGGGGCTCACTGCAGGTCAATTCTCCAGCGTTGAACTCGTAAAGGTAAGAATATGACCTTGACCTTGACTGGTCGTCCTCGCTGTCTAATTGTACAATCTTCGTCCATTTGGTGCCTATAAAACGGTCTGGTAATGGGGGCCGTCTTGATTTGATTGTTGGTATATCATGCAGGCGTACTTTGCCCGTATCGAAGAAGTCAATCTCAATGGTCCCGAATTGCGTGCAATTATCGAGACAAACCCATCCGCACTCGCACAAGCAGCTGTGTTAGATCGTGAGCGGAAGACAGTTGGCCCTCGCGGGCCTCTGCACGGCATACCGATTCTTGTCAAAGACAACGTCGCTACCGTGGCGGATGAGGGTGAGCTTTCGACGCGGTTTACTCTCTTTGGCATGTTAATTGATCATCGATCGCGCTCATATGCAGGCATGAACACGACTGCTGGGTCATGGGCGCTGTATAAATCCGTCGTGCCTGACGATGCCGGTGTAGTGAAGCGCCTTCGCAAGGCGGGGGCCATCATACTTGGTGAGTACTTCGATACAATTGATGTGAGTACATGAGTTGAATGTACTTTACTGACAGGTAAAGCAAACCTTTCTGAGTGGTCCCACGCTCGCGGAGACATCGCCTCAGGTTGGTCTGGTCGGGGAGGGCAGTCCTCGAGTGCCTACTATCCAGGCGGAGATCCATGTGGCTCATCGGGAGGCTCTGCAATTTCAACTTCAATTGGGCTTGCACCGGTGGCCCTCGGGTGAGGCTTCTACATACCTTTGTTTTATCTTGCAAGGATGACACAAACTCTCCCTCTGTAGCACGGAAACCGACGGAAGTATTACCTGCCCAGCGAGCTATAACAATCTTGTCGGAGTCAAGCCCACTGTTGGCCTCACTTCGCGCGCAGGAGGTAACACTGTAAACCCGGACATACCTGAATATCATGAGCACAAATCGTGTGCAAAATCTGCGATTATCATTCATTATGTATATAGTATCAATGGGATTCTGTCATGACAATCAGGTCCTTGCCCGAAAATGAATCATGTACATTTTTGTACGATTCCATTGTCCGAATCACCTTACATGTACCTGATTTTTTTTGGCAGAAAGGCAAGAACACAGCATAAATATTAGTTTTCATTGAAAACAAGGCAGTTATCACACATCGGGAACATGCAAAAATCAGGACAAATGCAATTCTATTAATGAGCTACATAATGATATAAATAGCTACTGGATCTCCGCCACTGCACCCGATCGGACAATCTTGGCCGCTTTCCTCGGCGGCGCCGGGGTGCCCTCATCGTCGTCGTCGGAAGAATCAGTATAAAAAAGATCACGATGCTTACGGACACGTTTATTCTTGGGCGCGGAACCGACACCATCAACACTTCGTCCCAGAGATCGTTGGAGTGGGCTGGGTGATTGGTCGTGTAAGTGCCAGCAAATACGTTAATGTCCTTAAACGACGTACCATATATCTCAGTGTCGAGCGACAACAAATCCCTATCGCAACTTCTACAACGCCGGCACCACAACCCTCAGCTTCGGTCTGTCTCCTCAAGCTGTTCAATGTGCACAGGAGCACCGTGTCGGCATTATTGCACCCGCTCGCGTTCGCAGAGTCGACATAGATCTCGAAGGCCCTTCTTCGAAGTAGCACCGGCGCGCTGCGCAACATCCGAAACGTCGTTGTTGATGTTCGCGTGGCCGTGGCTGCGACCGAGCGTGCGGTTTTCCTTGCCGCATCCGCTGGCAGTGCTAGTGCCAGCGTCTATGCCGATGGCGAGCTTGGACTTGGATGCACGCTTCGGCACGAGCTTCTTCCGCGCACCGCCTTCCTTCGGCGCGAGGACGGAAATAGCGGGCGGTGGGGGCAGTTCAGCCCATGGCGAGGCCTCAGGCAGCGCTCGTGTTCTGAGAAGTGTTGGCAGTGGTGAAGGAGGTGCTGGGTTCCGAGGACGTGGCAGCTACGAGGCGGATGTGGGAACAGCAGGGTTAAGGGGTGGGGCGTTGTGCAAGAAAGGGGGGGCGAGCGGCGGCAGCGGGGAGATGGGGAGCCCGAGCTGTGCTCCAAGTGGCTGCAGGGAGGCGAGGAGCAGGCGCACCGTCCGGATGGGCCGCCCACGCGCTGGAAGAGAAAATAGCATAGATGCGCGAATGAGAAGGTAAAAGGATTTACTTACATGTTACCACACATCCCGACACTGATACACTGGTGAGGGAGACGTCGGCCTGAGGAAGAACGCACGAGCAGAGCGTGAGCGTAGAGGCGGCAGGGTGCGTGGATTCGGAGGGATGAAGGGGCCGAAATGAGACAACTTGAGCTTGCGCTTGGAGCGCAAGATGGCGAAGGGACGGCAGCTAGGGCAATGAGGGTGCAGCTGGGGTGAAGAGAGCATAGCTGAGGGGACGGGATAAGCGTTGGTCGAGGCATGAGGCATGAGGGTTGCTGTGGTCGACACAGTGCAGGATGGACGTTGAGACCATGGCGCGCGTTGAGAATGTTGAACGTTGAGAGCCGCTCGCTGCGGAGTTACAAACTTCTGCCCGAATATAGCAAGTGTTCACACGCGTCGACACAAGTCTCACTGGATCATAGCTTAGGAGGGGAAGCTCTACTAGTCTTGCTACTAGTGTTAATGAACACTGAAATTCATAGTGTAATACAATGGTTTCAGCTGAAATATTTATATGTGTCTATAATCAGCATGTGTGGGTGATAATGATTTTGTGGTTTCAGGTAGCTGTACATGATTTTGTATACCAGGTACATGTACATGACTCCAGAACCATGTCAAGAGCACATGATTAAACAAAATCAGACGCCGTGTACCTTGTGCATACCTGAGAATCAGGTACATATGGTTTTGCAGTGGACTCATACATCGAGATCGCTCTCGAGCAGGCTCTGGAGACGCTGAGAGAGCTGGGTGCGACAGTCGTCGACCCAGCGGATATACCTTCAGCGCGGGAGATGATTGAGGCGGGGACTGAGGCAGTAGTGACCAGGGCAGATCTCAAGGTGCGTCTCATCTTCGGTTTAGTCAATGCGAGCAAAAATCTGACTTGCTCTGATGACCGATCACTGCTGTATTGTCCGCTTTCCAGGTGCAACTCAATGAGTGGTTTGACAGTCTGATATCGAACCCCTCTGGCGTATCCTCTGTTGCAGACCTCATCAAGTTCAACAAGGAAAATCCGTCTCTCGAGTCTCCAGAGGGATACGCAGACCAATCTATGTGCGTTGCCAGTAATATTTGTGACATATTTAAGCCAACCAACTTGATTATGTCGTATTCATTTTTAGCCTGACTGCCGCTCAGAAAACCGAGGGATTGAACTCGACATACTACGAAGCTCTTGCACGAAACCATGAGATGGGTCGCGAGCGGGGTATTGATGCCGCCCTGAAACAGTACGCGTTGGATGCGCTCGTGCTCCCCGCCAAGGGGTTCGACTATGTCACGAAGCCATCAGGTAAGCACGCATCCAACCCTTTAGTCCCAAAATACCCAAAGCTACTTAACCTGTCGTTTATAGCAATCGCGGGTTACCCGATTGTCACTGGTATGTTAACCAATCCCAAATGCATGTGTCCCAGCTACTGAGGCAAACTTCTACGTCAGTCCCCTTGGGATTTTATCCCGACAACACTACTATTGTCAGCGCCGGCCCGGTCACATTCTACCCTGCACCCGGCATACCAATAGGGCTGGCGTTCTTGGGTACGGCGTGGAGCGAGTATGACCTGATCGGGTACGCATACGCGTACGAGCAAAAGACGCAGACACGGCTACAGAGGATGGCGTACGACGGTGCTATCCCGCGTACACAAATCATGGACGTCCTGGGTAAGTTATCCTTCAAAACTTTTCAATGCACCATTGCTCAATCATGCGTTTGCTACATAGAAGGCGCGTCAAAGGCGATATTTGATGTTGTGATTTAGCGTAATGCACGAAGTGTCTCCGATTATACCAATTAGCTTTTTCACTGGCACGCTATTTGTCTGATTCCTACGTGTGTCGAGAACACGATTTCGATATAAAGTGGCACGGAGGCTCACAAATCTAAGTCTATCGTGGTATTCTACGGTGGGTAATCCATTCCGACCTTAAATTCTCCTGAAGAACTCGCAATTGGATGATCGTGACCGCGCAATGGTAAGTACCGCCTCGGACTCACGATTTGTGGAGCGTCTCCTCAGCAGCGTTGCTTTCGGTAGTTTCCAAAGCTTCTACGGGCTCCACGACCTTGGTATCCGATGCTCCTCCACCTCCGAAGAACGCCCTAATATCCTGCTGCTTGGGGTCGTGAGCTTGGCTTCCAATGCCACCCTTCTGGCGAACCTGGAGAATTATTATCAGCCATAAGGAATCAATGACCAAAACATGCCACTAACAAGCTTGTCTATGTGATCATGTTGGTTCACGTGCGTGACACGAACAACGAGAGGCGGCAAGTTGTCGTCGGTGAAGTTCAGTGGTTCGCCTTCTCTGGCGCCCTGTTCCGACTAGGTTATATCCATCCACACAGGGAAGCTAGAGCGGCGCGATCTTACCTGCACGCCAATGACAACTCTTGTCCACGCGGTGTTCAACAAGCCTTTGTAGTCCCGCTCTGGCTGCGCCTCCGAGTTCTTCTTCACCAGCCCAGCAACCAGCTCGCTGATACACAGGCCATGGCTCACGAGGGCAATATGCTCTCCCCACACGCCGGAGCGCGCGGCCTTCCACACGAGCGGCATCACACACTCCTGCAGACCCCGCTCTGCGCGCGCGGCGAGATCGTTCTGGCTCTCACCCTCGGGGAACTTCTCTGTTTGGGTGACTGCAACGGGCCAGATATCTTCGGCGTACATCTCCTCCACAGTCTTGCCCTTCTCCCTGTGAAAGGTCCATGGCTTGCCCTCTGCCACGCCAAAATGCTGTTCGCGTAGATTGAGTGAGGTTTTCAGAGGTGGTTGGGGCTCCGGCTGAGCATCGTGTAGAGCCTGCGCAGTCGTGAATGCACGCTTCAGTGGTGAGGCAAAGATCGCGGTAAGTCGAGTGTCTGCAAATGACTCTCCAAGGGCGTGGGCTTGCTAAAGAGCGCACGATCGATATACAGTGGCTATTATTAGTGATGCTTCACTGTAGGCTGCTATAACGTACGTTCATGCCTGTGACGGACGCGATCAGCTACACCGGCGATGATACCTTCAGGCAGAAACTGACCATGGTTACACAAGGGCGCATCCTTCCATCCTGCCCAGATACCTTTCTGGACAGAGTCATGACACAGTGAATGTCCATGGTCGGAGCCTACGCACCAAGTTATCCGTGGACTCTCCATGCCTAACCTAGGAATAAGAACCATGGCGATTAGTGAACCAGTATCTCTCTAGCCACCTGTTGACTCACAAAGGTGACTGTGAGCATTCCGACGTTCCTCGAGCTGGGTCTGAGGGAAGGGGAACAAGTATGCTGAGGATGCGCGCGCTTACTCCATGCTGCCCTCGCGCGGTGTTTCTATTGATCCCGGCGGCAGATCCAAAGGCTTGCACTGCCACCATGACTCGAATCGATGGTGTCGGCCCGAAGGTCCGAAGTCCTTGACCTAACCTTCCTCGACCTTTATCAGACAGTGCTTTGCAACTACCTCTAATAGCTCATAATATTTACACAATGTACTTTTAAAGCTTTGCGTGCTGCTTCTGTTCTAATGCTGATCCGTTCTAAGGCAGTTACAGTCGTTTTCATTTCGATAGACCAATTTCTGCTTTCGTGGAGCAAGAAACTCTGTTTACCTTTGGAGCCCGGTTGGAGTGCGCGAATGCACTGGGAGGGTCAGAATCCCTAATATGGAGATGGCATGGAGTCAGGGACGGGTGAGCCCGTGAATCGCTCAGGACTACCATCCTGCTATCTCTTCGGGCGGAAGTATGCAATGACGGGCCTTAATTCTGGTCTCAAGGCTTAGGTATGATGCTTGAACCTCAGGGATGTAGGTGACGTGCATATTCAGAGATGATAAGTAAATTTTAGTCAAGATTGCAGCAAAGAAACGCGAAGGGACAAGAGGACAACAGCAAACAAGTTGTGTGTCCCATGGGGAAAACCGGCTTACTAAGTTCACTGCTGGTAAACAAGGCTCCACGCTCCACAAGAGTGAAATCTGGTCTATCGAATTGAAAACGACTGTAACGATATCGACGGAATTGCCCGAGGACTTCATGACTCACTGTCTTTATACTCCGTTGAACCCCGCCATTCCGCGCAGCACAACTCCCTTCATGAAGTCATCGTGTGCATCTTTACGCTTTCATAAAAGTCGAGGATAGATTTCGAATTTAGATAGGTATACTGTACCGGTGAAACCTCGTTGCAGGTCTGCCAACAGCATCGCGATCGATATCAATTAAGATAGATATATGGCTAGACATATTCTTATAGTACACAGCAACACATACGATTGGATATCTGACCAGACGTGGAGGCGCTCACCAGTGCTCATCACGATCTACTGGCCTCTAGCAACGAGCTCCTTGATGATATCCACCGCGCACTTAAACTGCTGCTTCTGCTCCTCCGTCGGCTGCGTCTCGCTCATGTTCTCGCACCCCTCAGCAGCATTGTTCCTCCACACAAAGTTGTCGCTCCCAAACATGATGCTCGTGTCCAATCCATAGATATCCTGGCTGCCGGGAGGGCTCTCGGTGGGGAGCGACTTGAGGATGCCCTCAAGCTCATCGACAAGCTTCTCCGCACCCGTGTCTGCACTCTGAATACTCTTGGGCGCAGAATCTAACAAACTTGGCGTTCCATCAGGGCGCTCGGCGGCTTGGATGACGATGGATGGCGCGGAGTTGGCCTTCTGGATGGTGTAGACCGCGGACGGGGTTACGGGGGCGAACCCGCCAGTGATACCTTATCGGGGCAGAGTCGTCACGATCAGGGTCCAATATTGAGCTGGGGATGAGACACACCTTTCTGAAGGGTGATAAAGAACTGTGAGGGGGCCATGTCTGTTAATGTTGAGTAGTTGCAGGAGGTCGTAAGCGGTGGTGTGGAGAGAGATCGATAGACGCTTGGGGGCTTCAGTACTTCAGTAACCCCCGCCAAGTCGCGACCCGAATAAGCGGTCCGAACCTCCGGTAACACTGCCACCGTAAGGCAGTGAGTAGCATTCCTCTAGGATCCATACTTAACATTCAACGTCTCGCTATTGCATAGACAGGTTTCCACCGAATAGTTATGTTCCAGACATCCATGATAAATACAAAAGAAACGAGCCATGGTTTACAATAAATATACGAATAATGTTACGCCCTCCACCATCCGAGTCGTAAGACAGTCGTGAGACGCATCGCCACGCGAGCACGCTCACAGGCTGAGGTCATCCCATACCCATTCGACGTCGTGGATACGACCGAGGCTCTGGTCAGCAAGCACGGAGAAAGCGGCAGGCGTGAAGTCGAGATCGGTCATCTGGCAGCCGCCGCAACGGTCCGTGACGCTGACAGTGACATTCTTTCCGCCGTCTGTTTGACGGACGCTTGTGGTGAGCTCAAGATTCAATCAAGTAGACAATAAACCACGCACAGGAAGCCGTGATGTTCTTGCCGCAAATGGGATTGAGGTTTGGGTTCGAGCCGGGCATGAAGCCAGGGAAGTTGTTGAAGAGCTGGTCAGCGACCGCAACGATGAAGTCGGAGTCGGTGTTGACGATACCGCAAGCGCCGGTTGCGGGATTGAAGAAGGTGCCTATGTAAGGTCTGGAAGATCAGGTCGCCAAGGATGTAATGAGGGTGAAGGAGAACGCACCGTCGCCGCTCTGCGTGCCAACAAGCCATGCAGGCAGTGTCGATGTCGAGGCGGGGGCAGACGAGGTGGAAGTAGGGGTCTGGCGCTTTCCGAATGGCACAGCCATGGCGCTAGCAGAGAGCGCGAGAGCGAGAGTAGCAAATCCTTTGGCGAACATGTTTAATGGACGTGAAAGTGTTGGTAATCTATAAGGGTAGGGGGAACAAAGAGCGAAAGGTCTCAGCGCCTAACCAGAAGCGGGGAGGATAGAAGCGGGTTGTGTCGAGCAATCTCGCACCGAGTTCTTATAAACCATCGAAAGCGTCATCCTGTAAGTCATATGGTTGACAAGTGGGCACAACAACGGGGTCAGAAAGGGTGAGTCTGGTGGACTTGATGACCCACAGTTGGCGACACTGCCTTGCTGGGTGGCCACATTGATATCGCTGCACACGAGGTAAGGATCTGCTGTGTATCCGAACGTGGCAGGAGAATGCATATGATCATTCCAGAGAGCATATAATCAGAGCAGAGGTTAGCATAGTGCATCAGAGAACATGATCCAGATTGTCTTTCGCGCCAGAGTAGACGCAGAGATACTCAGAGAGACCAGCGTCCTAGTAGCCCTAGCGCGTTGTTCAGGGTTAAGCCATGCCTTGGCTAAGTTGGATTCCAGGAACGACGAGAGAAGGAGATTTCATCAAGAGTTGTCAGGTCGTAGTCGAGCATTTCGCCAGAACGACCACGTCAGAGCGTCAGCCAGCGAAGCAATTGATGACGCGACGCGCGAACAAATCATTTAGAGAGTTGCGCGCCTCCTGAGACAAAGTACAGTCAACACATCTGACTCAGCGCCGATAACGCATGCCGAGGACCAACCTTACACCAGCGTACACCTCCACAGACATATATGCATACATCAGTGTTGAGCTTCAGCTAGCGCTTGAGCTGACCATACGTTCTCGCTTATATGGTCACTGATATGCATGGCTAAGTTGTCGAAGTCAGCTTGAAAATTATAACAGATTCAACACAGAGTATGGTATAACATCACTGCTAACGCAGGATAACCCTCTGTCCGGCTGCGAATACGCCCAAGTACTTGGTCTTTCTATAGGGATAATCCCGGAACGCTGGAGTCAAGCAAGTCAGAACATCCTTTGTGCGGTTAGCTTTTCTGAGAAATCCAAGGGAGAATCGAGCCTTCGATGTGATCATCCACTGGGTAGGAGACTGTAGGAGAACTGTAGCCAACCCATCCCATTGACGAAGGCGAGCTTGATTTGTACCGTCGGCGTCGATGTCTATCGGTGCTTGGTTCTTTAACGGGTTCATCGGGGTAGCGACGTCTGTACCTTTGCTCGCAAGGACCACAAATATATTATGTGACATCGGAATACAGTGTGAAGCGCAGGAGAGTTGTAAGCAGTATATGGAGATAGAATACGTCTCAAAAACAAATGCGATATGGATACAAAGGTCCTTCATTATATGCGAGTAATCAGAGCGTCAGATAACAATAATGTTGCATTGCCTCAGTGTACCTTCCGAGCAGCGTTTCTGAGTTTCATGCGGTGGCGTCATCCAGGCCTACGCCCTCAGCAACAGGGGCACGGGATAATAAAGCACATTCCGCCACCCTAGACGCATTGATCACGTCAGAGACCGAGTCTCGTACACCAAAGTGATGAAACCACTCACCGGGCAGGGAATACATCCTCCCCTTAACCTCAAGGGTTCGTCTGCGCCATCGACTCTCTGCTTCGGCGCGGCGCCCTGTTGCGAAGAAAGGGACATGCTTTGCGTGGATCCAGGCTGGGATGCGACTATATCTTCAGACCCGAGGGCGAGACGCTGGGTGGTGTGTGCAGCGGGAGGGTAAGCAGGACCACTGGTTCTCGTTGAGGATGGCATATTAATTTGCGTGAAGAGAGGTTTGCTCGTCGGAAGGCGCCGATAACTGAATACTAGAACCTGGTAGGTGTTCTGAGGGTGGAAGGTGGTGGTTTGAAGCTGAGGGGGAACTCTGAGGGGATGGAGTTGTGACGGTGTTGTGCGAAGGGTGGAGGAGCTGCGCAAGGGGGTCACCGCAGTACTTGGCGTTGACGTCACGATAGAGCGTGGGAACTCGGTCTGCCGGACCGGCTCTCGGCACTTTAGCGCCAATGTTACTCGTCTTCTGTTCTCGTGGCAGTGTCTTTGCAAGATGAATCCGCTCGCGCTGAAGGGTATCATAGTGTGTGCCAGATCATTCACTCCGATGACTGTTCGAATACCAGGTGTGTATCTCGAGAGTATTTTAAATCTGTGTGGTGAGCTTTTCTGATGAATAATCCTGTTCGTTCAACTTGACAGTACTTCCATGATCCTATCTCAGCATGTCAATCCACAGAGTTTTACATAGAAACTAACCCGTAGGTATTCCACGAGCTCAACAACAAATATTCTCGAGCATGGGATTACAAAGTCCATAGGGTCTCAGACGTTATCATTTGGGTGTTGATACGTGGAAGGCTTCCTTGGAACCTGTAGTAGCAAGGCTAGCTTTCCTAATTACTTCTGGTACCACCTGTGGGCACTACGTTCAAGACTTCTCTGATCAAAAAGTTGTTTGCCGGTTGGTCGACAAACATCCATTTAACCAGAGAAGTCTTGGAGTGAGCCGGAGAACATGCCGAACGCCACGGCTGCAAGGCAAAAAATATACGATGTTACTAGACCCAACGTCCCTGAAATGGACTTATCAATGAGCACCAGAGGCTCACGATGTTACCGCAACGGCCGGTGATGAAGTCTTTTCTTCACTTCAGTTCCTCACCACGGGGTAAACATGTCGGTCCCGATGAGTCAAAAACGTCGCATACGAATACATGGTTGGAGCATATAACGTAGCACATGCGCAGCAGTAGTGATAGAGGCCGTCATCGACACCACGAATGACGATTCCAATGCTAGGAGATAACAGACAGAAGACGCCGCCGCGCTCAAAGCATAGCAGCCACATGCGCTCATGACCGGCCAGCGCCAGGGACATCGCGCCTGTTGCGGCGAGGCCCGCGCTCGGGCTGAGCAATGACGGGCTGCACGATCTGGACAGGGATGTCGAAGTTGAGGGACTTGAGCAGCGCCTGTGGGGGAGTCGACGTGTATTAATATTCGCAGTAAATCACGAATGATGGACGTAGGCGAGTGGGGAGAGTGGGTGAATGTGAAGGGATACCTACCTGGGTGTCGGGGTCGACCTCGAGGCCGGTAGCCGACGTGTCGAGAGCCGAGACTTCGGGGACGTATTGATCCTTGCGCTCGCGCTCCTCCTCCTGGAGCTTGAAGGAAATGCCGCGGACGGGACCCTTCTGGATACGCTTCATCAAGTGGGTGGTGAATCCCGCGACCTTGTTGCGCAGGCGTTTCGAGGGGACGACGGCCTGAAGAGGAGATGCAGGTTAGGACGGGGGGAGAGCTAAGGGCAAGCCGGAGACGCACAACTTCATCGATGATTCGCTTGTTGGTGTGGAAGTCGAGAGTGAGGCGGGGGTAGCTGGACAGCGCAAGAGCAGAAGATCAGCTTCATTCCGAGCGACATCGGGCGCAACGAGTAGACAGAGGGACGCACTATTTTTCGATGAGCACGCGCGAGGCCCTCTTGGTAGTCTTGGTGCGAACGCGACCCTACGTAGATCCATTCTTCAGCATGCCGCCCTCATCAGTTCCAGCACCGACAACGAACCATTTTGAATCAAGTGTTTTGAGGTGGCGGCGAGGAGCTCGTCGAGAGTGTTGACGGTCTTGAGTGTCCCGGTTTCGTTTGGTCTGGTGTCTGCCAGACAGCCGTGAGCCCGCCCGGCGATTGCCGAGTGGCTTGTGATATCCTGTACAGCTCCGCGCCACCGCGCCCCTCCACCAGAACCTCCCAAATTTGTCCACGCCTAAGCCCCAAGCTCGTCGTTCGCGTCGTCCGTCGTCCGTCGTCCTCAAGACCTCTCTCAAGGTGAGCACCTATATCCACACATATGCTGGTGTATATGGCCGGGAATGCGCCGACTGGGACTTGAATGACTATCGCAGCTATCATGCATGCTCTCTATGTATTGATGGCGGCGTTTTGTTCTCTCCAGCTCGTCTCGACTCGTGCTTTCCGTAGCACGACACTCGGACGGGTATAGGTTGCTCACGCACCTCTTTCTCCCCCTCCCCCTTCTTGCACGCTTCAGTTCCCTTGACCACCACCACCCAACACTACCAAGCAAGATGGTCCGCGTCTCTGTCCTCGTGAGTTTGATCAGTGTGTTATGCATGTGTTCTTGTGCTGATGGTGGCATCGCAGAGTGATTGCCTCGTAAGTTTGTGATAACATGGTCTCAGGAACTTCACTCAAGGAGAGGATAGAACAACATCGTCAATGCCGAGCGCCGTGGCAAGCGTCAGGTCCTCATCCGTCCTTCGTCGAAGGTCGTCGTGAAATTCCTCACTGTCATGCAGAGACATGGTGGGCCTTTTCTCCCGTGCCATTGCATCTCTCCATTTCCTCCTTCCCCTGTTATTCTCTCTTCGTTCCAATGCACTGGCGATGCCCATCATCACTCCGGAGTTATAACTACGTTTGGCGAGGCGTTCTTTTCACCCGTCCTTCGTTTTAATGCTCCGGAAGATTAACTCGTCTCTCGTAACCAATACAACGTCGATCTCGAATCTTCTACAGATCGGAGTTCACTGTAGAGTCTACATCCTTCTTTGTTTTTTTCTTCTTGTTTCCATCCGTTTTCTCTGTCTCAACCGGTCGCCATGAACATATGCTAACGATTGTCAACCGTCAGGCTACATCGGCGAGTTCGAGATCATCGATGACCACCGCGCGGGCAAGATCGTGATCCAGCTGAACGGTCGCCTGAACAAGACGGGTGTCATCTCGCCGCGATACAATGTGCAGGTATCGCAGATCGAGTCTTGGGTCAACTTGCTGCTGCCCGCTCGTAGTTTCGGCATCATCATCCTGACGACGTCGTCGGGTATCCTCGACCACGAGGAGGCGCGTCGCAAGAACGTCGGAGGCAAGATCCTCGGATATGTGTACTAGGCTCTAGGTTGCATGCATGTTCTACTTGTCGCTACTTATGACACCAAAAATCCATGTTCTATGGAATGATGCATATATGTACTATATCTGAGATCAGACTAAGCTATTGGGGAGAAGAGAAAGAGTCGTGTGTGCACTGCTTCAATGGAGAAGCAGGTCGTAAATGGCAGGACTGCGGGTCGAGAACGAGACCGAGTGGGGTCGAAACAGGCCACGGTGGAGCACGTAGCTACGCCCAATTGCCAGTGCGTGCAAGTCCTGTTTGAGATTCACCTGAAGAATGTTCTTCGTGAACAGAACAAGACAGAAGATATATGAGAGTGACGGAAAGCTGTAACGAGGCAGAGGAGGAGAGGCGCGTGTTTTGGACACAGGCGATAGCCACCGAGGGCGTGTACAAAAAGAGGCAAGCGAGGCTGAGTCGCGTTTTTGCACAACCTCGGCCCCTTGTTGCTTCCTGTTCCTCACCTTCCTCTGGAGCCTGCATGCCGCTCCCCGCCAACGACGTCTTCTCCTTCGGCCTCGCACACGACGAGCCACGCACTTCACCCACTCTCTCTCGCACACGCGCACGCTCCAGCTCCCAGTCGCGCGGGCCGATTTCCTTTTCTACCTCCGCTGCCCACAGGAACATCTCGGGTTCCAGTCAGTCAAGTCTGGGTACCTCTACGGCACGACGCGAACGGGCGCAGATCGGCGCCAGGAAGAGCTCTGGAGGTGTGATGACGATCAGGAGACACAAGCGAGAGGATTCATCGGCCAGGGGCGAGCCTGCTCATGGTGTCAATGGCATCAACGGCGCTAATGGTGTTAACGGGCTGACGAATGGACATGTTGCGAATGGGGATGGGCATGAGGCGGATGCAAAGTCTAATGGAGTTGTGAATGGGAAGAAGGTCGATAGGGAGATGAAAGAGGCGAAGGAGAAGGTGGAGAAGGTGGAGAAGGTGGTCGTGGACTGGGAGATACCCCGGAAGGCACTGCATTCGTCGATAGGTGTGTACTCCTTCCCTCTTCCTTCCTCTCTGCCCTTTTGGTGAAAACGGTATGGGCTAACGACGGTGACGCGCTCACAGGTTTCATGACCATCTACCTCTACACGTCGCACGGCTCGCCTGACAAGGTCGTCATCGCGCTCAGTGCCGCTCTCGCCGCCCTTGTTCCCATCGATATCCTCCGCCTCAATGTCCCATGGGCCGAACGCGCCTTCGAGAAGTGTGTCGGCTTATTCATGCGTGAGTCCGAGAAGGTGCGTCTCCCCCAGTCATGGCTCTCCCTTTAGCCACGCTAGGACGCGCGCTTACTTGAAATCCGAATTGCAGAACTCGTCAAACGGCGTGATATGGTACCTCCTCGGCGCGGACCTCTGCCTCCTCGCGCTCCCGCTTGACCTTGCTGTTGTCTCCATTGTCATGTAAGTCTCGGGCTCGCCCCCATTTTGCCCCATGCTCACTGCAACTTGCAACTCCCGCTGACAACATCACCGCCACATACAGCCTCTCCTGGGCCGACACCGCGGCGTCAACAATTGGCCGCCTCTGGGGGCCTTACACCAAGGCCCTCCCGCAGCGCACACCCGTGCTCCGTCTCCCACTTGCGCCGCGGAAGTCGCGTGCGGGCTTCGCAGCAGCGTGCGTCACGGGCGGCGTCATCGCCGTCGGGTTCTGGGGGTGGGTCGCGCCAGCGTCTGGGCGCCTCGGCGCATCGTGGACGTTTGAGAACGGAGTCGGAGAGTTCTTCCGTACTTCGCAGGTCGGTGCTATGGCTGCAGCGGGGGAGAAGGTGCGGGAGGTGCTGGGCGGGGGTGTAAGCACAGGTGGGTGGATAGGCTTGGTGGTGATTGGGGTTGTTGCGGGGTTGGTGTCGGGTGTTGCTGAGGCTCTTGGTGTGTTCTTCTGTGTTTTCTCATCCTGCATTCACTGGCTTACCCGTCCGATATGTAGATCTCGGCTCATGGGACGACAACCTGACGCTGCCTGTCATTGCTGGCTCCTGCCTCTGGATATTCTTCAAAGTTCTTGGTTTCGTCTCTTCATGACCCACCTAGCTACCGGCTTTTACACCTCGCCCTCCTTGACATCACCACCTTCTCTCCATCGCTTGCGCTCTCATATGGCTCTCTCCTCGGATTTTCTCATTCCTCACTCGCTTCCTCTGTCCCCCTTTCTTGTTCCCCTTCTGTTAACTCTTTACTTTACCCTCATCTAACGACACCCCACGACCCATGACAGACTGGCGAAGGAAAACTAGTCAGGATAGGTTTAGGTTAGAACATGTACACGCAGATGTGTGTGCATTACGTATGATATTGTTAGGATAACTCTGTAGCTATGCTTGGCTGCCCTATATACCGTACATAAATTTAGAAATGAGTATGGGCTATGTGTATGAGATCTTTCTTCGGTGTGGGCGGTGGCGATGTTGACTCGACAGATTTCTCATGCCCAGTTAACGTTGGTCTTCTCCACAACTTTTCTAGCACGGCGTAGGGCAGATGAGGGCAGGTGGTATGTTGATGGCAGGATTATCACCAGCGCTTCATTGCTGATAGTGACCGCCAGGCGTCTACACAGATGCTGCCATGCTGTATGGTCTCCCAAATGCTCCTGTTCTAGACGACCATGGCTACACTTGGCTGTACTCGTCTAACCCTCCCGTTGATGGACCGTTTCTTCGAGAATGTGCTTGCTTGCCCAAAGGCTCTCTTCTACACGCTTTATCGCCTGTTTTCTCGGTTCGCGAGATCGACGCACCGCTGCGGAGGGCCAGCGGGCCGGAGACCTTGTACACTCTTCCTTTTTCGCTGCTAGTAATGTGGGGCACGTCTGGAAGCGAGTTATAGATGATCCGAGCTTCCACGAATAACCTGATCTGTTTACAGCAAGATATTCTTCCTCACTGGCCTTTGCGCCTGCATCTTCCCGCAAGCAGAGAAATACACTGTACGCTCGTGCGCAGTTGCGCAGTTCCTCCTGGTACTGGCGGTGGCATTGTCATTATTCATATGGTGGCGTGTCAAGAACTGGACATTATTGATATTTCAGGCACTTCAGAGACTTTTCCAGTTGTTAGGAGGTCAAACACCGCGCAAAGACCAGCGGAAATCGCTTGGTGCGAACTTTGTTCCATCACTAAGAATGGGAAGCTTGGGGGATCTGGAGGCACAGACTGATATCGCAGACAGTCATGAGCAAATAGGAAGATCAATGGCGTAAACTCCATCTGTGAAAACAGTTCCATAAATACCAGCATTATGATACGAAAGGTTAACATTACATATGTGTAGTAGCATCTGAGTACAACATAATTACTGTTTAATATAATGTGACGGATATATTCCACTTTCTGTCCGGTACATCGACTGAAATGTAACGGTCTGCATGACGGAAGTTCGTATTTCAAATATCGTTGCCGAACGGATGTCTCCCAAACGAGGAAACCTTTGGGATCTTGATGATAATTTCGGGAGTGGGAAACCGGTGATGACTACCTCGGAGAGACATCAGCCCCGTCTCTTCTCTACCTGCATTGAATCCATTACATCCGGATGTCGCCCTTGCGTCGAACTCGCAGGCTTTAACAATTAGTCTTGCATTCAGGATTGCGATGATCGGCTCTACAAAGCTAGGCACAGAGATTGAACCTCGTCATACGGAGGCGGGAGATAATATCGACTCACACTACACCAATCACCCAGTAGCTTTGCTATACAGTTCAGTGGTCTATGATGAGTGCAATGCCTTTAAAGCGGTTCGCCGATATAGACATACGTTGGGAATAACACTCAATGCAATGTTCAGAACACGCAAGGCTGAAAATGTCAGATGGATGCCAAAGCTTCAGCCTTTAGTCTCAGTATGCCCACCTAGAATGAGCTACTACCAATTAGTAATTGTTTGTGAGCGGTTTGCTGTGGGACTTACTGCCAAGATACAGATACCTTGCTTACGAAAGAGTGAAATAATCTGGGAGTTACTGGTCCTAGGAATGTCCATACTATTGAAGAAGACAAGGAACGCCGCATAAACATCAAACCCGAGCTACGTATTTTGTCATTTTGAGATCTGATATTATAGTTTGCCAAAACAGATTACCTCGATAACGAAGGTACTGATGAGGAAAGCGTTGTGCCAGTCCACAGTTATGCACGAATGGAAGCCAGGTAAAGACATCCATATCCCTTGCACACATTAACCCGTGAAGTCGATGGTGCTCGAATGAACGCACCTGGTTCAGTATCAGTGTTTGGAATTATCAATCCTATAGTGCAGCCCAGTGTGATAGCTGCGCCTAATATGAGATAATGTAGGGCTCTTGGGTTCCTGTTCCACAGTAAAAACATTCTCCCTGTGACAGAGACTAAGGATGCGCGGTTGACAAGAAGCTGTGTTAGCTTTAGTATAAAGATTGACGGCTAGTTCACGGTTTCCAAGAGCATCTGCAATGACATAAGTAACGCCGACAGCAATATTTCCCTTTTGACAACTGTGCGAATTTTTATTACGCCTCACGCAGACGAGAACGAGGTTGGAAACTGCAGAGCAAAGTCAATCGTTATGTTGCCGTGTATTTGATGTCACTACTTACCCTGGTATCATCCAATTCTATGGCAGAAAACATGGCTTTAAGCAGTAAGCTCAGCGACTACGGACTTGGATTTCGAGCATCTGTCTCATACCTCGGAACCAAGGAATAAGCATGACTATGGCGCTAGTCCGATTGCAGGCAAACGCGATCCTGGGAGCAAGGCTTTTGATCTCATGCATGGCACGAATCTCTCTTCTTAGCATGAGTGAACCATCCCAGATGAGGACGGTCAGACTTGAAGCTGTGCTCTATTCCTGAGTGAACCAGCGCCGTAACCAAGCGTCGTGCGCACCTGCTAAGCATCTGCACGTGAACAAGAAGGATGCCCCGGAGATCAGCTCTTGAGACATGAGCGTCTATTACAGACGGGGACAAGCAACGAGATGCGGGGGAGAGAAAGCTCGCTAATAGCGGCTCATCAAGGAATCTTATATTGGTCAGCCTTGTCAGGTGGCGCACTGATACATGTTTTGATTTCATCAGGATACAGAGATCAGCACAGCAATAAGTACAAAACCACCAACGTGTAACCTTATAATTATAGACACTTGAATCATGCTATTATCCAAAGTGTTGGATTTGAGATCCGGCAGCAGTGGCTGCGTGTAAGCTCCGAGAAATATATGAAGGCTCCTGCCGGAGCTTCGATGGCAAACCAAGCCCTATGCTGCGGGCACCCTATTATTTATTAAGGAGAAGGCTCCTAGAAGCATATACAATTATGTTTAGTATATAAGTAGTCGAGAATCGACTAGAAGCGCTAATCGGCGGTTTCCCCCCATCTGAGCGTGATTCCCAAGTCAAAGCATAGCCTAAATCGTAACTTCGGTGCTAAGCATGGAAGGAGGTGGCATAAACTAGACTAAACTAGGAACTGCCCCGTGTTCTCCAGTGAGAATCGGAGTGGCGCTTCTTCTCCTTTCATATTTACGGACCAATGATCCATCCAAAGTAGGAGCGATGGTTTGATTGGTAACCGTAGTTTGGATGCCGATATCTGCCTCGAGCTGCTTCACGAAGCCCGCTTCGTAATCTAAGGTTTTCATTCATCGTTCTCGTTTGCACTACTACTGGGAGTATATCCGCAATCCAACCTTCCCTAACCTTCATCTTGATCCTGATGATAGTTGTCCTCTCTCTTGGAACGTCCACATCTCTCTGGTCATATTGTCTGCATCGGAATGAGCATTCCCCCTCTGCGGATGTGGTGACAGTCGGTTGGATTCGGCATACACCCTCCATCCCGCATGGTGAGCTCAATCAGCAGGGCATTCACGACTGTACTGAGCCTCCTTGGGCGATCATCGATTCTTCACAGGATTGAAAGATGTCACATATTCAATGCATATTGCACTGGAAGTATCTCACTGGCAACGTTATGCTGATGGAACAACTACAGCGGTAGAGCGCCAGTAGGTAGGCTTGGTGCACCTACATTGACGAGTATAATTTAGGGGCATCGTGGCGGCGTGGATATCTGACATAGTATGTATTCATATAAAGTACTGTAACATGAGAAACGAGTTTCGTGGCTGGGTCCATGCTTTTCGGAAATCGGGCTACTCCGGCGGGTCCGGCCGGAGCCGATGGAAACGCATCAAAGTCCGACAAGCGAGTATTTGACCGTTCGCTCTCTGGTGGACGACCATGGCCATCGTGGACTCCTCGCAGTCTCCTCACCTGGCCGCGCTGGCAACGCATTTCAGGCCAAACAGGCCTCTATCATTGCTCTGATGAAGCTTAAATACTCTGGTATGGTGATACGATACTGGTGTGGCTTTTCCCGAAAACTGAAGAGAACTTTGGATCATGGGTGACCCGAGTACACATCGTCTGCCGAGGGCCCATATGTCCCTCATTAACAGTGCCTTATAGTCCACGCAACGTGTGCTACAGCACCAGTTCAGCGGTACGTATCTATCCAATGCCTCACAGGTGTTTCAACGCTACTTCCAATCTTACTAAACATGATAATTAAGCCAGGCGTCCAGCTTATCGGTTGATCGAACTCTGCAGCTTGTCGGCCCTCTGTCTTTTGGCTGTCCTTGTCCATCACGCTACGTTCGCCATTTTCGCTTTTGATGGCGAAATCGTGCCAAACCATGCCTTTCTCCAAGCTAGCTAGCCCAGGCTAGCCCTTAAATACGTGGCAAGGTTGACTACACGTTCAGCCAAGGCGCGTCCTAACAACGGTGCCTAACGTTCTGTGATCGGACACGATCGGGCTCCCAGCGATCCAGATCATCAGTCAAAAAGTCGAGGAAAGCTGTACGGGTTCATTCCGGGTCATTAACATGTCCTCCTCGCCAACTTCTGGCCACCACGAATGGTCATCGTTACTTATCTTTGTCTGGAAGTCATACTGGCGCTGATGTACTTCAGCGGAAACTATGGCAACGTATGTCTACGTGATTTATGTATACACCTCTCAGACGTTCTCAATAAGGTCTGCTATTGCTAGGTGGTTTGCTTTCCTATGAGCATGCACGCTCACACTGTTCTATGCATCTCCGGGACTAATCACTCAGACGTCAGATCTCTTCCAATGAGCGTTATGGGGATCCTGCCGATTCAAGAAGTGCAGTTCAGTGCCTATGTCAAGTTGACGCATCCCCGCGGTGCCATGCTTTGCCATCCTGATCGTGTGATAGAGACGCGTTGGCAGAGTAGAATTTGTTGGCGGTATCAGGCGGTATCGCTAGCTGGGTATGCAAGCATGTGGGCGCCCAGGACAATGTCTGGTACAAAAGCTGCAGATCCACAGGCGGTGACCAACAACTCGCCTTTCTCCGCTTCAGCTTCTGGTCAAGCACTTTCAAGCGCTTCTATCTATTGAACTTGTCTAGATCGACACTCGTCTATAACATACACTCTTTCATCCCGTCACCAACACAACCTGTTCCTACCATGTTCGTTCAAGGACTCGCCACTCTCGCCCTCGCGCTCTCCGCCAGCGCCTTCGCTCTGCCCTTCAGGCGCCAGGCAACATCTACCACTGATGTCTCTTCCTCTACCACCGACGTCCCTACCACGACTGTCCCAACTAGCACTCCCGTCCCTACGACCTCGGTTGCCCCCTCCACGACTTCCACCTCCTCGTCCGTCGCACCTACCTCGACGCTCCCCGCATACCTCGTCGGTACCCAAACCGGTGACGGTACGTTGACACTGTCTTTACCGTTCTCTACTTTCCAGCTGATCATCACCACCTCGATTGAACTTTGTTTCATGACATAGGCACCTATTACGCCCCCGGACTCGGCGCGTGTGGCATCTCCAACACCAACGCGGACATGATTGCTGCGGTATCGCACCTCCTGTACGACACATTCCCTGGCTACACCGGCACAAACCCGAACAACAACCCCATCTGTGGGCACACTGTCACTGCTTCCTGTCAGTCTTCCTGCTCTATTCTCGTTGCTTGTGGTTCCACTGACCTAATTCGATAACTAGACGGCGGCAGCAACGTGACCGTCGCGATAACGGACCGCTGCACCGCGTGCGCGATCACCGACCTCGACTTTGCGCCCGCCGCGTTCGACAAGCTCGCGTCTGAGACCGTCGGCCGCATACACGGCGTCACTTGGGTCTGGGATGATCTCCCCGCCGACCTTTAAGCGCATTATTGAATGATGGGCTTACTGAGGGGTTTCTTCTTTTAAGATTATTTGTTTATTTATACTGGGTTCGACTGTTGGCATCGGGTGTATTTATTACATGGGTTCCGGGTAGCTGAGCTGCCTGTATTCAAGATTATGTATTATCTTGTAGAAAAGGGTAGAGCGGAGGAGGCGTGTGGTTTTGAGGATGTTCTTTCGTTTGGATCGTTTATCGTACAAATTTGTAGGTTCGACGGTCATGGTTTTGTCCGTCTCCAATACATCCGTCACCGTGGGAGTATAATCATCTCAAAATCGGTAAGTGATTCCCACACTTTCCGCGCCAAACTTCCGTCGAAAATGACTTAGCCAACCATATGTTGGGCTCTGGACCTCTCTGGGCTCATTGTTGCGGTTCTCTTGGAGCGTGTACGTATGCAGACGTATGCTCACACTAACGCGCATCAAAGCGCCTGGTCATGATGAAACATCTCTGTCTCCAGTTGTGTCTTCCGAAAGGTGCCAGCACTCGCTCCCATGCGACCCACATGCTTATCTGCAGGGGCTACGATTATGCTACGCTGGCAAGGAAATGCGAACATCCAGCGATGGCGACGTGACGAAACGAACTAGCTGCTGCATCCCTTAGTATACCTCTGACTCTACCCTTTCGTTCGTCTGCATCGACAATGTATGACGAACATTTTCTCTGGTGGAGGTTTGCTCAGCCCTCCAAACTGTTACGTGGCACTTGACAGCCCTTCACGACTTTAATGATGAAATTGCACAGCCAATCGAAGAAGAAGCTTGCTGTCCGCTTGAGCGATCGTGGCTATGTCTTGGTCTGCTCTTCGGCTACCACTGATATCATACGCTTACAGGATATCCTTGATGTCTTTCAATCAACTGCGCCCCGCCGGGAGTTTGGGGAAATTTGCTTAAGTAGCAGCGTTCAGGCCCAGGAACCGTCATTCTCATACCTCTTCAATTCTCATCTTTGTCTTTGCAGCGCAAGACCCCTTTACTTTGTCCTTTATTCTGTCCAAACCCTTGTCTTAAATTATCAACCACCTTTTCTCCATTTCACCTGTCACGATGTTGTTTTCCTCCGTTGCTCTTGCCGTCTTCTCGCTCGCCATCTCGGCCAACGCGGCTGTGATTCCTGAAGGCGTTCGCAACGTTTTCGCAAGGCAGGCCTCGACGTCGACCGTGCCCCCTCCGTCATCAACCGTGACACCACCTCCTTCGTCCACTGTGTCTGCAACCCCGAGCCCCACGTCTACGCTCCCTCCGTTCTTGGTTGGCACTCAGACCGGCGATGGTACGTCACTTCCAGCATGTCCCCTACTCACTGAGATGCTAACATGACTATGCAGGTACTTTCTACACTCCCGGCCTCGGCGCCTGCGGGATCACGAACACAGAGCAGGACATGATCGTCGCTGTCTCTGAAACCCTCTTCGACACCTTCCCCGGGTACACCGGCACGAACCCAAACAACAACCCCGTCTGCAACCAGAAGATCAGCGCGACCTGTAACACTCTCACCCATACTCTCTCCGAGTCCTATGTTGACTGAACTCCTCGTTTGCGTTTACAGACGGAAGCATCACGATCAACGTGACCGTCACGGACCGCTGCACCGCCTGCGCACTAACCGACCTCGACTTCACGCCTGCTGGGTTCCAGCAGTTCGCACCCGAGACAGCGGGTCGCATTCACGGCGTCCAGTGGGACTGGATCGATCTCGTTCTTTGAAGGCTCAATCTCAGACATGCGCTGTAACACCCATTCTCTCCATGAATGGCTGGGATGATCATTATTGTATTCATATTTATTCGCTGAAGTTGATATCTATAACTTAGAGCGGTTGATCCGTATCGCTACTATTTATGAGGAGACAATAAAAACTTACGAATATTCTCATTTATCCACACTTTCTGGATGGACGCGAAAAGTTTACCCCTGAGCTGATAGAATGGCAGTGCAAAGTATGTTCCGGTTCCGAGCCGAAGCGTTTTGCCTTTCTTTGCTTCCGGCGACTCGGTGCGGATGATTTCCTGTTTCGCCTCTCCCTCCTCCTTTTCTTGCATAAGACGACGCTTTGCAACACTACTCATGCCAGGCCTTTCTACACCACTACCACTGCAGCCACAGCACGCCAAGGCAACTGGCTGGCTGCTCTACCGCGATGTGCTCAGGAGTCCAAAGTACGTCGTCGCGCCCATGGTCGATCAGAGTGAGCTGGTAAGTTTACAACACATCATTAGATCTGGATATCGCCTTACAAGACTTCTTGTCTGAAACATTGTAGGCATGGAGAGTGCTTTCGAGAAGATATGGAGCCCAGGTGAGCGAAGCGCTTCTACCCATACTTCATGACTGGACACTTACTGGGCTCGTGATGGGAGATATAGCTCATATATACGCCCATGATCAACGCTAAGGTGCGTTTAACCTCAAAAATTCCCCCTCGTCATCTACTTCTGTGACTTCATCTGTGAAGTCGCGTCTACCCGAAGTCCCCCATCCTGTTGACCCCTCATGTTTACTGACACACCTCTCTTGTGCAGATCTTCATGGCACCATCAAAAGCCTCCCACCGCGACGCCTTCTTTGACATACCCTCCGGAGAAGAAGGCTCACCATCTCTTGACCGCCCCCTTGTCGTCCAGTTCTGTGGAAATGACCCGGAAACGCTGCTTCAAGCTGCGAAAGTGGTCGAGGACCACTGCGACGCTATCGATATCAACTTAGGGTGTCCTCAGGACATCGCGAAACGCGGAAAGTACGGGTCGTTCTTGATGGAGGACTGGGACTTGATATACAAACTTGGTGAGACTTCATCCTTCGATGAGTCGCGGGCAAAGGCGGGCTGGTGGTACCCACTCGTCCCGTCCAGTGTGTCTTCCTCGGAGATACTGACTTTGACATGATCCGCACCATAGTCAATATTCTTCATGTCAACCTGAAGATTCCCGTTACCGCCAAATTCCGTGTTTTTCCTACAGTGGAGAAGACCGTCGCGTACGCGAAGATGCTCGAGAGTGCGGGCGCTCAGATCTTGACGTGCCACAGTCGGCTTCGCGAGCAGCGAGGCCAGAGAACCGTACGTCTATCCCTTCAGCCAACCCATTGCCTTCAAACTAACGTATATGTAGGGCCTTGCAGACTGGGAGAAGATCCGCGCGGTTAAAGAAGCCGTCTCCGTGCCTGTGTTCGCAAACGGCAACATCCTCTTCCACTCTGACATCGAACGCTGCCTCGTGCAGACCGGCGCAGATGCGCTCATGAGCGCCGAAGGCCAGCTATACAACCCCGCGCTCTTCGTCCCCTCCGCCTCCTCTTCCGCCTCCACCTCGTCGCCTTCAGCAGCAGCAGCAGCATCGCCACCACTATCCTACATCCCATCACACGACATCACCTCGTCCTCCCAGCAGACAGACGTTCACGCCATAGCTCTCTCGGGTTCATACCCGCCACACGCAGATCTCGCGCTCGAGTACCTCGCCATTGCACGCTCGCTCAAGACCACAACAGCACTCAGCGCTGTCAAGGGGCACCTGTTCAAGCTCATGCGGCCCGCCCTGACGCGCGAGACGGACCTACGTGACCGGTTGGGGAGGGTGCGCTCGGAATCGCGGAATACCAGAGAGGGGTGGGAGGAGGTGATCGGGAAGTACGAGGAGATATGTGCGGAGATGAAGACGAGGATGGAGGTGCGTTCTTTCTTGTTCTCTTTTTCGTCGTTCTGGGCAGCGAATTAATGGGCCATCCATCGGGACGTACAGAGAGCAGCTTCAGAAGCGCCCTCGACGCTCACAGAGCAGATCACCATCGAGCCCGTTACGGGTCTGCCGCTCATCCCGCACTGGCTCGCGCAGCCATACTTCCGACCGCTCCCGATTGACGATAAGTATAAGGGGAAGGTGTCCAAGATCGCGGTCAAGGAATCGTTAGAGGTCGACGTATTTGTTGGGAAGGCGGAGGTGGTGACTCCACCAGTCCAAGGGGAGGCGGCGTTAGGTGAGCTCACACAACGTGCTGAGTTGAAGTGATGAATAAAAACTGTGGGTATGATTACTGCTAGCTGCCGCTTGAAGGTTCAAAAGTCGTTGAGGGTGGGCGGCTCGAACCCGAGTTACTACACTGGGATACCATGACAATAGTTCGTCCCGCTTTTTTCATTGCGTTGGAAGACCATCTTATGCTGGTCCAGGAACTCCTTATATATCTCCACACCTGCATCTGGGGCACCTAGTAGACTCTTTTTGTCCTCACACCTCCATTATTTGCCACACTTGGGCAGTGTTATGCATATTTGGGGACGACGGGCGGCATTCATCCGGTTGGCCGAGCCGAGTGTTCAGTCTTTTACCGTAACACTCAATATCAAAGGATCCAGATCGCTACCCTGGTGTCGGAGCCTCTACGTCTAAGTATACATCGACGATACCTTTATTGACAACTATCAACGCGTTTCCTTATCCTTTCTCTGTCTATCTGACTAGATTAAAAGGTTTTGAATGCCACTTCAGTAGGTCTGTATTGATCTCACGGCATCCGTTCTCCGTGTAAGTGACCTGTCCTCCGTATGAGCCCGAGATGACGAGAGCTGTCCCTCTTATGAAACTAGTTAGCCTCCGAGCTGTCCGAGTCTAGGCTGCATTCATCGTTCTTTCCGACCGAACTACAGGCCTCCGGCCTGTTCACATTCATGTTCGGGCTCCATTGACCGCGCGCCCCTGGCAATGATATACTTTTACGCGTCTGTGGTTCATTCTGCAGGCGTAAGCTCATAGCCTTCGCGTTGTTTGCTCGCCTTCCGGACCTGTATAAAAATAGGGGGTTGTGGTCTTCAAGACCCACATACCACTCTCCTCTTTTCTGACGTCCCGAAGGGCAATATACTCCAACGAACGCAACGATGAAGCTCACCCAGTCTTTCGGAGCCCTTCTCTTTGCTGCTGCTGCGCTCGCGCAAAACGTCATCATCACTCTCCCCACTGAGGGTCAGTCCGTCACGGCCGGGTCAAACATCACCGTCGACGTCGAGCGGCCCGTGCGTTCATTTACATCCTCGTCTGCTCTCTTTTCCACTCGAACTCTTCGCTAAATCATCTCCCGACCAATATGTAATGTAGGAACAACTGACAGGATTCGACCAAGTCGCACTCATCATCAGCATGACATCCTGCGCGAGTGGCGCATGCCTGCCCATGGCCGAAGGACTTGACATCATCCTGTACAATGGCGCGTTCAATCCCGTCGAGCCGAACCCGAACCCGGCGCACCAGCAGCCGAACCAGAACTTCACGGTCGCCATCCCCGCGGCATTGCAGAAGGGCGAAGCGCTGATTGGGGTGACGCAGATTGCGCTTGTCTCTGTGAGTTTAACATTTCGAGATATGCTATGGGGTGGCTGATTATAAGTGTAGGCGAGTTTGGCACTGTGGGTCGAGTATCAGAATGTTACGGTGAACGTGGTGTAGAGAATTGTGCGGGCCATGTTCGCTTTGATCTTTCACGGGAAATCCGGACGGTTTGCTTCATTATGGATGGTTAACTGGAGACAAATTGGGTTACTATAGCATGGTTAATTCGTAATCAAGTACTATAATGACGCATTTGAAATTCGGACAGAGTATTCTTCGAGATGAGATTCGCTTGACAACACAAGAAACTGATCGATTTCACGTCATCGATCATTTCTATGTGCAAGGCAAACGACAATAGGTAAATTGACCACAGCATTATGGACAATGCTACATGATCTTTGTAACATACAAGTTCAGTTTAAGGACTTGCAATAATCGTAATTACCAAGCTGATTCGCGCCCCACCATTGCTTGAACAGGTACGATTCACCCGCTGCACCTTGGACTGCGAACGAGAGAATGAACACCATCACCTGCGTACCACCGTCGAGAGCTACATAAACCATAAGCATCGTCGTCCATGAAAAAGCCAAGCCTACACGCACCAGCACCAATGATATAGTTGTATTTGTTGAACCACTTCGGGTGGCGAGTACGCAACCACCACTGAGACAGGAACCCGACAGTGAAATATGACAGGATAGACGAGTTGATGCCGACGCATAGGTATCCGATGTAGTAGCTGTGCCCCTAACGTTAGCCCGACTCCACTCGCAGAACACGAATGCAGACACGCACCATATGACCGGAGTATACAAGTAATCCGACCTCAGCCGGGGCCACAACTTATGCGCGACCCAGAACGGAACGGGTACGAACAAGCCTATGACGTACGACCATGCGACCCACTGGTAGCGCTGCCCGACTGCGAATAGCTGGTGGCTGAGCCCGCCCCATGCGATCGCCTGGGAGTTGTACTGCTGAGCCTGTTGGCCGGACCAAATGTTGGTGCCTTGTACGGAGAGCAGAATGTCACGTTGGTTGTCGATGATTGAGTTCATTAAAACTGGTTGTGGTAGAATATCAGTTAGCATAGGGATGGACATAGAGAAGAAAGCTTACTGTAGTTCAACACGGCGCCGAGCAGTGTGCCGATAGTTTGGGCTGTGAAGGCGGCTCGGGGAGGTAGCTTTGCGTCTGCAATTAGGTCAGCTTTACTTCATAGTAAAGTAGTGAAGCCCCATAAACATACATTGGGCTATCTTCAAGTCGCGGAGGAGCAGCTGGGATTGCAGCACGGAATCTGAGCACCGTACTTTGTGAATAGACTGGCACTGGATAAGCAAGGATTCCCTTACTGTAGCTGAACAAGACAAAATACATGTTTGCCATAGGCTTTCCGGGGTTGATGAATCCTCCGATCATTTGGACAAACCCTTGAATGACAAACTGAAGACCAGTGATGGCATAAAGTGCACCAAAGAAGAGGATGGCGACGCTCGCAAGCAAAACAGAAATCACATAGGACCACCTGTAGACATCTCGTGAGTTTAGTCAACGTAAAGCTTATAGTAGTACTTACCATGGCAGAGTAGAGTCAGACTTGTAGATCACTACCAATGATATAATGACCGATATTATCAAAATGGCCAAGTACCAGCTGTTGGGGGCTTCCGGATACTATATATTTCATCAGCTCCAGGAAAACATAAAGCAAACACAGCACCTCACCTTGAGCATCTCTCGATAATGTGGATCCAGCGCCTCCAGCTCCTCCTTCGACATCTCCTCTTTCGCCTCTCTAGGCCTCCAAAACATGGCAGCGCCCAACGACTTGCGAATATTCGTGGGGCTAGCCCAGCTCCACGCCAGGCTCATATCCTTGTAGTTGAACAGTAGGAGATGGGTGAACGTCGCGCCGAGCCCCAGGTTGGTCGCGATGAGCGCAACGACCCATGTCGCAGCGTACCACGGGAGGCCTTGCTCCGCCAAGAGCGCGGGGTCGACCTCGTAGTTCGCGTTGAGGATAAGAGTTTGGTTGTATGGCGTGCCGTTTTCATAGAAGAGGAGCTGTGAAAGCTGGGGATGTATAGCCACAGTATGTCATTGGATGTTCACGGTGAATGGTTATTGTGAGAGCGAGTTAATTAGGGAGAGGGATGGTTGGCTTACGAAAGGAAAGTTTTGGGCTTTCCAGATGTTCATGTAGTACACGCCAGAGAAGACGGATCTACAAGGAGGCGTGTCAGTGAGAAGAGACGGCGCGTGGAAATGGTTCGGGAGATTACTCACAGGCAGAGAATGTACCCGATAAAATTCGATAGCTAACTCGAGCGTGAGGCTTGTTTTTTCTTGAATGAGTAACGAAATCATACCTGCGCCTTCAGTGGGATCACCATCGGATTAACGCCCCCAGAGATGTACTAACTTCATGTCAGCACTCGAGCTCATTCAACGAAGTGGGCCGAACACGAACCTGCCAATCGAGGCAAATCGACAACACTCCGAGACCCTCGTTGCCGTTACTTCCCCCAAACAGACGCGATACTGCCGCGTTGTTGGGTACAGCCAGGCAGATGATCGAGAAGCCCGTGATGAGCGGGAATATCCACTCAGGGAACAGTTCCCAGATAAAGATCCTACCACGCCACGTCAAAATCGTAAACAACGTGAGATGAACGTGTATATAACGTGGGGGTGAGTATAATGGGAGCGGGCACTCACACCCAAAATACGATTGTGAACACGCGAAGCTTCTTTCGTGCCGAAATGCCTCCTTGGAATAGCGCATCGAACATGGAGATGAGTGGGAGAACGCCAGGGTACAGCATCTTTGACGGGTAGAGCAAGATAGCTGGAAGTTGTTATCGTGCATACAGTCAGCAAGCCGATCATAACGCATAGAATGAGATAAAAGGCACGTACATCGCATCAAGCCACTGATACCATATCCCAGAAGCTGGCTCGCAAATAAAAGGAAGATGGAGGCATCCGCGTTGGGCGTGATGTTGTAGTACAGACGCTGCACGGCGAGGACCTCGGTGGCAAGGGCAGAGTTGGCAGCTGCACTAGCCATGATGACGGCGAACGCGTTTTCTTTCTTGTTAAAGGGCCCCTACAGAACACCACAAAAATGTTAGAATGAGAAGTAAACTGATCGGGAAAGGGGCTTGCCGGGTTGAGGTAGCGGAAGAGACCTTTGCGAGGTATGAAGCTCGCCATAAAGATCCCGAGGACGTAGGAGATGACGCCCAGGAACATCAGCGAGACGAGAATCGTTTGCTAAATTGCGATTAGTAACGGTGCATCCTGATTGTATGGATTCTACCAACCGGTTTGAAGTAGTAAATCTGGGCTGGGTGGAGGACTTAGTAATGTAAACTCAGCAATCTCACATGTAAGAACCTACCTAACACTCCTCCAAACGCCGAAAGACCCAGACCTATGATCATCGACCGTACCGTCCATGGATTGAGACTTGGGTCGTCCTCGACACTGATGATGTGTGTGACGATGTCCCTCTCATCATGTAAAACAACCTCCTCGTCGGCGGCCTGTTCGACGACGGACGCTTCCACGTCGGCCTGACTGTAAGTTGACTTTTCATCCGTCGGCGTGAGGGACTGTCGGTTTGCCGTGGAGTCCTTGGTCTCGACAGAGTCTGCAGGCATGAGGGAAGTCGACATGGCGCACCGAAAGAGTGGACAGTGAAGGAAAACCAGGAGGAGGAAGAGACCATCAGCTTATATGAAGTGTGAAGTATGGTTTAGCGCTGGAGGATGTTGTAAATGTCGCTATTCTTAGTGCCGATGCTTGAGAAGTCCTGTTTTTAACTGCACAGAAAGCGGATAGCGTGGCAAGGTATCTCTACCTCGTATCGATTAAGCGTTCATGGAGAGTAGCTGAGAAGCTGTTGCAAGCCGACGGCGAAGCTAAAATGCGCCCTAAGAGTACAGATAAGGCTGCCAATAAGGCCGCATCTATTATCCTGCGAATGCGAATGATTGGATCAGACATCCAGGGCATCCTGTTCCTGGCTAGCCGAGTGTGATACTTTGAGTTAAGGTATGTAACTTCAAAGGAACCCTGCTCAGATAACATTAAAACGTGACCAGGGGTGCCTCGAAAGCCGAAGTGTCTGCTCGACTGCGGTGTGGAGAACAGGATACCCTTTGAAGGTGTCAAGGAGGTATCAGGGCTGGGGGATCCGGAAGGAGAGTGAGTTCCCGTGAGCCACTCACAAAGGTGCGATACATAGTCACGAATGATGGAACCTTGGAAAACCGCCACCAGTGTGCCTCACAGGGCGGGCTTGTCATGTCAATTTTAGACCTATTTCTGCGAGTCCGTCTGCCCCGGGTCAGTTGAGGTCAACCGGCGATCCGGCGATGTAGACAAACCACTTAGGGGATAAGGGCACGCCAAAGAGCTTACTTTAATTCCTGCATATAGGTGAGGATGCTGTTGAGTGAATACCTTGAAGTGGTGGAAGCCTAAGCTCAAGTTACACAGCGCCGTTCGCCGAGGTGCCGTTGAACTCCGCTGCGGAGTCCTGTCAATACCGATGGCTGTGCCACCAGTCGAACTTAGGGCGCATCGCGACGCGTTTACGACGTGTTTACGACGCGTCAATAACACACAATCCACAGTCAAATGTCTTACATACGGTGACTGAGCGGATTTTGAGTGGTGGGAGGTTTCTTTGTAAACAAATGAGGCGCATCTGAATCTCTCCCACGAGCGCGTGTATGTCAGACGCGCGTCCTTCTTTGGCCTTCATTCTTGTTCTCTCACAGACATCCACCCGCACCCACGTCAGACATGTCAGATCACAAACCATCAGGCTCCTCCACCCTGAAGCCTGCACACGAACCCGTGATCGCTCAGAAGTTGAAAGACCGCGCAGAGCAACGGCGGCTGAAAGCCCAGGAGCGGAGGGAAAAGTCAGACAAGCTCAGGGAAAAGGCGAGCGATAATGCGCAACCCAAATACTTGTTCATCTTCTAACAACGTTCCATCAAGGGAAACGAGTCATTCAGGATTGGCCACTACGAATGTGCCGCTGACTTTTACAAGAAGGCGCAGAAAGTTCACGGAGAACGGCGCCAGCCCATCATCCTGTCAAACCTCGCGGCGGCGCTTCTCAAGCTGGGAGAGTGAGGATGCTCTTCCCATGCCGTCGTCTGAGGCTTCATACTCACTCTATGGGAAGGTGGGAGGGAGCACACTTTGCTGCAGAGGGTGCGCTTACTACGGATGCAACCAACCTCAAGGCACGTTTTAGAAGAGGTGTGGCCCGCAAAGAACTGGAACAATACGAAGCAGCCATGATAGGTACGTCACATGCCATCCGCGCCATTCCCCCCTCAGCTCTCAGCTGAAACGAACACCGCTCTCGTAGACTTTAAAGTCATCCTTGACCAGGACCCAAACAATGCCGAGGTAAAGGCACACTACGAGGCTGCCAAGAAGCTCTTCGACGCCGGGAAGGGCGTGCCTGCAGAGTTTGACGACGACATGCCCCAATACGATCCTACTGGCTCCATGTTCGAATCTGAGTCCGAGTCCGGGTCGAGCGATGCTGAACACGAAGGGAACAGCATCCCGTGTAGGTTCTACAACCACGACGGCTGCAAGCGAGGCCACGCCTGCGCTTACTCGCACAAGAACGATGACTTGAGCGTGAGGGATGGCCTGTAAGTTTATCATTGCTCGCTCCTTCCCTTACAACTCCATCCAGCCGTCTGACCACGTAATTTTTCAGAGGGAAGAATGTGTGCATCTACTTCCTCCTAGGAAAATGCAAGTTCGGCGCCGAGAAGTGCATCTACAGCCACACCAAAGCGTACCTCCCTGACGGCTGGTGGAATCACCCAGAGTACCGCGAGGCTTTCGAGATCGCTCTTCCGATGAAGCTCGAGCTTATTGCCGCTAGCTCAGGTTCAGGCCCGTCTTCAGGTATGCCGAAGAAGGGCAAGAAGAAGGGGAAGAGAGGTGGTAAAAAGAAAGTTATACCCAGCGTGTACAATTCCGACGACGATGACCTCCACGATGGAGGGGTGCTTGGCTTCTCGGCGAGCGACGTTGAAGAGTTGGCCATGCAGGGAATCAAGCCTTGGGATGATGAAGCAGCTGTATGCCCCTCCCTTATGTTATCGTCTATTCCATTCTAATTGCTGGATGTTACAGGACGCTCTTGCGGTGTTAAATGGTTACTATTAGACCTTGGGCAGATACCCTCTCTTCTTGTTGCGAATACTTGAATTGTTTGGCCCCAATCTCCCATTAGTCGTCTGAATGCCATACCTCGTAAATTTATACTTTGAAGAGCCACTGTAGGATGCAAGCCGAATCGATCTGACGTTGAACTACTTGATACAGTATATACGATATGCTACAATTTACTTGTAAATACATAGAGATAACGTTAAGGAGGGGTCGATTATAGCGAAAGAGATTAGAGGTGAGTAACAATCCCGATTAGTCAGTCCAACATATGGTAGCAAATGGTGTAAGCAAAAGCAAACTGGCGAAAGCTTTGATATAAGATCCAGAAACATGAACAAAGATGCAAAAGCACGATTAGCAGGGGTGTAAACTTGGAGACGACGGACCAACGCATATACAACTTGATTTCCGAAGACGAGGACCGTATCCCTCACGCTTTCCTCGGGAGCTCATCCCTTATCTGGTGCTGCAGCCACTCCTCGCACACGGGCCCACAAGGACCCACATCGCTGGCCCACATGCGGCCCTCCTCATAGGCCCATCTCCACGTCTGTGTGCGTTATACTCGTTGTAAGCATGTTTTCGCGCAAATCAAGAAAGAGGAGAATACATACCAAATACCGACACAGCTCCTTATCGCTCGGCTGCACCCTCTTCCACTCGTCGCTCGACCCCGTTCCCGTAACGTTGTCCGTACAAAAGATCCTGTACGAGTCCCATCCGTACCTTCCCACGCCGGGAAGGTGCGAGATAGGAGTCTTCGGGTACGGCCACGCCTCCCCGCCGAGGGCGAGGCTCACGTCAGCCTCAGAATCGCACGTCGACGGAAGTTCGGGTGGGTACCTCTCTCTAAGCGAGGCAGGTGCGCGTGCGAACTTTCCGTGCTCGAGCTGCAGCGTGCCCGTGCGCGGCGGGTGCTCGTGGTACGCTCTAGAAAGCTCCTTGAGCCTGATCGCGCGCGTGGACTGGAGGCCGAGCTTCTGGATCATCGCGACGAGTTCGTCGGTGTCCGCTGTATTTCATTACTCGATAAGCAAAACGCGAGACAAGCTGATGAGAGGTGGAAGGTGTACTCACCCTCCATCAAGTCCTTTGGAGTTGGCCAGCGTTCGAGCACCTTTCTGAACGTCGGAATTGCATTTCTGCCCCAGGTCTTGTTGAGAAAGACAGTCGCGACGAGGAGTTTCCAAGGATCGGCGGCGAACTCCTCTACAACGAAACACGGGAATGAGACATTAACGGGGTCATAAGTTTTCAGCAGAGCTCACCTTGAATCATAGTCGGTTTCAAGTCCCACCACTGCTCCGCCAGCTTCGGAAACCGCGCCAGGTCCGAATGAGGCTGGGGGTCCGCCGCAGTCCGCGGACGCTTCGGTGGGGGCGGGGGTGCCGCGTCGGCCGTTGACGTAACAGAAACTTTACGCTTCCGAGTGCGGCGAGTCTTTGGGAAATCCTCCTCGTCACTCTTGCCGACCTTGGTGGGCGGCGGTGATGCGCCTTGTTCACCTTTACCCTTATCTTTCTTTCTGTGCTTCCTCGGCTTTGCGCAGCTCAGGGGGCTTTTATCGTCGCCGACATTGCCAGAGGGGAGTTGCATCGAGTTCGCCTGGCTGCGGGGCCCCTTGATCATATCTTCGTTGGCGTCCACCTCTGCAACCTTGGTTTCGCCTGCTGTACTCCGTGTCCGTCGGCTTTGTGGACTAAAGTAAGGGGAGACGACGATAGGCCCAACATTTACGTCCACTGGCTCTGAGAGAGGCGCAACCCCGTCACTGCCCGTTGTCCTCACGGCCGAATCCACTTTGGAGGAAGACCTGGCAGGCGTTTGTGGCACCAAATGCTGCTCCACCGGCTCGAGAGCATAGTTCGGACTCGACTGGGGATCTAAAGAAAACCGTACTTGCTTGAATGGGGGAAGAGACGCTGAATCAGGTGTGGGAACAAAAGCCCTCTTGCGCTTGAAGGTCCAAGCACGGGTACGGCTCAGAGCGGGAGTCCCGTCGACGCGATGGTCGACATCCAAGGAAGGCAAAGCAGCCATTTGCTCGTCTTTGAATTTGACGCTCGTATCTGGTTTGTGCTTCCTGAGACGCCCGGGAATAGCTGAGCTGACCATGGTAGAATTACCTTCATCATCATCAACCGTCACCTCGGTCAAGTCGGCCTGAGTACCTAAACGAGATGATGCCCAACGAGTATGCAGGAGGGAGCGACATTCACTATGAGGAGACAACTGTGTTTGAGAGAGCGACACTTCGTCCACGTCACTAGTTGGAACGGGAGAGCGACGGACTCGTGTCTTTAAGATGCCTTTACGTTTGGCCGGTTTGGGAGCGTGGTGGGCACTAGCCATCGCACTGGGGAGTTCACCTTCGTTGTCACCTTCGTCTCCGCTGAGATCCGTTTCGGGAGGGTGAGAACGCCGAGATGAGGCTTTTCTTGGTGTTTCTAGAGGGACTTGCGAGCTACGATGAAAATGAGGAGAGTTGACTTCGAGGGAAGGGTCAATTTGGTTGGAAGAAGCGGCAGGTCTCGAATGAGCGGCGGACAGCGGCGCTAACTCAGCGGAGACCGACAGAGGAGAAAGATGTACGTAAGAATTGTCATGGACCTCGGGATAAGGAAGGCTAAAGACGTCTCCGTTCCCTGGCTGCGCATTGACTACGGATGAGGTTGAAGCAACGGGCCCCGCCCTATCCAGTCTATGGAGAGAGAAGTACGGAGAAACTGATGTTTTTGAAGGTGAGGGAGGAGCCGCCGCTTGAGCAGATGGTGAATGGGAGCCAGGTTTTAACCGTATTGACTGAGGGGAATCAAATTCATAACGGACCCTCTCGACAAAGGTCTTAGACGGCGTGAAAGGCATAGGTTCGTCAACGTCGCCAGATTTATGATAGGAAACAAGAGGACCAATATTTGACATGGAGGGTAAGTCATCGTCGGTAACGGTGTCAAGCCCATCTGTAGACATAGGCGTCGGGGAAGACCACTCCTCATCGGGGGCTTTAAATGTCCATGAATTGGATGACTTGACAGCGATTTCAGCGGGGCCACGGAAGCAGCTAGATCCCTCACGCATACCTTGCGTACTCTCTTCTTCTTGTGCAGCGGAGCGAATGTCTGCGCAACCTCACGACACCTACGAGTGCGTGGCGATGGACTTGGACTTGGTGGAATCTCGTCTCCGCTGTCGTTATCGAATCCGAGCTGTTTGCGCTTACGCCTGTTCTGCTCAATGATGAAGAGTTCTGCGCAGATGTTGATTTTTCCAGGAACTATGAGAAATCAAGCACGGTGAGTTCCCGTTGCCCCCAAAGACGCCGCAATTGGATGTAGAGTGCCTACCATCGTTGGACCTGATAAACTCGAGCTGCTCTTCAGTAAAGCGACCGTCTTTTCCTCGAGGGCTCATCTCGTGCCATGCTGGATTGGGATACTGGGTGGGCAGAGGCCAGTTGACCATTCCCTGTAGCGGATGGGGGAGCTATAATCAACGCGTCGCGTCAAGTCGCCGTCAAAGCATCCGATGTCAGAATTTGAGCTCAGCCGGGGGTTGCCGACGGTCACGGCCACAGGCTCCTACAATTAATGACGCCAGCCACGATCTGGTACTTCGGAACTGAGACTGACCTCCACATTGCGTTTCATAGCCACCGGAACACACTCGGAATGGAACTAGATGCAAACATGGAAGCATTTCAGGAGATACTCAAGCGGTCGAAGAACATCGTCGCGATTGCTGGCGCCGGACTGTCAGCAGGATCAGGTAAGATTACATCCCCAACCGCCTTTCTAGTCATGTTTATCTGTCTTTGTTCACGTTCCCCCATCAACTCCAGGACGAGGCTGACATATAAACATGTATAGGTATACCTACCTTTCGAGGTGCCGGTGGGCTCTGGCGGAAGTATGACGCAATCAGCCTAGCCACGCCTGAAGCATTTCGCAGCGATCCAAGCCTTGTCTGGCAGTTTTATCACTATCGACGGACTATGTAAGCCCCTATATTGGCGTCTTCTAAGCTCTGCTTTCTTAGGCATCCTCCCATGTTCCCAGTGCAGGACAGAAATCGCCAAATGCCGCACACTACGCTTTGGCGTCGCTCTCCATCCCCAGTGTTCTCAAGCGCGTAGCACCAAACGCCGAGAGCTTCACCCTCGTCACCCAGAACATCGACGGCCTCAGTACTCGAGCCTTTCGCGAAGTTGCTCAGCGTCACTCGCTCTCCGAACGAGACATCGACAATCTAACACGTGACACCATCATCGAGATGCACGGCCGCCTGTTTGATGTGCTCTGCACGGACAGCTCATGCGGCCATCGCGAGCACAATACAACCAATCCCATATGCCCGGCACTTGCAGGAACTGAGGAGATCACGGAGCGCCACCATGAGATAGACGAGTGGCCCGCCATAGCGCCCTTGGACTTGCCACGGTGCCCCAAGTGCGATGCACTCGCACGTCCCGGGGTCGTCTGGTTTGGCGAGGGCATACAGCGCACGTATACGATCGATTCGGTGGTTGAGAAGGCAGACCTCGCGCTTGTGGTTGGAACGTCCTCGACGGTACGTCGGCGGTTTATTTGGCTTGACACCTAGGTGCTGAACCTCTGCAGGTATACCCCGCTTCGGGCTACCAATCCATAGTTGCGGAATCAGGCGGAAACGTGGCTGTTTTCAACATCGACGATGACACGATCTCTTCCGGCCGACACCTGTCCTTCATAGGCAAATGTGAAGATATCTTGCCCACCGCGTTGTTCGGCGCCGATGTCCCCGAGCACCCAAAGGCTGTCAAAGGCGATGAATCATGTACCTAATCCCGGCGTGTCTCTCGGGCATGCGGTGCCAATCAACCATGTGTATGCAAACGGCGAATCTTTCAAAGTGCAATGCAGACAGAAGCACAGCCCGTATACCCATGAGAATCTGATGCAGATTACCCTTGCACAAGAAGGCGTCTTGCCTTTTCAGCTCTCGAGGGTCCTAGATAGACCCGTAGTACTCGGCTCTTGCCATCTACAGTCGAGAGAACCCGAATTTGTTTGGCGTGTGCACTGGTGAGCGGGTTTGAAATAAGTAACAGTAGAGCGCTCCGTGGAACCTTAAACAGCAAGGATGGCTGAGCCATCGCTGTCATTCTTCCCTTCAGTGGTGTATTTCACGCTATCCTGTCGGTTCCCATGTCGTTCCCTGTTTCTCTGGAGCAGATATATGAAATGTATGGCAGTAGCTACGCGAATGGTATGTGTGGATATTAGGACATCGTGTTCTTCTCTTCAGCTTCTGATCATCCGGAACCGTCGCTGTCTTCCTGTAGCCGCTAGTGCGACATTGACAATATATTGCTACAGTTCGTTGTTTCGCAGCCTTGAGAACGAAACGTAGCTTACCACTACATGAATTTACCACCATAGATCAAGAAGTAAGACATATATATTCAAGAAAGACGCTGACTCGATCTTCTTGATTCTTTCTATGCAATAGGTGGATTTGATATGGGTAAGCTTCATCGATGAATCAATGAACAGTACACTTGGAAACGCTAAACGGTTTCTCTTAAAAGACACCAGAAGGTTCACTTCCATTCAAGGTTTTGTTTGCAATAGTACGTTATTTCTTTCAAAGCTCGTCAAGAGATTACTACATTTGTACACTCTAAGTTAAGATACGGTGGTGTCCTCCTCGGTTTGTGAGATGCACAAGAAATTCACTAAAAACTTGTATGCTAAGTACGCTTTTGCTCGCAGATATCCATCATGTAAGACTCGTCGCACTATCGTGATAGTACCTGCAGTTAATGCCAATTGACTTAGTTACACACAATATCAAATTCCTGTCACGCAATGTAAAACCCTCTTCACTTGAACCCGCCCATTCTCCCGCTTACCTGTCTCACTTAAGGCGTAAGTACCATGTCTATACCTTGATTCTCAGCATACAGATGCTTCCCAGATGTACGAGTGTTTTGTTTCCTCTGTCTTTCTAAACAACGCATTCATATTTTATCAATTTAGGCATTTTCGACGTCATGTTTATGCAACTTGCACTAGAGTCGGTTATTCGCATTGTCCTAGACGGTACGATCCCTTCTTTGCGACCTGTTTACGTCTGAATCGCATGGGGAATGGGCTAGGGATTATGACATTACGGGTCTATGCCCTGTGTGGGAACCCAAAACGTGTTGCTGTCTTTCTTTGGTAGTGTTTCGGCGTTATACAATGCACAAGCGTCATCACAGCTGCAATGGCCTTCAGTAGTTTCCAGTTTGCAGGTATGGTCTGCAACATTTGCTTCTGACGCATCTCTGACATACACGGTTCCTGGGGAACACAGGGTCTATTGCGTCACCTGTTCCAGAACAGGGAGACTGCTGGTGGCTAGTCCCGAATGATGCACCAAATCTAATTGTAATCGGCAGATTTGCTAGCTGTGGGTACGAGTTTATCCTCGTCGCTATGGCTCTTTATTGCTTTGTCAAACACACGAAAGAGGGATGCCAAAGCTCTCGGCTCACCATCAATACGTTTTTTGGTGTTGTTGTGCGAGACAATATCATTTACTTTCTCATGTGAGTCACATAGCAATCTGTTTACATGATCGCGATAACCAATCATTGTCCTCTAAGAGCGCTCAGCGCACTTGTATTCAATGCAGTGTATTTCCTTTATCTACACGTGCATGACACACCGGGCTGGATTGGGTTCGAGGTGATGGATGCCATACTTGAATATTTTGAAGGATCCGTGCTCGGCCCCCTCCTTATGCTCAGTATTCGTAGCCATAACACTGCTCGGATCAAAGGGGGTACAGCTAGCAGCTATGCGATGGACTCGATACATTTTGTTGCGGCACCCACGCGATCGGAGAACCAAGAGGGGCATGTATGTTAGGTTCATTATTATTAAATCCCGTTCATTATCTTTGGGGGCATTGCCCTGTGTGAGGTACCATCTTGCTACGATTTAACTACGGTATCCGGGCCGACAGGGGTTAAACTAGTGCTTTTAAAGTTGCTCGTAGAACGTAGAGGAAAAGGTGGGTAGGGTAATAGAGTGTTGATATATAGTTATTAGAAATGTCGAAGCGGGTAAGAAGGAGAAATGGTGAATGAGAAGGATAAATACGTGTGTCAGGTTATTGTATTTGTAGTGTAACAACAATTTATTGACTGAGTAGCGTTAGTGAGCGCCTGCTGATTGATGCGCCGCGATGCTGCTGGAATGTAGCTAATAAATCTTCACATAGCCTGTTGGTTTGTGAAGCTCCCGTTCCAAATATATAGGGCATGGATATCCCACTGGAGGCCGAATACTAAGCTAGGCGCAACGTAGCCATAGCCGGCCATGGGGTCAGGGTGTCCTGACTATGATTTTCAATATACTTACGATTCATCTCTCCCCAGTCGGTAGTACCCTTCAAGCAGATGAACAACCTAGGAACGTCACAGCCTTGGATGCCGCAGAGCTTGTCATCGCAGACCCTTGATTCCTTGATGACTTTCTCTGCGCAGTCCGTGTTATAACCGGCTTTACTTGGACCTTACACTGTCACAGACGGCTGGTATAGTTGACGTGTCGGAGGTCACACCGAGGTCAGCGTGGAAAACATGAGGGGTAATAGAGCTAGAGTTGGGTAAAGTCTCTTTGCCGCCGCCAGCGACAGGTTCGAGATTTACGAACTGGCTCCTACGAGGGGAGCACGATACATTACAGGCAAGTCTACAGAAGCCATACTGACAGCGAAGGCGAGAAAGGGATATAGCGAAGGATTGAAGTGTGTCGACTAATTTTCGCCCAACGTGCGCGACAACCCCAGGAACTTCGTTCAGCATTAGTGGGCATTCGATTGAGGCAGTACCTACTGTGTCACTTTGGGCGGGCTGCTCAGAGAGATTCACGCTTCACACACGTTTATATGATATTATACTGAGCCCCAGCAATTCCTCTAGGTCCTGGCATGCCTACTGTGATGTAGTTACGCGATTGTGGCACCTATGTGATAGTTGTCAAGACATGCGTGAGATAATTACTCGCCTTGTATGTTCATTCCAGGACATGGAGTTGGATCAATGCATCGCCGCACACTCTAGGAAGGTCCACCATATGCATAAACCCCCATGAGTGTTAATTTTACTCTGGTATAGTTACATGTTTTCCCATATCTATATCTGGCATGTGTCTGATGGAAGAAATTTACGACCAGGAGAATGAACATTGAAAACCATAACTACAGCTAATGAAACGAGTAAACCAACGTTCCGATAGTATGCCTTTCCAACGCTGCGAATCACTAAGCGTCCCCATAGTTTTCCATTATCACCCTTAAGTCCCTCTCATTAATCCTAGGGTCGAATTTGATATCGCACGCCTGCTTCTCAGGTGTAATACCTCTCATATACACCATGTCATCCGCAGGCGGAGTGCGCATAGAGAGGCGGAAGCTCCACAGGACCATGAGCGCATTGATGAACACGGAACGGTTCGCAACATGTTGGCCGGGGCACACCCTAGACCCCTATATTTAGTGCAGAGAAAAGCACCACGAAACCATGTCTCACCTTCTCCCAAATCCGAATGTGAAAAACTTGAGGTCGTCTCGTAGTTGTCCCTTGCTGTTGATCCAGCGTTGGAGATCAAATTGTTCTCCGTTGGGGAAAACGTCTGGGTCACGCGAGATTGCCCTAAATAACACAATGTCAGTGACGCCGCCTCTGGTCACTACATGAGATGACCTACCAGTGATTTCCTATCACCGTTGTTCCAGCAGGGATACAATATTTTCCCTGCAGCCAAAGTTGATGTTAGCCCACACTAAGCAAATAGGGTAACGGCATACCCAGAAAACGTCTTCCGTAGTGCTATGTGGCAGACCCATGCCAATTATGGGGCGCCAACGTAGAGACTCAGATATAAACGCCCTAAGGTGAGGGAGCGAACGTTCGTCCGCAAAGGTGGGAGCTGATTCAGGTCAGACATTGATAGAACTTTAGTGCTTCAGTAGGTAGTACTCACGTTTGTCCCTTCCGATCACAGAGTCGAGTTCCTCTTGAACGGCGGCCTGCGCAGCGGGGAACAGGGCGGCGCACATCAGAACGGTGCACACCGCCAAAGATGTCTATTCAATGGAGAGTCAGCGAGTTGCATTCCCTGTTCGTGTAATAGGACGTGCGCACCGTATCTGAGCCTGCTGTAAAGAAAGAGCCAGCCAGATAGGCCATCTCTTTCTCGTTCATCTTGTACTCATCGGTGGTCTCCAGGAGGAACCTGCTGAAAGAAGGACCTGCATCGTTGCTTTTCTGAGACTCATACATCAAACCGTGGATGCGCTGTCGTTTGAGAGAGCTCACTCACAATATGCTCACGTACAGTTGCTAGTTGTCGCATGTACAACGCGGAATCGACATCGTACCCTTTCTTCAGAGCAGTACCATACCAAGGGAGATACTTCAAGAACGGATACGAGTCGACGAGATAGGCGTTTGGCTGTAGCGCGATGCGGATGCGATCCAGGGACCTGTGCACTGCTTGCACATCAGGATCAGAGGCAGAAGTCGGAGACATTTTTCCGTATGCGACTTGCAGTACCACGGACGCGGCGAAGCTAGTCACATTGTGTCAGCGACTCGTAGCGCGAGCGTATTTGACGGCCTACGTCTTAGCATGCGACTGAAAATCTTGCGGGCTGTCGAGAATGTTCAGGACCACGTTACGAACATGTGTCATTTGGATCGGCTCATAGCTTTCGGCTGCTTTCGGCTGCAAGTGAGAGTGAATAGCTCTGAAGGTTCATAGAACGTTGGCGGTTAAACACAATTAAGCGAGAAGAGTGAGGTTTGGTACTCACTTGCGCATCCTCTTGAACCTGTCGCCCGCCCGCGCAAATACCAGTCGATGATCTCCAGATAGCATCTCGCCGGCGGCGATCGTTCGCGGGCGATCCACGGAAGAGCTGCCTTGCTTCTCCATGATGTCCACAGCTGCTTGGTGCCTGCCGACAATGACAACAGTCCGGAGTCCCTGCTTAACGGTAATAACCGGGCCATATTCCTCAATCCAATGTTCTACCTCGAGGAAGGGACTGCGATCTCGTGTCAGCAGACGTCGACTCATGATTGACAGCGACTTTTTTTACGTACTAGGGCTGAGGAAATGAGTGTCCCTTCAACCAGTGCCCTCCCGCAGGACTGGGAGGAAGAGGGATGCCACTATTCGTCTTCTTGATGTTGAACAGAGCACCAGCAACGATGAGTGCAACAACGAGGCCTGGGACAGCAACGCTGCGGTCCACAGAGGAAAGAATGTTGGTGAGGTCGATGGATGAGGCCATAGGTCGCGAGTGACTGATAGTGTGAAACTTGTAGGTGACAATTGTGGCAGATTGAATCGATGTCGTTGTGCAGGACTGACGACAGGTACTTATAGGAGTCCTCCCGGAAGTGCGGGACACGGTGTTCATTCGAACGTTATGGCCATGACAAACGTCCGCCTACATGGGCGCGAGCAAAAGAAGCTCTTCGACATTCGGGGAAACGCAGGACGTCACAGGCGAAAGAGGGACTCTAGAGTGTGGGGAAGTTCCGGTACTCGGGTATGTTTATAGCCTGTCATGGGCGCCCCGTATGTCGAAGCTGCATGTCCTCCTATGAGAATAGGAGGTTATGTCTCCAAATATACATTTGTCTCCGAAGACCCTGAGTACATGACACGATCACTATGAGCAAAAAGGCCGATCCACATCGGATCGACGCAACTCGGTTCTCAGTCGAGGATGGTCTTGTGGTAAATCATCGCGTTAACAGGTCCGGATGACTAGGACTGAAGCTCAAAGCCTTCATTGACTTACGAGAAGAATGAGAGCGCCGCATCGAATGTAGTGAGGCGTACAGTACAATCTGGTGTGCGACTGGTCAGCATATCATGCCGAGCGTTGAGGGATTTAGGAGGTAATAGAGATGCCTATGAGGAGCCACTCGCCCAACACTCGCGATCAAATTGTTTTTGTTTGCTTCTGCATTTTCGGAAAGTTCCGTGTCAAGCGCCCTGCAGAGGTCCACCGCGTCTACACTCAAATCAAGGCCCTCACGGACATACCTGGATCCGAATGTTGGGCTGCCTATTCCTGGAACACATAAACAATGTTTGAATAATTAATTGAGATTACATTAATATTATCGTAGTCTGAGAGATTCACGCAGCCAATTCTTTTTGTATGAACAACAGATACAGTCAAAATACAGTATGAACATTAGCAGTGCGTTTATGATCCTTTTGAGTTAAACATCTAAATACACGCTATTAACTTTGGCACATGTCATACTATTGTAGCACTATAACCTTGAGTTCGTCCCATGTCCACCCGGAGTCCGAAATGAACTTAGTTAAGGTGGATAGTCCGCCCTCGGTCAACCTTTCCAAACTTAGAGAGGTGGATAGGCCTGCAAAAAATAATATTGTACCAAAATAAAACAAAAATACAAATATCACTAGCACTGGGGGCATTAGTCGGGTTTAATGATGTTTACACTAGTCTAATCAGGCCCGCTGACTGGCACGCTAGCCATACAGCGTCGTGCGCCGCGCGCGCGACTCCTTGCCCGCGAAGCGAACAGGCCCGCTGCCCGTCGTCTGCCGCTGCAGACTCGTTCTCGCCCGCTAGGTGACGAACGTTGGCTGACGCACCTCCGCATGGGGCGCGATACCAGGATCCGATCGCAGCTCGAGGGCTCACGCCGCAACCCCTATGACTGCGCAATAGGAGGTCTGCGGCTAGCCTCAAAAATGCAGCAGGCAAGGCGTTCGGACGGTGCTGTTTCGCTCACCTCCTGCGTCTTGCCAGGTACGTGCGGAGGACGGTTTTGAAGCGTTGGCTGTCTCACTCACTGCCTGCGCGTTGCCAGTTTCGCTCTCGATACTTCAGTCGTACCTCCCATCGGATCTCACCCCATGTCGACTGAAGATGGGCCGAGCCCCTCACAAACCAGGCAAGACGAAGCCGAAACCTCGAGGTCTCCTCTCGCGGCTATCCACGAAACATGCCTTCAAATTACGGGTCAATACGCCTCCGGCCGCATTGAGCGAAAGTTCGCCGCGGTCCAACGCCTTCTTCAAGCCATCACTGCAGAGTCGGCTCACGTCGAGCCCACCGACCGCGAGCGACTGTTCGACGAGTACAACCGGATTCTCGACGACCATGAGCTATCCCAGCAGAATGCCGTTTGGCAGGGAAAACAGCGAGCCGTCTCTCCTCCAGAGGATGAGTCCATGGCCGGTCAGTCAGATAGGGGTCGGGGAGAAAGGGACCACCAGTCTCCTCGCGAGGCTAGGCGTCACCTTGGAGGAGAGGATGAGGGTTCAGCCCACGGAGGAGGCAGCCAACGCGGAAGGCGGGTGCGTCGGAGAGTCGCCGCAGAGGACAGCTCCGACGATGACACCCAGCACGGGGGAGAAGGCGAGGACGGAGAGGATGTCGAATCCACGTACCACTGGCGCAGGCCCTTCGACGCCCGGAATCTCACATTATCGCCGGAGGAGGGGTGCGCCAAGACGTTACACCTCTACAACGCATGGTCCCCAAAGCCGAAGAGAGCGCGCTCCTCAATTCTCAACACCGTGGGCGCCCCTTTCTTCCCTGGAACCGAGTGGCTCAACATCATCCAAGGGTCGGCGGTCAACCTCGACATCGTCAATGCTAGTATCAACTCCGGCGCTGTCGGGGACCAGCACGTCGCCAACATTGGCCACGTTCTCGAGCTTACCCTCAAGGGGTCCGAGTCAACACACACTCTCGTGGAGCATGGACCCTGGATCGCCTCGTGGACATACGCCATTGACGCTTACAAGTTTGTCTTCCCCTGGAGGCACGCTGAGCTCGCCGATTACCTCCGACATATCTCCAAGCTCTTTGCATCTACGGTCCCTGCCGCGCACGCTCGAGTCGCATCCTATGACAGGGCCGTCCGTAACCTTGTCGGGCAGCAGCGCAGTCTCAGCCTCAACGACTACGCCGCATTCGGACATGTCCGCCTATCGCACCTCAGCGCGATCGGGGCATCTGCTGCCACTATCCCCGCCGGACGGTCTGATGGAGGTGGATCCGGAGCTGGGCGCCGACGACGGTCGGACGAGGTCTGTCGTCGATTCAACCGCAACGCTTGCCCGAAAAAATCCAATTGCTCCTTCCGGCATGCCTGCGACGAGTGCGGGGGCTCTCACCCTCGAACCGAGTGCAGCAAGCCCAAGAAGTGAAGGTTGGATGTTTGATGACGACGGCCCCATCGCACGTCGGGGCCTTATCTGGTCACAAACACGTAATTACACCAGTAAAACAGTTATCTGGACTGAGACTGCCGAACCATTGCCTCGTCCTCCTGCCTCTATCTTACAAGATCCGATTGCTACCGCTACTATATCACAAAACCCAGATCTCTTTCGTCTCGTTTCACCTATTGACGTTGATCGTTTCCAGTCTTTGCTACTCACTCATCCGAATCAACCCTTTGTTCTTTCTGTTTGTGATGGGTTTCGTACCGGATTTTGGCCTTTTGCACATACTCCCCCTGACTCTTACCCTCATACGTGGGACCAGTCGCAGCGGGCACAGATTGACGAACCAGAGAGGGTGTTTCTGCAGTTGCAGATCGATGAGGAGGTACGGCTCGGGCGGTTTTCCCCATCATTCGGTGCCGACCTTCTGCCGGGGATGTACAGTTCTCCAATTCACGCAGTCCCCAAGGCAGGCTCGGACCAATTCCGGTTGGTGACTGACCAAAGCAAGGGATTGTACTCGCCCAACTCGCTTATCGACCGAGAGGACATTGCGGGGATGACCTTGGACACGGTCCGAGACTTAGCATTTTCCCTCCGAGAGATGAAGAAAAAACACCCAGGAGAAACACCCATACTCTACAAATCGGACGTCAAAAGCGCCTACCGTCTCATCCCCATGCATCCGTACTGGCAGATCCGGCAAGTTGTTACGCTCGGCGCCAGCCGTTATGTCGATCGGTGCAATTGCTTTGGCGGGCGAGCAGCCGGGCGCCTGTGGCACGCATTCATGTCCCTAATGCTTTGGCTCACGGTGCACCGGCAAGGAGTGCAGGCAGCGTTTTTGTACGTTGATGACGACCACGGAGCCGAGCGTCCACTCAACCTCCGCATCTATCAACCCTATGCACGTGTTTTTCCCGCTGGGCAGGCATTGACTCTAGAGCTATGGGATGAGGTCAGGACGCCCCACGAGGAAAAGAAGCAGATCAATGGGAGCGTGCTCACAATAATCGGCTTCCTGGTTGACGCCATCAATATGTCGGCAACCTTGCCCGACGAGAAGCGCAAAATCCTGATCCAGACCATAGAGGCCTTCGCACATGTAGGCCTCCGCCCGACAGTGCGCGAGTGCCAGCAATTGACAGGCCACGTCAACTGGTCACTGAATGTATTCCCCCTCATCCGTCCGTGCTTATGCGCACTGTATGACAAGCTGGTTGGGAAGAATCAGCCCAATGCCACGGTCTGGACCAACAAAGCAATTGTCGACGACTTGCTTTGGGGGCTTACGCACCTACGCTCGCTCCCGGGGGTGTTTTTCTTCGATTCAGTCCAGTGGGACCGTGAGGCGTACGAGTCCGCTGTCATCGCTTTCACGGATGCGTGCCTCAGTGGTATGGGTATATGGTATCCGGTGATTCCCGGCGCATTTTACGCTCCTGTGGCTGGCGAAAGCCGGCCTATCTTCTACTGGGAGGCGCTCGCGGTACTCTGCGCTCTTCGACTCCTTCGCCCGGTGGTCCCGGAACGTTCGCGTGTCCTCATATACTGTGATAACCAAAACACCGTTCAGCTTTTCTCCACTTTGGCGGCGAAGCCGGCGTACAACACCATACTAAAATCCGCTGTTGATATTCTGATTGAGAAGAACTGGGATCTGCGGGTGAAGTGGATTGCTTCCGAGGAGAACGCCGTGGCGGACGCAGTCTCACGTCACGATTTTGCGAAGGCGGTTCGTCTATGCCCGAGGCTCCAAATCCAACCAGTTGCGCCCCCGCCTGATCTGGCGGGCGCGCCACCTCTATGAGTTCCGCACGCAACACGTCCAGGCCATGTCGTCCGGCCTGGACGCAGGAACGGTTCGACCACGAGCTCGCGGTCACTTTGGGCTATGCGGTCGATCCCTCGACGACACTTGCGTACACATCGGCACTTAACTCATATCTCGATTTTTGTCGCATACATCACTTCCCTATTCAACTGACGTCGGACACCTTCGCCAAATACATAGTCTTCATGCAAACCTACATCCGCCCCAAATCAATCTCGTCTTACCTCTCCGGCATTTGTAACCAGCTTGAGCACCTTTATCCGGAAGTTCGGGCAGTCCGCAAGCATCCCCTTGTCGTCCGCGTCCTTCGTGGATCTCACCGGCGCTGCGGCGCGCCTGCCACGCGCACGGAACCTCTATCACGAGAACATCTTCGCTTTGCGGCTGACACGCTACTTCCGGACTCGTCATTTGACGATAGTCTCTTTTTAGCGCAGCTTTTGGTTGGATTCTACGCACTCATGCGTACGGGCGAACTCGTGGTGCCCGACCGCCGCGACCTCCTTAATCACTCCAAGTTGTCAATGCGTCACACCGTCAACATCTCGCCCGACAACATCACCTTCTCCCTGCCACGCCACAAGGCCGACAAAACCTTCCAGGGCGACAGAATTGTGATCACGACGACAGCCCGCCGCCCATCGCCACGTGATGCCCTCCTCAACTACCTTAAAATGCGCGACGACCGCTGGCCTTGCAAGCCCCACCTTTGGGTACGAGCCAGTGGCGCCCTACCTACGCGAGCCTGGTTTATGGGTCGCCTCCACACGCTGTTCCCGCCCACCATCGCCGGTCACTCCCTCCACTCCGGGGGCGCAACTGCTTTGGCGGAGGACGGCGTTCCCGCCGACCGTATTCAGGCACTTGGGCGATGGTCTTCCGACACTTGGAAGATTTACGTGCGCAAACACCCGGCCCTACTCAACACTTTTCTCTTAGCTAAGTAGCCGTCCCCTTGAATCGCTTCTCAGCCTCCTTTCATCGTTACTCTCAGTTTACCTCCATTCACACTAAAACCGAAAAAAAAAATCAATAGGCTATACGGGTCGGAGGCTTCGAGCCTCGTTCACTAGCTACGTTTCATTAATTATGCCCTATGCTACTACGTTTTTTACCTCGCCATGCTAGCTTGTACCGCATATGTACCGCCGAATACACGTCTCGCCCGGGTTGCCGACTTCGGTCGGTAATCGCGGCACCATCTACTTCACCTGCTGTGCCGCCCGGTGACACGCGAGGTTTCCGTGATTAGACGATATTTCCAGGGGAAACATGTCAAAAACATTTTAAATGTTTTGCTAAAAATGCCAAAGTTGGAAAGTGACCTGCCCAATTGGGAAGGTAACCCTCAAAACATTTTGAATGTTTTCTACGAAAACATGGGCAATTGCCCCAGTGACTTATAAACATCAGTTGCATCGGAAGATATCCCTGGTTATAATATCCTCACTTCAGGTTCAAGGCAAAAGGGCCACGCTTGACCGGAAATGGTGGGATAATCAAGTCTCTTTGTTTTTGAACGTTTGAACACGAATAATGTTCACCAGCTGGCTACCCGTCGAACTTGTTGGGGTGGACAGGCGGGCACTGGGGGCAATTACCCATGTTTTCGTAGAAAACATTCAAAATGTTTTGAGGGTCCCCTTCCCAATTGGGCAGGTCACTTTCCAACTTTGGCATTTTTAGCAAAACATTTAAAATGTTTTTGACATGTTTCCCCTGGAAACATCGTCTAATGCCCCCAGTGGTGGTTTAATTTAACGTTTTCCCGCGCCTGCATACAGAGTGACGTGGCGAGCGGACCGCGGCGGCAAACGGACCGTGAAGACCGTAAGTTTGCAAAACTTCTTTATACCTGTCTCCCTTCGGATCCAGGAATATATCCGCTATAAGACTTGACATCATCCTTTCAATTCACTCTCGACTCGTAAGGACATATCTAGGCTGACTATGAACTAAAGATGGTCATCTTGTCCGCGCTATACACTGACAGCGCAGGTCACAAATCATCACCATAGTTCTCAATCATCGCTCTTAGGTCTTTCTCAGACACCCTCGGCTCGAACTTGATATCGCAAACCCGCTTTACGGGTGTAACGCCCGACATGAATACCATGTCATCCGCAGGCGGCGTGAGCGTAGATAGGCGGAAGCTCCACATAACCATGGCTCCGTTGATGAAAACGGAGCGGTTGGCGACGTGTTGGCCAGGGCATACCCTAGTTCGTTGCTCTAAGCATATTGTAAGGAGCGCAAGGACTAGGAGTTCCCTTACCTGCGTCCAAATCCAAATGTGAAGTACTTGAGGTCGTCTCTCATCTGGCCTTTGCTGTTGATCCATCGCTGGGGGTCAAAGCGCTCCGGATTCGGGAACACCTCTGGGTCGCGAGAAATCGCCCTAGATTCCTGCACGTCAGAGCGCGACGCGTGCTTCCGAGAACGCATCTCACCAATGGTTTCCTACAACGGTGGTCCCGGCTGGAATGCAGTAGTTTCCCTGACGTCAGGTCAGTTATCATCCTGTGCTACAGAAACACCGAGTATCTCACCCAGAAAACGTCCTCCGTGGTCCTGTGCTGGATACCCATAGCAACTATGGGGCGCCAACGCAGAGCCTCCGAGATGAATGCCTTGAGACGGGGAAGAGAGCGTTCGTCCGAAAACGTGGGGACTATCTGGACTTAGACATGCATAGCACATGACCAATTGGTTTGTCTTTACGTACGTCTGTCTCTCCCAATCACAGAGTCAAGCTCCTCCTGAACCGCAGCTTGTGCCTGGGGGAAAAGGGCCGCACACATGAACACGGTGCAGATTGCCAATGATGTCTGTGTAACGATGAGACCGGGTATTCACGTCTAGAGTTTACGCGGTAAGGCCAACAAACCGTGTCAGAGCCTGCCGCAAAGAAGGTTCCTGCAAGGTACGCCATTTCATGTTTGTTCAGCTTGTGCTCGCCAGTGGTTTCCAATAGAAACCTGCTAAACGATGGTCCCGCGTCGCTGCTTTTCTGCGGTTTATGCCTCAAAGAGTGAATACATCGCCATGATGAGAACTCACTCACGATTTGCTCACGCACGGTTGTTAGTTTCCGCATGTACAGCTCGCTGTCGGCCTTGTATCCTTCCTTCAGATCATTGGCATACCAAGGGATATACTTTAAGAACGGGAAAGAGTCGACAAGGTAGGCGTTGGGCTGTAGGGCAACACGGACGTGGTCCAGGGCTCTATGTACGGCCTGCACATCAGGATCGGAGGCCGAAGTCGGCGTCATTTTCCCGTAAGCTACTTGAAGCACCACTGATGCGGCATATCTGCATTAGCAGGCAATGCGTGATTCAACATGAGAAGCAAATATAGCATGCGGTATGGAGGACTAACGCTTTAGCATGGAGCTGAAAGTCTCCGGGTCTGTCAAGGATGTTCAAGATCACTCTGCGGACGTGTGCCAGCTGAATCGTTTCGTAACTTTCAGCCGCCTTGGGTTGCAGATGCGAATGAACCGCCCTGTCGAGCAAGAAGACGGAAGTTAATACGCTGGACTAAGCGAATGGAGGTATGTTTGAAACTCACTTGCGCATCCTCTTAAACCTGTCGCCCGCACCCGTGAACACCAAACGATGGTCACCGGACAGGATCTCGCCCGCAGCGACAGTGCGTGGTCGGTCCACTGAAGAACCGCCTTGCTTCTCCATGATGTCGAAGGCGGCCTGGTGTCGGCCGACGATGACGACAGTCTGTCGGCCTTGTTTGACGGTGATAACGGGGCCGTACTCCTCAATCCAGCGCTCTACCTGGAGAAACGGGCTGCATCTTGGCTTTAGCTGGCGGCGGCCTGATGATAGAACGATCTAACGTACTAGGGTTGAGGAAAGGCATGTCCGTTGAGCCAGTGAGCTCCCGCGGGGCTGGGGGGAAGTGGAACGTCACTACGTTTCTTAGTCTTGCGCAGCAGCGCACCGGCGAGAATGAGTGTCGCAATGAAGCCTGGGATGGCAATGCTACGGTCGAGGGAGGAAATTGAGGTGGAGAGGTCAATCGGTGGAGCCATGGGATACGGGCTGAGTCGAGGGCGACGTTCTAAACCCCCGATAGAACGCTACGGGTACTTATAGAAGTCCCCTCGGAAGTTCGGGTAGTGCTCTACTTTTGAACGTTATGGCCATTGACAAACGTCCGTCGACAGGAGCGTGGACAAAAGAAGCTCGTGTCCATTCAAAAGGAAATAAGGGCGTCGTGGGGATGTTGCATTCAGGGCCTGTGTGGTGAAGGCCTGGAGTTCGGATATGTTCGCAACTCGACCAGTCTGCTTATTCTGTATGTCAAAGGGCATAACCTTGAGCTTCTCTATCCGCCTGTGAGAATAGACGGCGTCCACAAGTGGAATTGTCTACGCAGACATTGAACACATGACGCGACCAGAGCGATCGACGTGGGATTGACGCTGCTTGTTTCAGAGAAGCACTGACACGTGGCCAACAGCGTACTGAGCCAGAGCAGACATCCAGGCCAAAGTGTGTAGTATCATCCTGTCACGAGGAGATATTGAACGAAGACAATGTTCAAGAAACGCGGATTACACACCGCCTCTCCAATACGTAGTATGCGTCCTATTAGTATTCATCATTCTTGTATAGTTGGTCATAGCCGCAGAAGACACGCTCCGGGAGTCAAAGGCCCCGCTTACAATGAGATGATGTCGTCAAAGGGTCCATTCAACGTAAAGATGCTTGTGTCACTGTTCCCACGTGGCGAAATAGATCTTGACACACCTTGAAGGTCAAGGAGATTCTTATTAGTTATCCATTTCGTAGTGCCAGAGTTGTGCCAGAGCCCTTCCAACGACGCGACCACCTGCAGCGCGAACCTTTGTTTTTGCGAGCGTGAGCCTTTGTATATGCATGTGGTCTAAATCTCATATGACCATTGACCTTGAACTGAGTCAGGACTCACCGGTCTCGCTGACATGGATCCGCAATGACTTCTGGCCAGTAGGTCTATCGCGCTGCGGTGGATACAAGTCGAACATTTAGGCGAGACCGGGTGGCTGAGACACAAGGCGCGTCTGTGCACCGAGCAGTTGGGTTGCAAGATCGAGCAACCGACGACTCGGAATGGAATTGCATCGTTTCTTGGCACCAGCTTCTGTAGTCTGTACCAAGCACACACAAATACATCCCTCTGCTCCGCCACCAGCTTAGGCTTGCTTGCCGCCAATCAGCATGATATTCGAGTAGTAACTGCAAATCCCGGCAAGTGCTAAACGAAGACATGAGGTGAGACGAGGCGAAATGGAAAGCCTCAGACAAGGCCTCATCAACTGACCATTCAGGATTCGTGAAGAGGTGGGTATTGAACGTTGAACGCATGCAGGAAAAGAGCTAAAGAAAGTTCTATCTGCGAAGAAGCTTGAAAGTTAGCGGCTGATATGTCGATATGACCATTGATTGAATCAGGCAAAGTCAAGTGTATCCTTGGCGTCCCCGGAAACCCTTTGATATCGCGAGTAACCTCAGGCATCGGCCGCAGCTACCGATGGGCCCTAGATGTCTTGGGATGCCGGTCGCACGAAGTTGTGCGTTTACATGACGAACCCGAAAGCGGAAGAGATAGATGCAACTAACCTTAATCTTATGGGTCCTGTGTTCTTGCTGATATGAGTCGCCGATGCTTCTCATGAAGGGTTCGTCTCGGTATCGGAGCTGTTCGTATCGGATAATTTCTGAGCATCAAAACGGGAGGGACAAGCTAAAGTTGAACACTGCGCCCGACCAATTATTTGCCTGTGTTATTGGTAGCAGCTTTGACATCAAATAGATAATCAATAGAGACAAATATGCCCCTTTCCGCTCCCGCGACTCAACCATGCGATAGCGGTATATTCGACAAAAGCTCTTATAGTGCGTGTACATGAAGGGGCCTACGTACCCACATAAATATCGATAAGTTCCAAGGCAGGTATAGACGATAGCAAGTGAATGAAATGAGGTGAGGTGGGATGGGACAATAACCACAATCAATCTGACCAATAATCTGACTAACGTGCCGTCGGCTGAACATATCACCATACGAGGTGCTCTTGTAAACTGAAGTCCTAATAAAAACTGCCCATTTCCAACCACAATATCAAGAGGTCAGAAACACATCCGGGATGCCATCAAGCGACCGAAGCCTCACCTCTAAAAAATACGACATGACCCTGGAGGGGGGAGAAGGAGAAAGAAGGAGAAGCGGGGAAAGGAGAAGGGATGGTCTACACGACCACGCACCCTTCCGCCCTGATGCCAAGCTCCTGCAGCTCTTCCTCGGCCGCCTCGCGCTCGTTCTGCTTCAGCTTCGCCTTGGCCTCCACGGGGAACCAGTCCTGCATAAAGTTGAGCAGCGCCCAGTCCACATTTTCTGGATCCAAAATATCATAACCCGTTAGCTTCGATGCACTCGTGGATGTAAAGAACTAACTTACGTCGATTGGCAGCCAGCACCGTCGGCGACCTGCACATCGGGCAGTCTGCCCTCCCGCGCTTCTGGAGCTTGACGAGGCACCGCACGCAAAACAGATGGCCACACCGCAGGCGGATCGGCTTGAACGCGAGGCTCGTGCAAATCAGACAGGCATAGTCATCCAGGTGGGGCACAATCGGGAGAACGGTCTCGCTCAGAGCCTGAACGAGCAGGCGTGGGAGGGAAGTAGGGGGCGCGGGCATGAGTGCGAGTGAGTCCGGAGACGAAGAATTATGGGAAGAAGGTGAAGAGGGTGAAAGAGACGAGAGAAGGTATGGTGGAAGGGGGAGTGCTGTACGTTTGGTGTGTTTTTTGAGTATCTTGCGGGTCGCCTCGGATGTAGCGTATTGGAACTGTCCGAGGAGGTCAGTACATCCATGCCCCGAACCTCGTGACGAAAGCCAAGACTTTGCTTGGTATGCAAGAGAAGAGAAACGGAGAAGAAGGGAGTGGCCGTGACGGGAAAATTCTAACGGACGAACCTTTTTCAAATCCAATATAAACACGTTCATCCTCAAAAACGCTTCCATCGTCTCAGCGCTGCTCGCCAACTTCATCCTCCCTCCCCGTCCGTGCCCCTTACCTTCCTCTTGTTTCGCGACGAACCCACCCTCCTCCAGTTGGCTCGTGAACCTGTTCCACCGCCGCTCAACCTCCTCGATGCTTCGTTCGCCGCGCCTACTCTCCGACACACCTTCAAACACCTCGGCGTCGACGTACATCTGCAAGACCTCCCTCCACGCATACAGGTCTGACTTTCCCCGGCCGTTTCCCGAGACGCGAAGCGTCCCCGCGTCAGTCGAGACGGGCGAGTAGGAAGTGAACGAATGGAATGGAGAAGCGGACGCTGATGCGGGCCGAGCGGAGGAGGATAGTGAGAGTGAGAGGTCGCGCAGGGCGCCGATGAAATCGTCGTGCACGGTCGCAAGGTGTGTCGAGAGCGAGGTGAGCGCACTGCTGAGCAAGCGAAAGAAGGCAGCGTCGGAGCGGAGGGGGATGACGACCTCGCCGGGACTGAGGTTGCTGTCGAAGCTGTCGGTGTCCGCACTGGGCGTCTGGCTGACAGTATCCGGATCCGCATCGTCCCGGGTAATTGAACTCTCGAGCGTATTAGCATGGGCCTGTACGGCCTCGAGAATGCTTGTCGGCGGCTGGCTATGACCGTGTGTACCGTTGGCTATGCTTGACAGCAATGAATCGGGTAACTCGGTGCCATTGACCGACTGTACTGAGAAGCGGAGCCTAGGTTCGATGTAGGTATCTCTGGGCACCAGCTCGTACACGATAGTGGGGTGGGCGTCATCGATGCTAGCACCAACGGCGGACATCGATTCCGGCAGTCCTGAGACATTGGGGTCGGTCGACGAGGAGACGAGATCAGCGTCAGGGGAGAGCTCTTCGAAGCGCGCCTTGGAGGAACTTTCAAGGAGAGTCTGCAGAACTTCCGGGCTGAGACCAAGGCCAGAGAGCTCTGCGACAACTTGGTTGATGAGCTTCTTGAGCTGGTCGTGTGACAGGTAAGTGGAGGATCGCACGGGTAAAACAGATGAAGACCTGCCTGACGGTACTCTATCGCATTATCCCTGAGGTCTGGAGGAAGAGTGAGGAGGAGCTGGCTATAAGACTTTGCGAAGTGCATGTGTTATGGAGTATATCATGCTGGCAGGTGTAAGACCATCAAATTACACAGCTCAAGGCACAGCGACCAAGACCCGGTTTTGACCCTAACCTAACAAAACCGGTCCAGTAGCACAGCATTTTATCGCGTGCCTTGAAGGCGCCTGAAGCGCTCGCCACAAGCTAACCAGGAACTGAAACTAGTGAGCCTGAGGTGCCTGCTATCTTACGATCGTAAACTCTTCGTTCTCTGGCTTCAAACATCGTGATCGATGTACTCGCTGAAAAGATACACTGCATTATGCCTCATCTTCCTCGTATGTACCCATCAACGAATGGGAGTCCTGGCGTTGATCTCTCCCGCATAGCACCCTTGCGCGCGGAAGAAAAGTGCATAGTCAGTATGGCTAATCGGAAGCGAAATTGATCATGGGCTAGTTGATAGACATTTGGAGCTGCAGAGCATAACCGAGAGGCCTGTCAAAACGAGCGTACCCTCCGTTGTTTGTGGGCAAGCAGTCATATTGGTCATTAAGAGCACGGAAGTGAGTAAGCACCAAGAGCATGAATGATCAGCCACGTTTGGAGTCAAGCCAGGATGTTCTGCGTATAACTGAAGCAGATGAAGGAGGAGAACAAAGTGCGAGAGCTGCTCGCGCTTTACGTCGCGGGTTGCCTATTGGGGAGCGCGTCCGGACAGGGTCGACGCGTCGTTGGTCATTTGCATCTCACAACCATCCAGCACTACACCCAACAGGCGTCTCGTCCACGACTCTCCGGTTTGAGTGTGACTCTTATGCATGCTATGCTTGACGACATGCATGCTACTGCGGCTCGGTCGGGCTATCAGTCTGTCTCTCGAGTAGGATATAAGCAACCTCATCTCCCTCCCGAATGCCCAGTCACCAGTTGTCTTGTAACATCCCGGTCACTAACATCATGGCTTCAACCTTCGACCTCTCTGCGCTTTCGAGCTCTCTCCTGTTCCGTAACCTAGCCATCCCGGGTCTCATCGCCGTACTGGTCGTCGCTGGCTCCCTCGTCCGCTGGACAACCAACCACCGTCAAATCCCCCTCCCTCCCAGCCCACCCGGTAGCCACTGGCTGAATGGACATACCTTCCCTCGCCGCAAGTACGTGTCTTACTCAAACCTCCTCACTCCGCGTTGACAGATCCAACGAACTCAACCCTTTCCTCCAAGTCGAGCGCTGGATACAAGAGTACGGACCCATTATCACTGTCAAACAGGGCCTCCAGACCGTCGTCATCATTGGGCGGTACCATGCTGCCGTCGACATCCTGGAGAAGCAGGGAGGGCTATCTACGGATCGGCCAAGGTCCGTCGCAGTCGGGGAGATTCTTTCAGGCGACCATCGACTAGTGCTCGCGTCTGGGGATAGGTTCAGGAGGATGCGCAAGTAAGTCACGAAGCCTCAATGTCTGTATTATCTTACTTATAAACGCGATGTGTGACAGAGCTATGCACTCACACCTACAACCAAAGGCAGCAGAGAGCTACCAGCCGATTCAGATGACACACGCCCGGGACGTGATTCTGAAGATCCTCGACAAACCTGAGGACTTCCAGTCGCATGCCTCAGCGTAAGCACTCTATTTCCCCAAATGATCTTTCCATCTAAGTGCATAACCTTTTCAGGTTCGCAGCCTCAGTAGTCTTGCAAGTCGCATACGGCAAAACGTCACCAACCCTCGCGAATGACCCGGAGGTCCAAGCTGTGCACCGCGCTCTGGAACGTATACGCGTTGCGCTTCGGCCGAACGCCTACCTCGTCGAGTCATTCCCATTCTTGCGATATCTTCCTCTGTATGCTCCAGAGCTGAAGCAAGGGTACAGGGAAGACTCTGAGTTATACATGCGACAACTCGGAGCTGTACGCACGCAGATGGTTGGTCGTCCGCCTCTATGCAACGGTGCCGAAGTTTTGCTGATAGACGATTGACAGAACAACGACGAAGGCGGCCCGTCTTTCAGCAGATATCTTCTCAAGAATGAAAGTAACCACATGTTGAACGAGCTGGAGATGGCGTACTTGGCTGGGTCTTTCTTCACCGCAGGATCCGACCCGGTACGTTCGTTTTGCCATGTGAAGTCGAAGTGCCTTCGACGTTGACATATTTCGCAGACGGCACTAGGTATCTGCACCGTACTCATGTGTGCAGCGCTTCACCCCGAAGCGCAGGCTATAGTGCAAAACGAGATTGATGCCATCATTAGAAGGGATAAAGGTACGTTCTCACTCCACAAGTTCATTACGCCTAGGCATTCTGACTTGTTCCAAAAGCACCCACCTTCGCCGATGAGAACGCTCTCCCTCAGCTGAAGGCATTCATTTCAGAGGCTTTGCGTTGGCGACCTATCGTGGGGATGGGCTTCCAGCACAGGACATCCGAGGATGTGGTTTGGGTACGTGCTCTTAAACACCTGTTTATGTGGGACACTTGTCTGACGACCGTATAGGGTAACTATTGCATCCCTGCTGGAACGACTGTGATGGGAAACCACTGGTACGATAATTTGCTACGAGCTAACGGCGAAGTGCTGACTTTGACATTACTAGGGCAATCTCCCGTGATCCCGAAGTCTTCCCCGACGGCGACCACTTCAACCCAAAACGTTGGAAAACTTCCAAGGGTGAGATGCGAGACGACATCAGGTTCTTCACTTTCGGCTTCGGAAGACGGTAAGCACATCCACTAGATATTTTCATATGTCGTTGGTTGACGGTATATTTGAATAGGGTATGCCCTGGCCAACACGTAGCAAACCGCTCAGTATTCATCAATACGTTACTTATTCTCTGGGCCTTCCGGCTTTCAATGCGGTCGTCGCAACCTGTGGATGATACGGCCTACATGCAGGGTGTCACTCCGAAGAAGCAGATGTTTGATATCGGCTTCGAGCCAAGGATAGAGGAAAGGGATTTGAGAACGATGATGGATGAGTATGGCGGCATGGAGTGATTGATGATATTTCCTTGGCCCTCGGGTTGCTCAAGTGGTCGGTAATTAATGCGCATGGGAAGAGAGTTCTAGTATGATAACTCAGCCCGTTTGCTCGTCTTTTTTCATTGCCCTTTTTATGTGTTTCAACATTTCCAGACGGTAGGGCTCTATGCGGACTGCGAGTGGTATCTGGAAAGTTTCGTATTTATTGTGCAGATCGTTATGTCAAGCAGGGTAGCACTAGTACTATGTCTCACTTTTTATATCACTGACTTGGACTCCTTTCTGCTCCCATGAGTATTATCAAACTAATATAATTTGTGTTGTTCGAACAGATGAGTTTAGTTTAGACGCCGCTTGAAGTTCCTGCGCTGACCAAGACGAGAATTACAAAGGGCAAAACCTAACCCTAGCGTTCGACAGTCTTACCAATCAACCTACTTACAAGAGCGCTCACCTTCCTCCTACGAGCGCTTAGTAGCCTTATCAATCACTGCGGCATCCCATCTACAACAGCTCTCAGCTCACTTCCATCAATCTGCTTAACCATGACCAATCAGCGTACACGAAAGGTCTCTAACTCCTGTATATGGGCTGACTAAAAGGACAGCTCCCCCCCTTAGAGAGCAATGTGCTCTCTTTGGGGGACCGCGAGCTGACAAACGCGCTTGCAACGTCGGCGCGTCGGCGCTCAAGATATAAGAGACTTCAGAACTCCAAGGAGCATTCGAAACAAACCACCATCGAGCTCGTCGTCGCTTCTTACTCTCTCGTTCTTGCAAGCTCTCAATCAACCACCACAAGAATGTCCGCTCAACACGTCACCCTCCCCGCCCCCAGGCCCAACCAGGCTTATCTGGAAGTCTCTGCGCTTGACGGAGGGCGCTTCTCCTACCCGGCGTGGTGGATCCTCGAAGGTATCCCCAAGACGTCGACCGAGCGTATCCACGCGCCCTCGCTTGCGTTCTTTCTGCGTCACTCGCAGTCGGGCAAGCAAGTTCTGTATGACCTTGGCTTGCCCAAGGACCTCTCCGTCTTGCCAAGCCAGCTCCCCGAGTACGTGATAGGGAAGGGAAAGTTCGTGGAACTTCCCGAGGACAATAGCGACGTTCAGGACGCGCTGAAGCGCGGGGGCGCCGACCTCGCGGACGTCGATGCTATCTTCATTAGCCATGTGCACTGGGACCAGTAAGTCTGATTTCCTCAGTATGCTGGAAATGTGTACTCAACCGTTATTACTCTACAGCTTGGGTGATCATCGCTCTTTCATCAAGGCTAAGTTTGTGCTCGGCGACGCATCTGAGACTCTCGTGACTGGTGAAGAGCACCCCCAGCACAAGAGCGGCATCGTCCCACCGAAAGCTCTTCCCACCGAGCGCGTGGAGTACGTCGCGGACTGGAACACGACCATTGGCGGGCTGAAGGCGTCCGACTACTTTGGCGACGGGAGCTTGTACGTCATCGATACGCCTGGTAAGTCGCGGTCTTCCAATACGAGATATTGAGGTATAGTGCTTACAAACAACGCAGGTCACTTGCAGGGACATATTGCGCTCCTGGCTCGCACATCTGCGGACGGCTCGTGGATTCTTCTTGCGGGCGACGCAGCTCACCACAAGTGCATCTTGCACCTCGAAAAGGACTTTGCGTACCACGACGACGGCAAGGGGGACGTGTTCTGTATGCACGTTGAGCCCGATGTGACGAGGGACACGATCAAGAAGCTGAAGGTGTTTGCGGATACGCCGCGGGTGCACGTACAGATTGCGCACGAGGACGTGGATGAGGAGGTGTATTTACCTGGCAAGTTTTTACCGAAGGAGTAGGTTGTCGTAAATATAGCTTGATTGGATACTATGCCTGGCGAATCGTGGAGATTGTAGCCTGGCATGTCTATAGGCGTTAGTTCCCATTGGTGTCTTGTGAACGTACAGTGTAAGTCCGGAACTTAAGCATGATATAGTCCGCATAAACATACGCCACCTATGTCATGAAGGAGATGAGTGCACGCGGAGAAAAAGCAGAGCGGAAGTTGGTAGTGGTAGGTGGGCAAATGAGCGAAAACCCCTGAGCAACGTTGACATCGGCGCGTCGGTGTCGGAACACGGAGGTCTTTTGCCATGTTCCGCCTCCTCCGTCACGTCCGCCCGCGTCCTCCACGACATAGTTCACCGCGTCCACCACCACGCCTGCAACTATCACCTGGGAACCGTAGACTCTTCTCCGTATCATACGCAAAGAACGCTCAGGCCTCGAGAGCTCCAACAGGTGCAGCGGCGCTCGAGACTGTAGAGAAGGATGGAGCGCGCATCTTGCGCGCAGTAGAGAAACGCGTCGCGCTGAGGGACGAACTACTTTCAAAGGTAATGTTTCAACATATCTACGAGACAGCGCGTCATGACACCATGACAGATGTCAGAAGACATGTCCTCGCCAGACGACATTGCCCGGTTGAAGCAAGCCAAAGAGCTCGAGCCCCTCTGCGAAGCCTGGAGCGAATACGCCAGCGCCCGAGCCGTCAGTTCTCGTATCCAGGTGTCACTATATGCGGTTTATCTCACAAGCTATGCTCTTAGTAGGCCCTCCGCGAGACCATCCCCCTCCTCTCGGACTCGGACCCATCCATGCGCGCCCTCGCCGCCGAAGAAGCCGCCTCGCTCACCGAAACACTCTCAAATCACATCTCGACCCGCTTCCCGTCCCTCGTCCTCCCGCGCTCCAGAACAGCACACCTCGGTGCCCTGCTCGAGCTCAAACCCGGCGTCGGCGGAGACGAGGCCGCGCTCTTCGCGGCCGACCTGCTGCGTGTATATGCGCGCTTTGCGGGGTCGGTGGGACGTAAGTGGCAGACGGCGGTGCTCGGCGCGGGGAGCATGACGGACACGGGCGGGGTGAAGGAGGTCACGTTGGAGGTGAGAGGCGCGGGCGCGTACGACGCGCTGAGGTGGGAGAGCGGGGTGCATCGTGTGCAGCGGGTGCCTGCGACGGAGAGTAATGGACGGGTGCACACCAGCACAGTTGCGTGTCTGGTGGGTGTTTTGTTCTCGCGCTCGGTGCTTGCTAATTTACTGATGCTAGGTCCTGCCGCTCGTTGAAGAAGACGCGTCTCATGGCGAAGATGAGCTCTTCTCGATGGACGACGTCAGGGTCGAAGTCATGCGAGCTCGCGGTGCTGGCGGCCAGGTACGTTGTTCTTCCAGCTCACTTGGGTTGTGTCCTGACATTCTCTAAAGCACGTCAATAAAACGGAATCCGCCGTTCGACTGACTCACGTCCCGACGGGCATAACCGTATCCATGCAGGACGAGCGCAGCCAACATCAGGTAGACATACATCGTCTCTCTTGTCTCAGCATGCTCATTTGCGCAGAACCGACGCCGCGCATTCCAAGTCCTCCGCTCTCGTCTCCTCGACCAGAAAATAACACGCGACATTGCAGACCGCCGAGCGGCCCGCCGCTCGCTCGTGCGCACAGTCGACCGGAGCGAGAAGATTCGCACGTACAACTACGCTCAGGTGCGTTCTTTTCGTTTGCGTGGTTCGACGTTGAGCTCACTTTGCTCCAGGAACGAGTTACCGACCATCGGATCGGGCTGTCGATTATGAACCTGAGCTCGTTCTTGGAGGGCGAGGCGCTGCAAGTGTTCTTGGACGGGCTCCAGAGGCGCGCGGATGAGGAGGCAATGGAGGAATTGATGGGGGACATGGAGAAGAGCTGATGTGTAGTGGATCTTACGTGTTGTTCGCGCGCAATCATTCGTCGATGGGGTCACGTTAAAGTGTGTCTGGGAACCAAAGCTAGTTACCTCTTTCAACATCAGTATCTCGATTGGCCTGCTGTGGTTGCGTGAGCTATGTTAGACTGGGGAGCTTCAAAGTGTCCGTTTCAAAGCGGTAGGTACTCGTATGGCATTTGGTGGGATGAGGCTTGAATTCGAGATTACAGCGCAAGATGCCCTGCTGCATCAATTCCAATACTCCTCTACCTGGTGGATTTACATTCGAACAGACAATCTTCGACCCACGCAATAAACAAAATGTAGGTAAACAAACTGCGGACGCGGACGGAGATGGCGCACTATTGATTGAAAACAGAGACGATAATGTATGCAAGCACATGTAGTATGTTATGGGCGGACGGGCGTGACAGAGAGCAAGGTAGGCTCGTACGAGCGTGAAGAGATAAGCAAATCGAGGAAGCAAGCAAACAACGAACCAAGGGGTTGGATCCAGCAAGCCAATGAAGAGCGATCATAGTTAAATGGGGAGGATGTACAGTATGCGGACGATTATGCAGGAAGAGACGGAGGATGAGCGAGTATAGAAGTGATTGAAAAGGAGAGACCGGACGTGTGTTCCACAGAACGCTCAAGACGCGGATGGCCCGGTAGACGACTGCACACCGACAGCTGCGGGTGCGTATCCCGTCATACCCGGCATGCCCATCATGCCCGCGTTCGCAGCGTACAACTGGGCGTGCTGAGCGACTGGGAGTGCACCATAAGCGCCCATGCTCGGAGGGAGCGTCGAGTTTCCGTTCGTGTTTGGAGTGCTGACTCCCGTGTTAGTCGTAGCCACAGGGGCATGAAGAGACGAGGCAGATCCGTGCGGTGAAGAAGGGGCCGGCGCACCGGATGATGAGTTGGTGGTCGTGCGCATGCGGTAGGTGAGGGCCATGTTGGAGAGGGAGTGCGAGGACCAAAAGGAGTCGTATGTGAGGTTTGGGGAGCCATTTCCACTACCGACGCTTTGTCCTGTTGAAGGTGCGGGCTGATATGCTGACGGCGGTAAGGATGTAGACGGAAGTTTGGATACGGACGGTTGCGACTGGAGGTTCGAGGTTGTCATGGGTGGAGTGGGAGTACGCAAGTCCGTGATCGACTGGGACGGAGAGCCAGAGCGACGAGAGGAGTGGTCAGGGGGCTGGTTCTGAGAGCTGGGCTGCACGGCCGCCTGAGGAGTAGGTGTGCGAGCAGAGTCGGAGGATATGGGAGGTTGAGCGACTGGTGGTGTGGGTGACTTGAGGTGAGAGGAGGTCGTTGGAAACTGGTCCGAGGTGAAGTTAAAGGCGGATGGGAGCATTGGCTGATCCGCAGGGGGAATGGTGACGACTTTTGGCGGGGGAGCAGCGGGACGTCCTATGCGACCAGAGTGGTGGAAGTAGAGATTCTCGACTTCGGTCAGGTTTTGACGTTGCTATCAAGGGTAGACTCATAAGCATGCAGGAGGCGTAAAGGATCAGGGGGTGGACACACCCAGCCATGTTCAACTTTGAGCTTGGCGTACTGCAGTCGCATCTGCAGTTGTCTCGACAGCTGTTGTTTCCAGGAGCATAGATTGCAGACGTTTCATGGCATACATGCGACGATTGGCAAGGTCGCAGCAGACAAGCAGTCAAGAAGAGAAAGTGAGTCTGGGGACAGTGAGACAGAATGATCGTGACGTACGTGGTTTGCCTTTGCCCGCTCAATTGTCTGCTTTCTACGCCTGTGCTCTGCTGGTTCTGGTGCTATCGAACGCTGTACGTTGGGTGTTGCAACGGCGACCATGGCAGGGACAGCGAAAAGTGGAGAAGAAAACAAAAGTTGAAGTTGGTCGAGACGAACTGAACAGGTTTCCTCATCGGGGGTACCGCCGGGATGACCGTGCCGGGATATGTCATCCATCAACTTTCCATCTGTCCACCACACATTTCTCGGAGACTCTCCTTTGTTTTTGTTTTGTTAGACGATGCGATAGATGGATTCGTTTACTCTCCTGGAACCAGTTCGACTCTATGGAGACAAGAACACAAAGGCGAGCGGCAGCAAACAGGCACCCGCAGCTCGCCCAATCCACATCGGACGCCTCCCAACAGACCTCCACCTCCTCGTCCTCTCCCATGCAGCAATCCCAGACATACCCGCATATGCACGCGTCTCTCGTGCGTGTGCTGCTCTCACAAGGGATGAATCGATATGGGAAAAGAGGTGGAAAGCTTTAGGCCTCGGAACAGACACCGACCCTAATGGCCTCTCGCACACCCTCGATGACATCGAGCGCCGCCTCCAGAGTGACGCCAGGACCAAGAACAGCGAGCCACCACCGACGCTGGTCGTCGCAGAAGCGCTCGAAGACGACTTTGGCGACTTTGCCGCTGCACCCATCGCATCTCCCGTCAAGAAGGATACATTTGGCGATTTTGTCTCCAACTTCACTGCATCGTCTATTCCTACGCCCACCACCAATGGCGGATTCGGGCAGCCAGAAAGCACACCGCCCAAGCAAACTTTCCGCTCCCAGTACACGCGCGCGCACACCCTCCTCCGTCGTCTCCTCTCTGCTCTCGCCGTCCCGCCGCAATCCATCCTTCCCGCCATCTGCGCCATCCTCACCACCTCGGACCCAGTCGCCGATGCCCCCCTCACCCTCGCTTCGCAGGCCAAAGTCCTACACATACTCGCCCTCTTCCTCTCTCCTCGCGTCAAGCCCGTTCGCCAATGGGATGTCCTCCTCGCCTCACTGAGATCCGCTATCGACCGATTCGACATCACCCTCCTCACCGCATTCGACAGCGCAGATTCATCGTCGCCTGCGGAACGCAGCGAGCCAAAGATGAAAGAATCAGCGTCCGCTAGTTGGGAGCTGTTCACCGCCGTTGGCACGGGAAGAGGAGATTGGGAACTCGGGAGAGTATGGGCAGAGAAGAGGGAGGTGTTCTATCAGACGCAGGAAGGGCGCTATGATCCGCTCGCGAACATGAAGTGTGTGTCTTTCTACTATTATTCGCGTTGTGCTACCGGCTGATCGCACGTCAGTGCTCAGGGATTGCTCGACTTCAACCCTATGGACGCGTTCATTGCCGATATCCTCAAGGATTTCGAGGAGGAGGGATCAGTCGCCGTACGCGTGTTTCCGCCAGCTGCGGACGTTCTGATTTCTTTTGCCGATAGGGTTGCCGTTGAGGTGGTGGGTCACCCATTAACGCATGCGTCTTGGACAACGCTGACACGCGATGCTTCGTGCCTAGATTGGCGAATACATCTCGCCATTACTCACCAAAGCACGCGCAGTCTCCAACGAGATCTTCCTCCAGGCCACAGCGGCAGCCTTTGGCGAGGCGCTACGACTCGCAGACTCGATAGTCGAGGTTGGAAAAGATATAGGGATAGAGCGGACGAGAGCGGAGGATGTCGTGTAAGTTATCATCTCGCAAGTGTGCTTATTGCACTTGACTCGTTGACCACAGTTATCGTATGTTTGAATCCAATATGGACGAATACCTCGACGAAGAAGTCGAGTCTCTCAAGCAGGCCTTCACCATCATCTGTCGAGCCTGGGACAACAAGGCAGTATGTGCTTCTGTTTTTCCCTTCGCTCAATTCTAACATCCCCATAGAAGATACCCTCGACATCTTACCCGAACGGCTCTCTTGCTTCTTCCGCCGCGTCGTCGGGTGGCGACCCATCTCAAACGCGCTTTCTCGCATCGCACAACCCGGCGGCGATGAAACGCACGTTCCTCGCGTCCTTCACAGACGCACTGCTGTTGCCCGTGACAATCGTGCCGCGCACGGTTGGGCAGGTGCTTACGACAGGCGGGAATGCGGCCGTGCAGGGCATCTCGATGCTTAACCCGCAGCGATGGGTCGGTGGTACAAATCATGGGAAGGCGCCGGGGACGGGGAGGGAGGGGTATCACGAGTATAAGGAGGAGATGGATGGGATGGCGTTCGAGGTGGGGGAAGATGAGCCAGAGGACGAGCCAGAGAAGGGAGGCTTTGTGAATGGGTTCGAGGAAAATGCGTGGGCGGACGAGGAGGAGAGAGGTACGTCGCACTTCTACTGTTAGTAGTTTCCGAACTGACGAGGCTAAAGCCCCTGCGAAGCAACGGTACTCCACGTCGACTATCGCGACGACCCACTCTGCCAACACCATCGCCTCTTCCGCCTCCGCAGCCACAACTGCCACCGCCGCGACCTCCACCTCAGCCAAGTCGGCGACGTCGAACGGCTCGTCGGCCACAGTTAATACCATCGGTACAACAGGTGCGACTTCGGCCGCGCGTGCGACAGCGGGAAAGCAGCTCGCGAGCCTCGACCTTCTCCTTTCGCTCGACGTCGCGCTGGAGCTCATCCAGGCCGACCGCGAGGCGCTCAAGCGGATGGAGACGTTCGGCGGATACCCAGGGCACTACGGCCTGCGCGTGCGCGAGGCGGTCGAGGAGGCGTTCGTGGTCTTGCTAGGTGCGATGGCGGACCGGCATATTGCGCCGGGGTTCAAGACGTACGTGCTCTTCTTTTCGTTTTCAAGCTGTGCGAGAGGGGTGGCTGAGTCGAGTCGAGGACAGCGCGGAGGACCAGATGATGTCGTATAAGCCAGGGGAGCACGGGGATACGACGAGTGTTGCGCCGCTGCTGCAGTTCTTTGAGCTGGTGCATATTGGCGACATGATACAGTCGATGGTGCAGGTGTATTTCGACAAGGAGATGGTGCGCACTGTTATCCTCGCCACTCTCGTTCCCTTGCTCACCTGGTGATATCGAAGGCACCACATATCGATCGGACAGACTTCCTCAACGTCGTTGTACGCGAGAAGAAGCGATTCGAGAATATTCTCGATGACTGCGTCGCCGCCGGACTCAATGCCGGTACGCAGGTGCTCATGAACCAGGTACGTTCATTCGTGATCGTTCTTTCCATATGTGTGTAGATCTTCACGTTGCTATCGGGATAGGTTGAACATATCATCCTCACGCTCACAAAGCCTCGCGAATACTACCCTCCTGAGGACATGCCGCTCGACCTCGGCCCGACGCACGGGTGCCAAGAGGCTATCCGCTGTCTCGAGATGCATTGCAAGCTGCTCAAAGGCAGCACGAGCAAGGAGGTCCTCGAGGTGTTCTACCAGGAGGTCGGCATCCGCTTGCTTGCGTGCGTTGACTGGTTCCTTCTTGATTGATTCGAGCGAACGCGAGCGTGATTGTTCCGCAGGATTCTGGAAAAGCACATCAAACGTCAGATCATTTCGCTCAACGGGGGCTTCCAGGTGATCGCGGACCTGAACACCTACTACACGTTTGTGTCGACACTTCGGGTGAGGCATATAACATGTCCTCTTCACGGTTGCTGCAAGATACTCACGTACGTTTGAAGGTGCCGTCCGTAACGGCGGATTTCTCGAACCTCAAGATGCTCGGCCATGTTTTCGTGGTGCAGGATGCGAAGGACCTCGCTCAGATCGTGCGCGACGTCACGCGCTACGGGGGTGCTTACCGACCAGAGGTACGTCGAGCTTCGTGTTGTAGCCCCCGTGTTGTGTCTGCTGATTCGTGCTCGTGTACAGGATATCTACGAGTTCATCCAGCGACGCTCGGATTGGAAGAAAATCGAGAAGACTGTCGACAAGACAATGTACAACTTGAGCTTCAAGGAGGATTGCATCATTTGCTGAGTACCTGTAGAGCGTGTAGTATATTATATATTATATCGTGCTATTTTCTCGTTCACCACTTGGTGAACAAGTGAGACGTTATTCGTATTCGATATGGAGAGCGGGATATTCACCGGCCCAGTGGTCTAGTAGTATGATACTCGCTTCGGGTAAGTCCCTCATACCTTGGTATGAAAATTTGTGAGTGGTCCCGGGTTCAATTCCCGGCTGGGCCCAATTGCTTTTTGCAGGATATTATATCCATTTATTTGACACAGGCACATGCCTATGCAGAAGCGTGAATGTGCCGTGGCCATGTAAATGCCATAGTGGTAGCTCAGAATGATTACCATGTTCGGCGCGCGCGCTTGGTAAGCGTGGGAAATTTGTCAAATATCCGATCGTAATTCATGAGGAATGTGACACCCTGACACGATGGCCAATCATGTCGAAGATCGAACACGAGTATAGCATAGAAGTCTATGACAGTGCAGACTCACCAGGTGTTAGTTGAAGGTTGAGTTAGTACACCTGGGTGACACGGGAAAAGAGCCTAATGTAGCATGGGGCAGACCTTAAGCGTGCGAGGCTAAGGTAGCGTCTTGACGGCTTAGCCGAGCACCCTGTGTTGCACCCTCTGGTTGCGGCGTTTCGCGGCGGAGATACTACCATATATGTATTACCTCCTCCCCTTGTCTCCCATTCGTGATATAAGTCCCTAGATGAGATTAGATTATGATAATGTCGTCGATAACGTGCTAATCAAAGCTGACGTCACTGATGCCGTCAGGGTCCCGCTCCCTCCCCGCATATCCCGCCCTCGGGGCTAAGAATAGGAACTCCCGTGCCCTCCCTCGGGACCAATCAGCGGCATTCCCTCTATCCCCTTTGCCGCCTGCTCCCGCGCCCGCGCCCTCCTCCCTCACGTCCCTTCCTCCCCCACTCACATCACTATACCCATATTTTGATATATTATTGAAAGTCGGGCATGTCCAAAAATTCTGAAACTTGGGGGTCTTATAGTACCCTATGGGTGTACCCCAATGCCCAAGTTTGAAGGAAATCGGCGGTTCCGTTTTTGAGCTACACCCTCCCCAAGTTGCGTAATTGGAGCCGGGAGGGCAGCACACATCTTCTCCACTTGTTCTCCTATTGTCTTGCAGAGATCACCAATGGATTCACAGACCTTGATAACCCCAGGGAACACTCTTCCCCGATTTTTCCTGGCCCTCCCTGAATTAATGTGGCAGCGCCAAGTTGGAGGGGGAGTACGAGGAGCACATGGTCCTAACACCGGAATGAGTCACAGGAAAATTATGGGACCTGTCTCATCGTTTTTAGCGACCCAAATAACCCCAGGATACACCCCCACACCACCTCTTTACCAGCCCAAACTCTATAGTAACAGTGAATGTGATCTGCCCACAGGGACCATGCACACTGGGTGTATGATTTCAACCATCCCTCCCATGGATGCAGGGAGTGCACCAATGGATTGACACACCTTGAAAACCCCAAGTAGAGCATTGTACATGTCCCTAGGCTCAGCCCCTGAATTAATGGGGTAGCACCAAG